AATTTACCCCTAAGAATTGGGACAGCACTACAGCACCTGTACAAGTCATCATATGTCATCACAATCTCATACTTCATATCCAATCAGACGATGGCAACTGCTGTATTTATTTCAGTTGTGTTATTTTTTGGTATTTATCTACAGGAAATTACTGAAGGTATATATTATGTTATCATAACAATCTAATGAGGCTATAAGATCGTAACTGTACTGTGCATTTACACAGTGGTCATATTCATCTATGTAAACACACGAAAACAACTCTAACATAGCAGACACTGTAAAAAGCTCATTATCAACCACTAGACTTTTCTAACAGGGTATTCGAGTGTCAAAATGTTGTGGGACTGAATGATTATGATTATGAATTATAGATTGCGAAATTTAGCTTTTTTTTCTGTGCATTTTTAAAAGCATGATGGTAAAACATGAACGCGGTTATGAATATATTAAAAGATATGTTTGTCATAAAAATGTGTAATAATGACAATTGTGGCTGGTGTATTCTGGGAATTTTTTTTACTCCTTTGTTTAAAGTGTGGTCCTGAAAAATCTTCATTCAATGGGTTTTTTACCCCTTCCCCTTAGTCCTACGTCTTCAAGCTAACGAGAATTGAAACACCCCTCCCCCTTGATGTGTATGCGCAAAACAAGGGGTAGGGGTAAGGGGAAGGGCTAAGGGGTAGAATTGGGATCGGACCTTATTCTTTGCTCCACTCCCTCAGTAAACACCCCTACAGGGCATTTTCACTGTTTCTCTATGTTCGTGTGATTTTTGACAGTGACAACACGTCCTGCACCGTAACCATGCCACCCGGCCAGAACTGATGTAAGGCATTGAGCTAGAGAAGCATCCGAACCCCAGCATACGAATGAGAGAAAGAGCAGAGAAACCTCCAAAAAGGGCAACATGCAAAGGGCACCACACATCCAATACACAGACCCGCAGCCCCCTTGCCCTTGGACGCAAAGTCGTCTGCACCATCTGGGGACCGGGTATGTTTATTCACCTGGCCCACTCCCCAAGCCCCCATGAGACATGAGGCATCGGACGACACACAACTAAGGCTGACAGCAAGATCCGCCCACCAGTGTGAGCAGGATGGATGAGAGTCAACCCTCCCCTCCCTCAGACCCATCTCTGCAGAACACAACTGGAAGGTCTCAACACAGAGAGGATAGGAGCTTCCAGAAGTGCTGAGGTGAGGAGGAGAAGCAGGCGGTTGAAAAACCCCAGGAGTTTTTGTCCTTGCCAAGACAAAATGGAGAGTGTGCGGCGTGCTGGGACCATCAGTGGGTGCTAAACGAGCATGCCTGAGCCAAAGAGCAGGCCAAGGCATTAATGGATCTGGCCTGCATTTGGCTGCTTCAAGACCAATCGTTAGCCACCCAGGTCGTACAAAGGCTGGTGATCAGTCACCCGCTGTAGGCGTTGCCATTCCAGCGACAACAACACGCAACAAGGGCCAACAGCAAGATCCGCCCACCACCGTGAGCAACAAGATGGGTGAGTGTCGCAACTCCTCTCCCTCTGACACTTCAGATCAATACTGGAGGTTCCCTACACCGAGAGCAGTAAGCAGATAGGAGTCTCAAGAAGTGCTGCACCTGAGCTGAAGATGGATGACATCCACCACCAGCTCCGGCTCACGGAGTGCATCACTGGAAGTGGTACCAGCAGTGGGTGCTGGATGGGCATGCATCAGCTAAAGAGCAGACCAAGGCATTAATGGATCTGGCCTGCCTTTGGCTGCTTCAAGAGCAACCGTCAGCCACCTAGGTTGTAGAAAAGTGATCGATGCAGGCGTTGCCCTCCCAGCAATGACAACACATCTTGTGCCACAACCGTGCCACCTGGCCGGAGCTAATGGAAGGCATAGAGCTGGAGGAAGCATCCAAACCCCAAGATGCAAGAGAAAGAGAGTGGAAGAACCTGAGAAATGGTGACCTGCGGAGGGCACCACTCGTGCAGTACAAAGACCCACGGCCCCCTTGCCCTCTCCCCAAGCCCCCGTGGGACAAACAGTCCCAGTCTTTCTGATAACAAGAAAGCATCAAGGACTTGCAATAGAGGCTACCAGCAAGATACGCTGGTGTGCCAACTTCCTGTATGCCCTTCCAGTCGCAACCCATCTCTGGGAAACAGACACATTCACACACACTCATACACTTCGACAATTTAGCCTACCCAATTCACCTGTACCACATGTCTTTGGACTGTGGGGGAAACCGAAGCACCCGGAGGAAACCCATGCGAAGGCAGGGAGAACATGCAAACTCCACACAATAACGCCAACTGAGCCGAGGTTCGAACCAGCGACCCAGCAACCTTCTTGCTGTGAGGCGACAGCACTGCTTACTGTGCCACTGCCTCGCCCCGGCAACAATCAAAAAACTTTTTTCCTCTGATTCCTTGGCTAAAACTGATTCAAACGCAAACTATGATGTAATTTTCTGTGATGAATTTTTTTTTTTCTGCTATTTCAAATTTCTCATAAAACATTTTAGAACAACCTTGTCTTAGGCCATTTGTCTAATTTTCACTAAAAATTGAATCACATGATCTACAGCCTATGCAGACCAAAAGTTATAAATTTAAGTTGATTAGACTAACCATTTTTAATTAACTTGCGAACAAATTTAATGTAGAGCTAGCAAAAAAATGGACTTAAGGTGTTATCTCCATAAAACATTGACATATTTATATTAAATTTGGTGTGTGTTATCACAACCATGGTCTGAAGTGAGCTGCAGCATTTCGGTGCACTGCCCCCTAGGGGTCCAGATACAAAAAAAGGCTTTTTGCTTATAACTTCTTAACACTTTATCTGATTTCACAGGTCAGCCTTTTTCGCCGTTGGCTATTTTGAATTGTCAAAATTTTTTAAATCTTACAAATGCATTGGCGAATTGTTATTTAAGTTGTTATGTATCTTTGGGACTGTGCCCTGAAGGTGCTCAAAAAGTTGTCGCAGCACCACCTTTTGGTCAAATGTTATAACAATGTTTATAAAAATGTTAATAACTTTTGACAATTTTTTCCTGTTGTTATAAAACTTGTCTTGATGCATTCCTTGGGTTGTCCTGAAAATATTGATACCAATTGTGCCTTGAACTAAACTTCCTGTCCACCATCTAGCCTTAAGTCAAAAACCTACTTTTTCGAACTCCTCCTACATTGTTTGGCTAATTTGTACCAAGTATTCAGATCATCTTCAGACCATGCTGACAAATAGTTATGGAATTTGTGTTAATAGGTGTAATGGTTTTTATATACTGTACTGACAAATGTGATGGCATGATACCAAACTACATCTGAGGCTGTATCTTTGCAATAGTTAAAGAAATTGACACCACACAGATCAGAACATAAAAATTTGGTGACATCGCCTCCTATAGGTCAAGTACTATAAGACATTCATTAGCCATTATTAATAAACCTTACAAACTTGGTAATAACTTTTGACTGCATATGCTTATTTTGGTGAAATTAGTCTCAAAATATTATACCTTGGGTTATGCCAAAAACACAGATACTAATTATGTCATAATCTGCCAAACTTCCTGTCAGTCAATTTGATTTTGTTCAAACTATTCTTTTTTTAACTCCCCCTGGACAGTTGGTCCAATCTTCACCAAATTTGACTCCGATCATCTTCAGACAATGTAGATAAAAAGTTATGGAATACATGTTGACAGACAAAACTGTTGTCCTTTTAACCTATGCGTAAGCGACGTAATGCTGCCAGATGACATTACAGGCTGAATCACTGCAATGGTTTGAAGTATTGAAACCAAACTTAATGTGTGTGATCTAGACCTGACATTGACCAAACTACATCAGTTTGAGCCACCTTCTGGGTAAAATTGACAAACAATAAAATTCTATCTATCGAAATCATACAAAATTCATCACATGATTTTTGAATAGTTTTATCTATTGTCATGTGACTGCTCTTGCAGATTCCTTGGATCATACATATCATTTATTCCCTAATTGACATGACTTTCTGTCCACCATCTTGAATTAGTTAAAAAATCTGTTGTATTGAACTCTCCATAGATCGATAGCCCAATGTCCACCAAATTTGGCTTGGACCATGCTACCAAAAAGTTATAGAATTTTCCAGTTGCCCTGTAGCTTGTTGCCGTGCTTGTTTATGATGTGGCCACTGGGCTGCTTGGTTCCAATAATTGCTGCTTGCAGCTACATTTATTATTATACTACCTGACAAAAGTCTTGTTGCCTATCCAAGTTTTAGGAACAACAAATGATAGCTTAATTTCAGTTCATTTGTTCATTCTAGATCATTTGATATCAGAAGCGACTAATATGAAAGTCAAAGGCCTCTAGATTACACTTATTTTACCAAAATAAAACATGACTATGTCTGGATTTTTTTATTATTTAATTAGGACAGTAAGTTTTGAATTTTCTTAGACAAAACTCTAGTCACTTAGCAGAATTAATGTACAGTATAGAATATAAAACTTTTCTTAACATGCAGAATACAGCTGTGCTGGTCTTTAGTCAACTTATAAGGTTTTTGTGTCATTTAGATAAGATTTACTTTAAAACCGAGAGAAGGTTAATAGCTTGTTTTTTTTTTTCCAGCAAGGAATTAGTTTGGAATAAAATATTTAAAATTGAACAGTTTATAAAATTATCTGTTCCATAAAGAATCTATTAAAAATATTATTATTATTAAATATCAGTTTTAAGCACTAATAGCAACCCATATGGCACTTTACACATTTATTTAGCACATTTTCAAAATGTTAACTACTATGTTTGTATTTTATATATTTGGATGTTTAAAATTGTCAAGCGTTTAATATTCATATGTATTTGTGCTCTCGGGTGTTCTTGGGAAGACTATATAGAACCATATACCTTTTTTTGACTGGACTGAATTGTGTTACAAGATGACGCCTACAAATCTATACAATAAAGGAACACACAAAGAAACAACCAACAGAACAGAATTCAGACAGCAGTGCTCTTTAAAATACTGGAATCTGTTTAATGTGCATTAAAACCCAGGATTCAGCCTGATACACAGTCAGATTCAGAGAAGAGTTCATTTCTTCCCACTGTGAGCAAAACAAACCAAAAGACCTGAACACACGCTCTCGATGTGCCGCCGCAACATGTCAGCAAAACAGAACAAGGTGAATCATGCACATTTGAGTTTGTTTTAGCCGCCTGATGCACAAAAACCAGAGACCTACGCCTATACTTCATCTATATTCGACAAAAATAAAGTATGAGATTTCGCCAAAAAGAAGAATACAAATCTAAAAGGCAAAAACACATTGTATTTGTTACCTTTATATTAACTTAACCTAACTCTCATTCCTTTTTCGATTTTCTACTAAATTCTAACCTAAATCTCCCCCCACCCCAAAAAAGGTACATAATACTCACTTAAGTATTTAGAGTTCCAACAAAAATATATCATCTATGTATTTAGGTGGATAAATTAAGTAAAGTTGCAGAATGACACAGCATAGTTCACGTCAAGGTCTTGAAGGAACACTCTACTTTTTTTGTAAATTGGGTCATTTTACAAGTCACATAGAGTTCAACAGCTGAGTTTTACCATTTTTTGAATCCATTGAGCCGATCACCTATCTGAATGGAGCACTTTTCGCTTAGCTTAGCATAAATCACTGAATCAGATTAGACCATTAGCATTTAGCTTAAAAAAATTTTAAACAATAGTTTCGATAATTTTCCTGAAACTGTTCCCTAACTAGGTAACCAGCAATTCAGCACAATAACATTGTCATGGTACAGAAAATTATCAAAAATATTAAAAAAAATGTTGAGTATGATGCTAATGGTCTAATCCAATTCAATGAATTATGCTAAGCTAAGCTAAAGGTGCTCCTGTTAGACTCAGCTGACTGGATTCAATAATGGTAATACTGAACTATTTACCTCTAGGTGACTTGTAAATGAGCCTATTTCCAAAAAACAGAGAAGCAGTTCTTCAAATGAGTTTTTCAACATCAATATTACTGTGCATATAGACATGATTCTTTCCATAATCAGAGTAAAAGGACATCATCTTGTAAAATGTCGAGAGGAAGTGTTTGATAAAACAAAGGACTCTTTTCAACTCTCTATATTTGTAATACAGCATTGTGTTCTTGGGATGGATAAACGTCCCAATATAAGACTCTAGAGTGCAAAACAGGTGGTTTCCCATTTGTACAAAGTTAAACTTCTTTTCAGACTATTTGCAATTCTCTGAAACTCGAAACAGAGAAATCTCAGGGTTGTAATATGTTTCTCTCGAAAATGTTAAGATATATCGGTTTCAAGCATTCTCACATTCGCTCGATGTGCCAGGTGAAAAACAAAATCCTGGCTTAATATGTCAAAATGCTCTTTATTTAAGTCATAGAGCAGGATGTTACCACTCATATGGCTATATTTCTGTGGTATACGTCAATAAATAAACATAAGCTATGTGATATATAAACTAAACAGCTACTCTACACATGAAAATATCGCTACAGACTATTAATCATAAAATCATACTTAAATCCTCACTGTACTTTTAAGATTGAACATTAGGCACTGAGATTTTGTAGATTCGTTGTGACAGACAAACGGAGGAGAAAAGGGAAGGTTTGTTTATGGGGCGTTTGTTCATTTTGGCTTGATACAGATTCAAAAAGTCCTTGGTGAAGAAGAAAAGGCCATGTAGTGTTTATATACAGTTTAAAATACTTTCTTCTGTCATCTGATATTGGCTCGTTTCTCTCATTTACTCAAGCGGAAATCAAAGGTTTTTAGTGTTTCTGTGAGGTGTTGTTTGAAGACAAGGGTCAGGAGAGTTAAGTCAAGGCTACAGTCGGTCATTTATTTATCTATTGTTCCCTTCTATTGGCTATTTTTCCACAATATTCTCTTTGACGCTCATTCCTGAAGTAATGCTCTTCTACACATACACACACTTTTCAGGCTGCTAGTTGAAATTAGCCAAGCTGATCCTCATACTGCTTCCTAAAACAGTCACCAGCAGGAAAGAAGTCCCAGCATCGCTCCTGGTACATTTTCCACACGTATGACTCCTAGAAAGAGAGATAAAACAATATTGCATATGTAGATTTAGCAAAGTATTAAAAACATAAACACATCAAGGGGTCAAAACGAAGTGACTTTCAAGCATCACGAGAGTATAAAGCAGCAATTTTTTTGGGTAAAATGTGAGTGAATTAAAAACAAAAAACAAAACATGACATCCACTAAAATGTCATTCAGTTTCACAATGTTATCCATCATATCACTAGGTTTTAATCATTTGTCACCCACAATAATAAAAAAAATGTACTATGATCAATAAATTTTTATTTAATTTATTTTAATAAGTCTTGTGCTAAAAGGTGCAGTAGGTAATCTGCCAGGGCTGGACTAAAACAAAATATCGGCCCTGGCAATTTGGGACAGAGCAGCCCACTACATTCATTCAAAATGCTACCCATCTGTGCACGCCCTTGAATATGTTTACCAACTCCCTTTCTATAAACGCACTAAAGACATATATAGGAAATAATAAGAATTGACAAATTAAAAACTTAAAATTTAAATTTATTATTCTAATTAAAGTATAATCCACACTGGAAGTCCATCCTGTGTGTGCGAGTGTGTTTCAAGGGAGCCTATATTAAATAATGAACATAACAAAAACTGCCTGCTGATGCACACAGTTAATGTTGGTTATCAAAATAAAGATAAATAATAAAAGCAGTGTGTCAGAGCACCTTAAAAATGTTTAACTCAACAATGAAACATCAAACATAGATTGTACATAGTATAATAATTGTTTGGGCCCGAACTACAAAACTAAATGTAAAAAATTAGTATTAGTTTTGCTTATGTTGCACAATAGTTAGGTCATGTATCAATATCATTTTAACCATATTGTATAAATATTATTGTCACTATAAGCCTACATCATGCTGATGATCAAAAACAAAATGTCATGATATATCTCATGCGATTGTCTTCTGACCAAGTGCATCTTAAAATACATGAATGACACTCCTCATAGAGCTTTAGAAGCATACATTCTTTATGGTATATATAATTTGTAAACTAAAGACTTTCAGGTTAAGGAAACAGCATAGGAGGAAGTTACTGTGGACCTTAGTGCAGATGAAAAGTTGAAAATATATTGATCTGTGGAACAGTTGTTGATCCACTGCAGACGTTAAAGGGTTGCTCGCCGATTCTGCTCTCCATACGCGGGGTGTGGGGGGAAAAGCAGGCGTAACTCTCGACTATTTTGACAAATAAACACCGAGGTTGCACGCTTACAAAGAGCCCAAAATAGAAGTTTGTGCTTGGGTCAGCCTAATGTCAATAAAGAAAAGAACCAATGGGCTACAGATTATGTCACATGGGCCGGTCTGTTCGAAAAAGAAACATCTTACTTTCAGTGCGTCACAGATCACAGCATCGTCAATTAATTAAGCAGAAAAACACGACAGTCTGCTAAGTGTTTTATGGGCGATCAGATCATAAGAAGATGATCAGCCTAGCCCAAAAAGTGCGCAGGCCCAGCGGGAAACTGGCCGGTCTGCCAGATGGTCAGTCTGCCCTTGTCTGTCATCTGCCAAAATGCAAACTGTTAGCATAATAGCTTTGACGAACCCACACCGTAAAGATGACATTAGACAATCCACTAGAGCATGTCATTCGCCAGTTAGAAAACGTCATACTACAAATCCGAACAAAAAACAGTATTATATCTAGCATGTTTTTTTAGTTGAGAATTTAGCAAGCAAAACTTGTCATAATGTGCAATATTTCATGCATGCAAGGATCACTGGTCTCGCTCTCTCACCCGCTTTGTCCTAAAGTGACTATGGTGCTTAGGAATTACACATTACTAAGCCATACTTGCATGCTATTTCAGACGGAATATTCAGAGTAACATGGTAAACAACATAGGGAGCGCATCACAGGTTGTTATTGTGAATATAAACTGAACTTCACCTCAGTAAAGCAGGCTAGGTGAAATAACACTGTTTATTACTTATTATTATTATTATTATTATTATTATTATTATTATTATGGGAATTGTCGGCCCGACAAATTTTTAATAGATGAACATTTTTATAGTTTTATGCCTTACCCAGAATATAAAAATACAAATACATTTAGATGATTTACTTTAATCAATACTATTGGAATGTAAAGAGACTTTCATCCAGCACAACAACAAATGTTATTAAAGACAATCACCTTCTGCACCTTTAATTTTTACAAAATTATGTCTATTACAATGAATAATGTACAATGAAACATTTTACACAAATTTTAACATTTTATTTTCACAAAAGTTATTTTAAATAATAGAGAGCATTACCCACATACACCGTGTCCAAAAGTTAAGATTAAATTGATCAAAATTGACTTTAATATAAATAAAAAAATAATAATTTTTAACAGAGATGAGAATAAAAATAACACTGACCTGTCCTGTGTGCTCCGTTTCATCCTTATTGATTAAATACATCAGGAAGAACCTACATGGCACAAAAGATGTCATTTTCAAGTATGTAAACAAATAATTAGCCATCAGGGATAAACAAAGTTTCTACAATACACTTACATGTAGTTGGCTAAATTGTGCTCCTCCATCGTATGCGTCTCAAAGCCATGTGGAGTCGAGTCAAAGTAATCGCTTCCAATTCCACAGATGAAACACTTAGTCTTTGGAAAAACAACAAAAAAGGGTTTTATTGTTTTCAGAATGTTTCAGGCAGTAATACATAATGCGATACAAGTATAAGCTGGATTCCTAGCAAACACAAGGGGTGCTGTGGTGCACTGGAAGAAAGAAGGCCAGTTGTCTCTTTTAGTTTTATTCATGACAACAGTTTAAACACAACCTCACTAAGAAAACTAGCTGATTCCTGTGTCTGATTATTACATATGCAGCAAAAATTAGATATGTATAAAAGTTTATCTAAATTCACAGTATTTGTAGAGCAATAGAACCAAAGTACCCGAACCTACAGTGCTACATCTGCTGAGATGTTCAAGTGTGTATTCAATAAAACACTTTACAATCCAATGGCAAAAAAAAAAAAAAACAAGGCATTTTTGGGCACTTGAATGAAATTACTGCAAGGCTCAAAATTGCAACTTTTTTTTCTTTTTTTTTTTTGCATAGGATTTTAAAATGGGATATTTGCACAGGGATTTTGAATTTTCAGTCAGTCGGCTCAAGTGTCTCCAGTAAACTATCATGCTATTACAAAATCCCTAAGATGGTTTCTTTAAAAATCTGTGATTTTCACTGCCTGACAAAATGGGTCACAGACTGAATAAGTAGCACTGCATGAAACTGTTCCACGCCATGTCTCTAAAATTTGGACAGTATTTTCTGCACTCCCCTGCTTCTACTGACGGTGGTGTGTTTAAACTGACTTTCATCTTGTTACACTTGAAAAACTAAATGAATGCTTAACTCTATTAACCAGATTCTATTTTAATTCACTTATATTATGGATGCTGTAAAAGGTACATTATGAAATTGAAATGTCACTTCAACCATTTTTACCAGAAGTTTATTGGTGGCTTAAAACACTTGCTGTGCATAAAGCCAATTAAATCTGTGTGACCTGAAAACAGCAGCTCATTTCCATTTAAAAAGACATTAAAAAAATTATAAAGTGTGTGCTTTGACTAAAGAGCACATTTACATTATGTAATTAATGATCCGTGAGCTATTTTGAGCTGAAATTTCTTAGGCCCCATCCACATAGAGATGAAAAAAAACATTGTATCATATAGGGTTTTCATCCAGACAGAACCAGTGTTTTGGGAAAGTGAAAGCTATATTTTTTGAAACCCAGAGTGGACAAATCTGAAAATGACTGCATGGTACAGCACAGTTCGTTTCAGCTCCCTTTTGGGGGATTTTCTAGTCTGTTCCCTACCTAACATTTTACTTTTTTGTAACACCTCAGATGAGGTTCCAAACAAACCAACCAGTTACCAAAATGTGACTTATGCCGAGTTCAGACTGCATGATTTTGAAAGTAATCGTGTCGCAGATGTTTTCACACTGCATGACTGGGCAAGCGTTTTGTCGCTGCTTTGTTTACACTGCAAGATAGATCGGCAACAGGGACTTTCACATTGCATGACTTTAAAATAGGAAGAATCACTGACAACTTTGTCCAAACTACGTCTCTTAACCAAAAACACGTAGTATATATTTTGTTATCAACTACATAACAAGAAAGAAGCCTTTAATGGGGTAGAAAATGTACATATTTCATCTTTACACTCCTGTGAGATCTCTTAGGTCAAGTGAGCAGAATCTTCTTTCAGTTCCACAGTCTAGGCTGAAACGTAGAGGGGACCGAGCTTTCTCTGTGGCAGGTCCTTGGTTGTGGAATATCTTGCCCCCTGAGATTAGAAAGGCTCCATCATTATCAATTTTAAATCACTTCTTAAAACGTACCTTTTTAGCTTGGCTTTTAAAGATTAATTTTAATAGTTTGCTCTACTGCTAATTCTTTACATTTTTACAGATGTTTCTCTTGCCTTATTTCTATGTTTTTATATTATGTCTTTTTATTTTTATTTTTTACCTTGTCTTATGTACAGTCTTGTGGCTGCTTTTAAATGTGCTTTATAAATAAATTAACTTGAACTTGAACATATTTGCTCACCTGGGTTTGAAGGGAATTAGCTATTTCTCCTCAACTTTCTTTTTTTACCCAGTCGCATGACACGTCAAACAGAAACGGGTGCTCCTGCCAAATTTCCACTAGTTTTTCCTCCATTTCTTGAGTCCAAATAAACTAAAAATATGCACTTTTAACTTCTCCCTCAACCTCCCGCTGACCTGCAGGTGCACACACTACACACACAAGTGGATGCTGCTCTCTCATTGGCTGTAGGCGATCGTCAATGTTATTTTCAGTCAAAAATAACGGCATGATTTGAATCACCGACAGCTCCAGATATTTAGCACGACATGTATCTCACAGGCATGGGCGACTCATTAGTGATTATTTAAGATCGCGTCTTAGATAGTTGACATTGTGGGATTGTCACTCACGTGCACGAGCACCGATTCGCCTGTGATTTCAGGAGTTTGTCAGCGATTTCTCAAAACCTGTCGGCGAGTCATAATCGGGGATAAAATCATGCAGTCTGAACTCAGCTTTACACATTGTTTTTCATCTTTTGGCTCAAGAGAATCATCCCTACTAGCATCTTTAGATTTACAATAATAGATAAAGCAAAAACCAAACAAACAAAAAGCTCTGGCTTTGTGTGGATGAAGCCTCAGGCACATTCTATGGACCCTGTAAATAATGGAAAGACAAACTTTACCTCCATGTCCTCTCGGACTTGCTCCTGCTGATCTCTCAGCTCACCAAAGGCATCAATGATCAGACCTGCACACAATGCATACATGTAATTATGACAGACATTCTGAGAAAAAAACCCTGCCATGAAACAAACGTTTTCCTCACCTTGAATGATGGCCAGCAGGATGACAATAACAAAAAAGAAGAAGGTGATGTCAAAAACCACACGGTAAAGTTCATACTCGTCTCCAGCTGGATCTTCAATCTCATCTCCTATACCACCACCAGCTCGGACACCCACATACATATGGAACAGATAACACTGAAACAGAAGACATGATCTCAGTCAGGCGTGAAGTGAGAGAAAATGTAACTGAACCAAATGTAGAAGGTTTGTCGATGTTGTATTTTCACAGCACACATGACAAATAGGAATATAGCTAGTAGTTTCAGAATTTAACATTTGCAAATGGTTCAGCATTTCTTTGTCTTCCATGGACTTTTTGTTATAAAAACTGTTGTGGTATTACATTTTTAGCCAAATCTTAAAACTGCCCTATAATGTGACTGTAGCATAACTCTTAATAAATTAAATAGAAAACCGTAAAAAACATTAATAAATCTCTCAGGCCTACCCATGTCCTTTAGTGTGACCCCCATTTATTGAAAATATCCAACAAGTATGACAAGTTATGAAGAAAAACAAATGTTATTTACAGTTTGATAAAAAATAAACAGCACTATATGAAGATAAGTATCCAACAATAAAGTTAAATTACTCTCATGCTATTCATATATTATTAAAGAGGTGGTCCAGAGTGTATTTTTAAGGCTTGGTTGTGTTTATAAGATGCAAAATGATGTGTGCTCATGCTTCATTTGTAAAAAAAATCAAATTATTTTGTTCATATATCTTACTTTAGTATAATGGTTCTCAACTGCTTTGGACATGGGACCCACATTTTTACAGGGTCATCAAGCCGCGACCCAAATTTTTAGGAACTGTAATATAATTTCTTTTTTTTTTTATTATAATATAATTGTAATTATAATTAATTTGGATAAAATTGTTAACATACACAAGTAGAGACAAATAAACAAATAAACAATATTTTATTTGCTGTCATTTAACAAAATGTATCAAATTATAGAAATATTACACAGTAAAAATGACAAATACTGTAAACAGTGGTATGGAAAGTTTCAGTTACCATGAACTAAACTGAACTGTTAATAAAACATTAACAATGATTCTGTTGAACAGAACAAACCAGCAAATTACCGTAAAATGATTAAAATAATCATAACCATTTTTACATTTAATATGACAGCAATTATAAACATGTTTCACTTAACAGTAACTTGCAAAGCTAATGACATAACTGGGAATGTGCTTTACTCCTGATAAGAGTTTCAAAGTCTGGGGTGATGGTAGACATTGCTACCGGAAGATCATGCTCAATGTCCAACCGGTTCCTTTGCTTTGACTTAAGCTGCACCACGAAAGAGAAGCCACTTTCACGCAAATACGTAGCGCTGCACCAAAACTGGGAGAGGCTTACATCACTCAATTTCTTTTCAGCGTCTTATCACATGACAGCTCCACCAGCCGATTCTTTTTGTTGCTCAGCAATGTGATGCTTTCCACGTGGATTCCAAAGGGATTGCTTATCCAAGGATCATCATCATGTTTCTCAGGAAAGTCATTAAACCGGACTTGCAGCTTGTGGAGATGTTACCTGATAGTTTTCTTCAGTTAAAAATTTCCCGCTGTATATCTGTTGTGTTTCATTGCAAGTGTTGGGAAACATGTCTAGTCTGTCTTTGTAAAAACATGTTTCGTCCACAGTTCAATCTTCTTTTTGAATGCAGCAACTTTGTCACTGTTTAAAAATATTGTGCCCTCTCCCTTGCATTGATATGTTTAATGTGTTGAGGTGCTCAAACACATCAGCAAGATAAGCAACTCGGGTGAGCCAGATTTCGTCATTGAATGGATCAGAATGAGGAGAGTTATTTGCTGAGAGGAAGGCAGCGATTTCTGTTGTAAGTTCGTAAAACCTTGACAAAACTTTTCCGCTTGAGAGCCAACGAACTTCTGAGTGATACAACAGCTGTATGTGTTCAGAGCCCAGGTCTTTGCACAGATTTTTAAAACACTGGGAGGTTTTGGTACTTTTTTATGTAGTTCACTACTTTGACGACTTCTCTTAATGTCTCATCAAGCACAGGCACCATATTCCTATGTAATGCTTCTCGATTCAACAAGCAATAACTCCACGTTGCATTTGACATTCTCTAAAGAATTCTCTTCACCACCCCTGAGTGTTTTCCTGTTATAGAGGCACCGCCGTCAGTTGTGATCCTGACACAGTTTGCCCAGCTCAGGCCCAATGATCCGAAATACAAATCCATAGTACTCAAAATATCATCTGTGTTGTAGTGGTGGGGAGATCGCTGCTGCAGAGAAATTGCTCCCCCAAGTCCCCTTACCATACATATCTCACATAAACAAGTTGCGTGATTTGCAATGTCCGTGGATTCATCAATCTGCAAAGCGTAATAAGCACTTCTCTGTACACGAGATGTAGTTTGTTGTTTTACGTCATCAGACATATGTCTTCAATGTGCCGACAAATGGTATCATTTGACAGTGGTATGGTCTTCAGCTTATCTGCTGCAGACTGATCCAACACCTCTCTGACCATGTCCATGGCCGCAGGTAAGAGAAACTCTTATTGCTATTGTGTGGGCTTTCTTGGCCTTTGCTACACACTAATATGCTCGGTGTGTCTGTACTTGTTTTGAACATGAAGAAGTTAGGCATTTTTGTGATGCCTCAGCTCTTGGAGTCGTCTTTGAAAATAGTCCACAGGCTTGTCCTTGCAACTGGGATGTTTGGTTTCTAAATGTCATTTTAATTACTTGTGCTTTGACATATTTGTTGCTATAATTAAATTATATTTCACATGTCAACGGTACGGTTGTAGCAAAATCCGGTATAGGCAAAATAAGTTAAAAATGTAACTTTTGCTTTGTTTTTTTTTTGACCACACACTCCACGACCCAGTGAAAATGTTCCCTTGACCTACTTTTGGGTCGTGACCCACGAGTTGAGAAACACTGCTGTAGTATATACTGCTACCCCGCTAACATGAAAATGACTGTTCCTCAGAAAGGCCCACCCTCAAGAGGCTCTGATTGGCTAATATGTAGTGATTCGCTGATCGGCTCCATGATACCAAGAAAAGCGCCACGCCCCAACAAGCATGCACTTTTGCACTGTGTAAATACTATCAGTCATTGTAGCTCTTAGTCGTATCAGTTTGTGACTGAATCACACAGAAAATGATACAGGACACAGCTGAACCTCACGTCTGCTCTCTAAAATAAAATCTGACAAGTGTCTTTCACATACATTTTCGTTATAAATATGTAAGTAATATGAAACGTTCACATATTCTTTGTGAGTTTGTTATTTGAGATGTAGAATGCAGGGAAATTGGTCACATAGAGAGACACTGCATCGCTGGTAAAGAATGTGAGTGTTTACAGAAATAAATATGAATTTGTAGCTAAACTGTTAATGGTGCCAAACAGCATTTCTCATTGTTTACATCCTTGTTTTTCGCCCTTGCTACAACATACCATTAACACTAGAAACTGTGCATGTAATAGATCAATTTTAACAAATAAAAAAAGTAAAAATACTTAGAAGTTGTACCTCACAATTCACAGCTTCTTCTATAATGGTTGGAGCTGCTCCTTCTTTGAGGAGTTTTTAGTCGAATCCAGCACTGAACTGGGAGAAATTCTGGAAGCTGTCCTTTGTCAAATGCTAGCTAGATATCTATATATAACTCTCTGGAACATAATTAAAGTTAAATTGTGAGCACTTCTCTCTTTGTGTCATTTCTTTTGAAAGCCCAATTAAAGAAGCAGAAGAAGCTCTGTGGAAATAGCATTTAGACAGCATTTTAGCTTTCTCTGCTACATTACAGTGCCTCTGGCCACACCCCCTCGCTGCACGAGGTGTATACGTGTGATCTCACTAACCCGGATGTTTTTTTGTAGTCCCCAAACTTTGTTCGCTGTAGGCTTTGCTAAGCTAACTCTGTAAAAGCCAATGTCTCCCTTTGCATTGAACTTTGAGCGTATTACATTCAGAGATGTTGTTTATGTTTAAACAGCTACAATACATATCAACTAAAGTTTAAAATATGATATTGTAGTGGACCACCCATTTAAGCTAAGTTACACCATAGGACTGTATTTAAGGTACAGATCTCTAAAAAGGTAAAATAAAAAAATAGTAAAAAAGTTGAAAAATTTGTGAGCCCTTATATTTATGTAATTTACAACGTTGTATTTGTATTTTACAAAAATAAAATTACTTCCTATTTGAAAGCTATCTAGAAACACTTACAGTCATCATGTCATCACACTTCATATCTGGTTCGTCTTCATCCTCACTCATGTTGTAGAACTTTCTGAAGAAGTTGAAGGCCACCACGGTGTAGAGGTAGACCACCACAGCCAGCAGACCCACCGTCATCAGCAGCTAAACAGTCGCCATCAAGATTAACATCTGCAATTGATTTCTATCAAATATTAGCCAGATATGATGATTTTGGAGAGCTGTACCTGTTTGCCATTGTGGGTTACAGATGACAGGATGGTGCGCAGGGTTTTGACACCCATGGCAATGTCCAGCAGGTGACAGGCGAAGAAGAAGTTGTTAAAGTGGCCGAGCAGAGACATAACCGTATACCAAACCAGATACAGGAACGTCTATGAGCAGATAAAAACAAAAAACAAATCAATAGTGACAAATAACATCAGTGCACTGAAAAAAGCAGATAAGGAAATAAAAAATTCAGATTTTAATAAAACTCACATTATCAGTGAAAACCACTCCAAACTTCCAAATCTGGTATTTGATGTCGATAGACGTCAACCTGTGGATTCATGATATTTAAAAATAATATAATCTCTATTTTATAATTACAGAATATTTCAGTATTTATGAGTAGTGATGTCCAACTCTTAAAATAAATGACTACATACATTTGAATACATACATTTGAGTGAATCAGAATCCTACATTTTCGCGTGAAGTTTTTTTTTCTTTAAATGACTGTAATCGGTAAAGGGTTCCCTTTGTATTTGTTTTTGCTTTGCAAGTATTCCAGAAAGTGATGTATTAGGTGCCCCATGTTAGTCTGTGCTGTAGTGGAGAGATTAGAGCTGCTGGATTTTCATTCATTTATTCATTTATTCATTTTCTTGTCAGCTTAGTCCCTTTATTATAGTCCGCATTTCTTTGGACTGTGGAGGAAACCCACACGAATGCAGAGAGAACATGCAAACTCAACACAGAAACGCTAACTGAGCCGAGATTTGAAACAGCGATCCAGAGACATTCTTGTTGTGAGGCGACAGCACCACCTACTGCGCCACTGTGTCGCCACTGCTGGATTTTCAACATGTTAATTCATCAACTTCTCCCAAAACACATGAAGATTATTGGATGTTTAACCAGAGAATAAGTAGAATAAATTGTAACGGTGTCCATCTTATGTGAATAAAGCACATTGTCAGATTTTGTATGAAAATAATTATTATTGCCATCTCCATGGACATCAGCATGTACATTGTAAAAAATGCAGGGTTCCACACAATTAACTCATGTTATCCAAAAACAAACTAATTAACTTAATGTGAGACTTTTAACAAAGTCATGTGGATTGAATGTAAATTATGTTGAATGTAATTATGTGAATGTAATTAAGTTGTCCCAATGAAATCTCAAGAAATGAGCAAAAAAAATATTTTTTTTGTGTTATTTACAAACCATAAATGTTAGGGTTTTTGCAAGTGCTTATGTGGAAATGTCTGAAACTTAAAATAAATGCTATTTGTTTGTAAACAATTTGAATTTAAAAGCAGATTGGAATTTAGCAGCTGATCATATCATGCACAGAATGTTCTAATCACACCGGTGTGATCATATGCATCAGCACCATAAAAAAAAGAAATCTAAGCCAGACTAATGGAATAAGAAAAAAAAATGACATGTAAAAAAGGAGAGAAAAAATATCACAAAAAAAAATTGAGACATTATTAACCTATACATCTAAGGGAGAAGACCCAATTGCTGTATTGTCTGCTAAGGTTTTGGTGCATTTTCTAGTTAGTATCAGGTAATAACACAGAGATAATTTTGTTAACATATATACATGTACACTATTGGGTGTTATGTTTTCATAAAAACTTCTATAAATAAAGTTTAAAAAAATGTATAAAATAATATATAAATAATTATCACTGCTCCCATATTAACAATATTGCACATGTTCTTTTTTTGTATTACTTAACATCAACATGTCTTTTTGGTATCTTGATATCTACACTAATACGTGTGTCTTGCATCTTTCTGTACCATGTGAACATTGAAGGATCAGGCTGACGCTTTTTCTCATGTGTCATGGCGCTGACATCAAGAGATGCTAGATCCATACCCAGCAGCTCAGCGATTCTTTCTCTACCATAGATATCTCCATACTTCTCTAGCACCTGCAAAATAGGCATGTTTAGTTGTCAACAACACACAATACACAAAAGGTAACATCTGCACACACAGTTCTAACAAACCACTGACCTTTCGTTTTACAAATTTGTCCCAGTAGTTGTTCGGGAAAGACCTAAGTGGAAAATAGAAGTAAAACCATTTCAGATCATCTTGAAATTTATCCATTTTTAAATAATAATAATGATATAGTTGTATTACGGTGTATTAAGGACTAGTCGGTCCCACTGGCCCTTGATGTCGTCATCTTCTGGTTGTTCAGTTACATACAGACCATCAAACTCCAGTTTACGGGCCAGCTCCTTCTCTCTCTTAAAGATAACTAAAGGAACCTGGACAGGTATAAACAAATTAGCAATTCATATCAGATTAACCCACTGACAGGAAAATATCATGTTCCACAGAGCAATGAAAATTATCATAGCTTTAAAAATGACATGGGGTGAGTAAATGATAATGTCGTTAAAATAGTGGCAGAAATTAAAAGTCAAAATTTTTTGTTACTTAAAGTTAATTTAACCTCAGGATGCAATCAATTTTTACTAACTAACTTGCATATGCTGTGCACAACTTCAGTCTATAGCAGGGTTCATTAAAGGATCAATCTGCATTTTTAATGCTATTTTTCTATTTTTACTGATGGTAACTTGTTTATTTCACAATGAATGAGCCATTTAAATGAATCAATTCAATAAAAAGAGTGTGACCAGACACAATTTAGATACTGTTTTAGTTAAATAATAATAATAATAATAATAATAATTATTATTATTATTATTATTAATATTATTATTAATATTATTATTTATTATAATAATAATTACAAAAACAATAATTATAATTTTTTTAAAAGGTTATATTTAAAACTTTAATTTAATAACACTGAGTAAATGATGCATTTAAATGCACTCATGTCACCTATGAACCTCAGTTAATATACCGAAATGCCAATTGTCTATGCCATTTTCTGTAACTTCTTGTTTGGCACCTATTTCATTATTGTGTAATTATTATAATTTAAATTATTGTATATCTCATGAATTATAACATTTATAAAAAATAAAAACAATTTAATAATTTGACATTAAAAAACTGTTTTTAAAATTAAGAGGTTGGGAAACAAAACAAAACAGCACAGAACAGAAGAGAAGAGGGGCTCGTTTCAGAAAGGAGGTTAAGTGAAAACTCAGAGTATTTTAACCGTGAAATGAGAGAATCTCTGGCCTTTCCGTTTCAAAATGGCAGGTTTGTTAAACTGGAGAAAGCAGGGTAAGTCAAGCCTGTTTCTAAAAGAGAAGTAACTTTGGGCCTACTCACACTATGCTATCTGTACCGTGCCCCAGACCCGTTTCCCGGATCGTTTGAGAAGTGTGAGTGCACTGTATCGGGCTCAGGCAAGGTTTACTCGCCAGTTGGAAGAGGTGTGCAGAGCGCGGTTCACTTTGGGCTTTCGGTACGCTTGTGTGTGAGTGCAAAACGCGCCAAAGCACGAAAGTGAAAGAGAGACATGACTTTAAAGGGACTGTTTCATATGGATTTATTAATTATTCTTATTGTTCAGTTAACGCAAACTGCCGTAGTTTATTTAATAGGCAAACCCCTCACTGCACGACAGCTATGCACCTTCAGTAAACCTCCTAATTCCTGTAGCACGAGGGATTTATGATTGTTTATGAGGGTCAAAAGTGGCTGATCTGTTTGGCGAAATATCTGACTGCGTGTCACTGCATCCCTAAGGTCTAAAGCGATACAACTAGAGAAATCTCCACTGCACTGTGCTGAGCAAGAGCGCTTACTGAACAGCACAGCATCCATGACGTAAGCATGCCCAGGCCCGTTTGTAATGTGAGTTCGGGCCGTCGGGGGAGACGGGAGGGGGAATCATCGTGCTTTGGCCTGGTTCGATGCAACTGTACATAGTGTGAGTACGCCCTTTAACTCAGAGTCAGTTACTCTGTTAACTTACGCCGTGAATCTAACCTGGTCAGGAGCAGGTTTTATTTTCTAAACTTTCTGTCGGTCTCCTTCCCTTTTTAAAGACGAAGCGGTATTTCTCACCTTAGCCTTACGTTTCTACCCACCTATTTTAATGCTCATTTTGGGGATGTGCATAAAGACTGTTAACGGAAACATCATGATGCATATAACTTTTGAAAAAACGCATAAAAAAAACAAGCGCATAACTGAGTAGGATAAACTGTTATTCGATAAGAAAAGATGCACATAAACTACAATGGAAACACTTTTACTGAACAAATTACAGTATGTGCATTAAAAAAGGTTTGTTATAAGAGATCATATGATGATGGAAATGTGTGTGAATAGACAAACCAGCATGCTGAGCACACTGTAACATCTTAAATGTTGTTTTGGTCATTCTTTCATTCATTCATTGGTCATTCAAATGCCTTTACCGCTTCAGTATTAATATTATTATATTATTAATGACCTCCAGAGCATCTGGAGCGTGTCAAGAGCGTCTGTTCTCCGCATCTCATGGCTTCAAATGGTCACTAATAATATCTGTTCTTCATTGATAATACCTTTTTGAAGTCATGGTGTGAGCGAAGATGTCAACTCAAAGTTGATTGACCTAAATCAGATCCGCTATTTTGAAATCGAAAATGGTAAATCAACACAGAGTTCAATTTTAAACTCTGAGTTGGTTGAAACTCCTTACTGAAACAGGCCACAGAACAGAACAAAACAAAACAAAACAAAACAAAATAAAACCCTAACCGTGTGTCAACTAAGTGTCAACAAAAAATCCATATGTAAACATTGAACTCCTGACCTTGAGGCAGTTGTAGCCAATAATACACAGGAAGGAAATTATGGTGTGTAAGATGGAAAAGAAGGCCATGGCGGGCTCCATATATCCAGTGCTCTCCTCCAGGAAGTAGTAGACAAACCCGTTTTCCTCATCTTCCTCTCCATTCTCCTCCATTCCCGAACCTTCAGCCTCTCCAGAGCCTTCAAATACCCCAGAGCCCTCAAACACAGCAGAGCCTTCAAACACAGCAGAGCCCTCAAAGGCTCCAGAACCCTCGAACATAGCAGAACCTTCAAACTCTTCCTCCTCACCAGGCAATCTGTCAGACACCTAAAGAAGGAAGCAGCTGGTTTGAATCTTCAAAATTCAGCTCCTCTAATTATTACAGAGGACCACATGCTTGTGAGTTATTTTGGTGCAGGAGTTTCAACTTTTTGAAGCCAAAAACTCCAAAATATGACAACCCTATATCTAGTGGAGTATAAAGTACTAGAAAGCCACAGGTATGCGTATCTTACTAGAAAATGTACTTGGTAAAAGGTAAAGTCACTATTTAGAATATTATTTGAGTAAAAGTATCTGACATTTATTGTACTTAAGTTTAAAAGCAATTTTTTTAATATTTAATGTACTTAGGTAATGATAGAAAAAGTACATTTAAATGATGTAACTACAATTAAACAAAAAAACTTGAAATGATCATGTACAAGACTTTTGAACACACCATTTGGCTGCTGAATCTGCACTTTATGTCAATGTGTTTACTTCAATGTCTTGATGTTGGACAGTGACTTTTTAAATACCATTATCTATCAGCATAAGACACACTTTCTCCAGTTTGTTCATTCCCGGTGTTCATCTTTGCCACATTACGAGTGCCGCTGTCAGTTTTATTGTCAAGTAGGCCTAATATCAATACTTGCTATCCTGAAATGCTTGTTCGAAAAATGATATGAACAGCTGAGGTTGTGTGAGCACTCAATTACACATGCACTAATTGAACTAATTGACTAATTAAAGTAATGTAGCAGAGCACTGATTAAAGCTGCGGTCACATTTGAGCTTGTGATATTCTGTCGTGCGGCGCAGTGAAAAGGGCCGGGATTAAACAAGCTTAATAGACATTTTTAAAAGCGAGCGATTGCTCCATGTTGTAAATTTCTGTCCAGAGATGTCATGTTTTGATCCTCGATTGTTCTCTCGCAGTCAAGTGATGCGATTTCGCAGGTCAGAGTTCACCAAGCTTGAACTTTGCACCACAGCAACCTGCAAAACTTGATGCATGACCCGGTCTGACGCATTCGCGTGCGTATGAATGGAAGTCTATGGGAGGAAAAGCCCAGTGTGACTGCAGCTTAAGTCAAACTGACTTGCATTCTTAGTTTCTTTGGTTTTATTTTTTAGTAAGTAACGAATGTTCTTCAGTGAAATGTATCTTATAGTAAATGTATAGAAATCATTTTAAAAATATAGTCGAGTCAAATTAGGAGTTGCTAGAAAAATAAAAACGCAAGTAAAGAAGAGATTCTCGTAAATAAGCAGTATTATTACTTTGTTCACTTACATCACTGCCTATTTCTAAAAGAAGCAACTGTTGTTTCAAAATCCAACTGACCTTGTAGAACAGCAGAATAAAGTTGAGTGCAAAGGCGATAAACAGAGCCAGGAAGCGCAGGTTGTAGAAATTGCGAGACAGGTAATTCTAGGAATAAAATGGTCAAATATTTAATAGGTTAAAATCATCTGTGAATAATCTGCATAATATAATTTAATAAAGTATCATATAATAATAACTAATAATGAGAATTACCATGAATTTGATTCTTTGGATTTCAAGTTCATTCCAGAGTTCAAAGCCCACTTCCTCTTCCTTCTTGCCTTTCTTTGCTTTAGCTTTGGCTTTAGCTATCTCAGCTTGCTCTTCTTCTTGTTTGTCCTCCGTCTCAGGTTCAGCCTCCTTCTCTTTCTCTCCATTTTCAGCACTTTGATGAAAAGAATAAATACAAATGTTCACATATGAATGTATTTTATGAAAAAAATTGTACCGTTCTAATTTCTCCATTACTTACTCTGCTTTTTCAGGTTCTGGGGCTGGTTCTTCCTCCACTTTTTCCTCTTCTACGACTACTTCGCCTTCTACTCCTTCTTCACTCACCTGAAAACAATTACAAAAGAATTACAAAGCAATTATGAGAAGTTCCTTTGTTTTTGACAATCTAAAACAGGGGTCACCAATCTCGGTCCTGGAGGGCCGGTGCCCCTGCAGGGTTTAGCTCCGACTTGCCTCAACACACCTGCCTGGATGTTTCAAGTATACATAGTAAGACATTGATTAGCTTGTTCCGATGTGTTTGATTAGGGTTGAAGCCAAAATCTGCAGGACACCGGCCCTCCAGGAACAAGTTTGGTGAGCACTGATCTAAAAGCAATAGTATTTGGATGCAATTTGGATGCTCAGCAATGCAATGTCAGACACAATGCACTCAAATGGAGCAAGTGACGCCACGGTGAGGGGTAGGTATAGTGTTAGGTGAGCCATTAAAAAGCTTTGAATGCAGCTCAGATTGCACTGCACCAGGTCTGCATCCAGACCCCTTTCTCTAAAAGAACATTTACACAAAAGCTGGCGAGGAACAATTCACATGCTGAATGGTAATCAAAATTAAATCAAGATAGTGATTCTGAAAAAAAGCTGCGACTCTCAATAACACTTTATTTTGATGGTCCATTTGAGTATTAGTAGACTGTCTGATTAAAATCTGTTGATACTGCTCCTTCAACAAACATTTAACTGACTACAAGAAACTTTGGAAGTACATGTCAACTAACCCTAACCCCAACCTAACAGTCTACTTATAATCTTATAAGAATTAGTTGGCATATAGATGCAATGTAACTTAATTTAACAAACGCACCATCAAAATAAAGTGTGACCCGACTCTTATGGACATCTTGTAAGAAAAATGTTTCTGTGTTTAGTGTACTACGACTCTGTGTAGTCAACTCTGCTCCATCTAGATGCACATGCTGGAGGTTAATTTGAACCAGCTTTACTGACAAAACGCACATGAAAATAAACCTGGGTTAAATCGCCCAGCCTTACTTCAAGTACTAAAGTTCTTCTCACCAGTTTTCTCTTCAGCAGTGGACTGCCTTCTGGAGTAGGAGGCTCCTCTGGTTCAGTTTCTCCCATGTCTCCGAGACCACCATGAGGACCAAAGCCAGCTCTTCCATCTTCATCTTCTTCTCCCTCTTCTGCTTCCTCCTCTCCTCCTCCTGCTCCCTCCTCTCCCTCACCGGCTCCACCTGCTTCCTGTACTTTTCTTGCTCCTGGCTCAGGAGGAAGGTCACCGTGCACCTCGTCTTGAGTTGGGTCAGGCATGTTAGTCAAAATCTCTGTTAACGTCATCTTTTTAGCTCCCTCCACGAGACCTCCTCCAAAGAGAGTGTTCCAGATCAGCAAGAAGAAACCTTTGCAGACGCTGTAGATGAAGTGCAAGATGCCGAAGAGGACAGTGTAGAGGAACATCACCAAACCAACAATCATGTCCTTTATGGTCATTTTCCTGATTTTGCGGTAGCGGCGTCTGAGATTGCGGAAAGTAAAGAGGCTAAGGAAGTTAACAATGCTCTTGATGAAGTCAGCAAAGGCTGAGCTCGATTCAGGCGGTGCTTCTTCTCCATTCCCTTCCTCTCCTTCTCCCTCTCCACCTCCACCACCACCGCTCTCCTCCTCTTCTTCTTCATCCTCATCTTCAATGACCTCCTCCTCTTGCTCAGAGATCTGCGAGGCGATGTTCATCTCAAAGATGGTGTCCTCACAGAAGTTCACAAAGAGCTCCATCTTCTCAGACTCGCCACCCTCATTGACCACATCAAAGATGAACTGCCGTTTTGATTCTCGGACCTGAGGCATCTCCCACTGGTTACGATTGGCCTCGCTGATCTCAAAGTAGATACGTTCAATCCTTTTGCTAGCACCCATGATCTCGATTCGGCCCAGGAAGGGGCGGAAGTAGTTGAGCACACTCTCAGCTTGTTCCAAGAAGTTCTGCAAGCGAGTGTCATGAGGAACATGCTCAGACAGGTTGGTGAGGAGCACGGCGATGTTGAAGCCAATGTCTTTGGCAGGCTCTTGAAAGCGGTTGGCAAACTCCTCAAAATTGATCATCTCGTTCTCATCAGCTTCAGAGCACGACAGCAGGAACTGGATCTCAGATGGAGTGTACTGCTTCTGACTGTCCATAGCCTTGGAGAAGTCTTTCTTGGAGATGAGACCACGAGGGTCCGTCACATAGTCACGGAAAGCATCTGATGCCACAATATCCTTCAGTTTGAGGAACATGTCGAAGAACTTGAGAATCATCTCCACATTGCTTGATGACTCAACCAGCATGTCAACCATTTGGCGAGCGATTGTGCCATTCACAACATTACCTGTGGTAATACAGTGAATCAGACCATGACTAAAGTTGCTTTACTGATTTAAGAGGCCACCAAGAAAGTTCAGTACATTGAGCAGTTATCTCTTACCCTCAAGTAGAGAGAGAAGCATCACCACCATGTCCTTCTGTAGATCCAGAAGCTCCTTCAGCAGACCAATTTGACTGGAGTCCTGTGTTCACACAACCAAATTCAGACACACAACAACAAAAAAACACAGAGAATTATCGAAAAATGTCTCAAATTCTTCATGTAAAACCCATAAAAAAGCTTTTGGTTGTCATAAATTGCGTAGAACTTGTTTACCATTTTAATATAATATGCACCATGGAACCAAGAAAAGTATTGTGCATCAACATCTCTGTGGCATAACTAGCATCTCTGGGTCATGGATTGCTTTTTTGACGAGGGGGTGGGGGGATTTAAGAGACAGCACTACTGGGACAAAAGTCCACCTACTCTCAGCTTACCTCAGAATGGGTTCTACTCCAGAAATGATCCTTGGTTTGCATTTATAAATAGACACAAACATAGCATCACATACCGCAACCTTTTGTCTAACACATGAACATATGTAGGCGGATACAAACATAAAAAAGCCAGAAGAAGATGTCAATGAGGACGACCACATCAGCAAATTAGCAGTAAGCTGGAAGCAAATATTCAGAGCATCTGCTCAATATTGTGCAGCAATGTTATTCTGTATTGTCTCTGTTAAGATCAAACTCTTCATGACAGTCCCTGCAAAAAAATTTGGTAACACTTTCTATAAAGCTCATGCTCATAATGTATTATTAATATTATAGTCTATGTATGTATATATATTTACAAATGAAAAAATAATTAAAGAATTAAAATATTACAAAACATATTATTTTCTAGCCTACATAAATATAAAAACCAAACTTTCATGCCTTCTTCATCTCGGGGAGGGCTTTTTTCAGTTTATTCATAACAATTTGCTTTTTTATAATGTTGTTATTAGTAGTAGTAGTATTTATTATATGCATATTTATATTTGTTTTAGCTTAGATTTCAGGTTTTAGACCATATGGGGCAGCATGTGTATTAACTCAGTTGTTTGATCACACTTAACAAACAAAATTAATTATTTATAGGCTAATGGATGTCTGTGCGTACAACACGTTTCCCTATCCACGAGAGTAAAAGTGAAAGTAAAGAATCAGGAGGCTCATCTCTCACTCTCGTGCTGTATATGCTCTGTTTAACTGTTTTCTCTCTAGTAAATCGTTCAGTTTTTCCCACTTACAAAGTCCGCTATGTAAATAGCAAATGTGCTATGACGAGATGAAACTGACTCTTAAAGGGAATGGGAAATGTAGACACTGATTGTTTTTTTTTTTTTTTCCAAAACACACCTATAACTCTCTAAGAGAATAAACTCAACCATGTTAGACCATGCACTGTGGCACAAAGTGTATTTTTCTAACCTTAAAATAGCAAAAGATGATTCTGACATGCCCATAAGGCTTTTGTGCTATGCGCTTTGGACTTTGTGCATGGATCATCAAAATAGAGCCCGCAGTCTGCAACGTTATAGCATTATATTTAAGTTACCAAGGCTCAAAGTTACATTGATTATATTCTGTCTAATAAGTGAATGCTTCAATATTCTGAACAAGATCCCTGTTGCTTTATAAATACTTATTGTAAGTCAGTTACTAATCTGTATAAATGCATTATTGATGGCATTTTGCAAGTGTTTAAATCAGTGTATAATTTTTTGAGAACATGTATATTGAAAAATCAAATACATGCCTAATAAGTATTATTAACTATTATAAATGTAGCTTTAACATTCATTACATTATATTTCAGTCATGTCTTGCTTGATAATAAATAATTATAAACAGGGTTATAATGTAATGCATGGGCTTCATAGAAAGTGCTAGCAATATTTCCTTAAAGTGCCATAACATGTAAGCCCTGTACAGAAAAAGTGCAATATTTTGCACATTTGGACACATTCATTACAAAACAAATTGCATAAGCAATACATAAGCTTCACATGGGCCATCTCACAATAAAATCACATTCAAAACACACATGGAACATGTGTATTTGAAACATTTTCATATTAAAAAGAAGTATGTGATTCATGTGAAGGTGTTTATTCCTTAAGGTATAGGACACCATATAAAGCAAACAGCCTGCATCAATAACAATTATTATGGTCTAATATGTTAGAGGAAAATAAATGTCCTTTATAAGTAAGCAAAAGCACAAACAAGGCATAGCGACATTGTGTATCAAAATGAACCCAATATGGCCAAGTCCAAGACAAAAATGTTGACATTTAAAGTGACTTGAGAAGAATCTTGACATCCTGACAAATAACCAATAATTATGATAAAGCACACCTCCTATTCCGCTTGCAGGACATGTGCTGACACATAAGCAAAATGGAAGAAACAGGAGTGTGTGTGAGGAAAGAAGTGCAAAAGTGCATTAGACGAACAACAACAAAAAATCCTTACGCCATCTCGGAGTCCTTGGTCAGGGTGCATCTGGCAGGGTTACACATCAGAATAAAAATGTTATCCATAAACATTTTTAATACATTTTTGTATTGATCTCATCTCCCACTCTCTTCATCCACTCATTTATTATGTTTTCATTTCTTTTCAAAATTTAATTCACTTTTCTTTGTACCTACAACTTGAGGCTAAAATTGCTTTAGATTGGAATTAAAAAACATGTTAATTATCATTATGTTCAAAGAGTAAAACTCAATCATCCCACATAGCCAGATTTCATGAGGGAACTCTTTTATAGATTGTCAGAAAAGTGGAAAATTGCTCATATAAATGAATTCATATAAAAACATAAAATTTTTTAAATGAGGCGTAGCCCCAAACCCCATGCCCTAAACCCAATCCTTATTAGGGGATAAGCAAAGGGTACTAAATGTATGAAAGCAATTCATACAAATTCATATTAATTAGCCACTGAATCTAAAAGTTATGAACTGCTGTGAGATTGTGTTGCCTCATATTGTTGGTCGAGAAACCAACTTTGACACATATCTTTCAACAAACTGGTAAATGTTTCACTATCCTTTTTAAAGCTTGAGAATGGGAGAGATTCTCAATATTGAGAAATACAAAAATGCAGTACAACAGTACCAGATGTGTAACAAATATTAGAAGAAAAATCAAACACACAGCAGAGAGGTTAAGAAAAACGTTTAGCTTACTAGATTAATAGATTAGTGCATCAACATCACACAATGAAAATGTTCTACACCCATGGATCATTGGCAATTTTTGACTACGTTGGACTAAACAGAACAAATACAGAGGGAAATTCAGCAGTTTTGGAAGAGATCAGTTAGTGGACTAGTTCTCCATCATTAAAAAATACAATAAACCTCCTAGGGCTTAGTGGCCACATACATAGACAGCACATTTTAGCTCCTTGGTGGCTATTTAAAATGCTTTGAATGTTTTGTATTTTGTTACAGACATACAGAGTCATCCTGAAACTCTTTTGCAGCATATAAAATGTCTCAAACTCTTTTTTTAACTGTCCAAAATGGGCAAAAAATGTTTTTACTTTCTGATAGTCAAACATGTTCAAAAATATGTGTGTTATTAATGCATTATAAACTGTCAAGAAAAGTTGTTTTATGTAAATTTGGACCACGAGTTCACATATATGGACATAATTTTTCTCTAAAAGTACATCATATCAAAATATGATACTTAGGTGTTATTCTAATTAGGTCCAAATAAGTCCAAATAGTAAAGAGAAATAAAACATGCATAAATAAATAGATTTGGTAACTCCAGCAATGTTTATCCTAAATATGTAATTTGTGATATGAAAAGGGAGTGAATAAACCTGAATCAAATGAGATTATAACCTAACTTTTAAGTGTGAAACATAATTTTACCCATGGTTAAAAGCGGTGTTTAGAACAGCGATGACCTGGAGTTAAGCACAGTGTAAAAACCAAAATTAGTAAGATTTAATAAAAAAAAAAACAGACAAATAAATTCTAAAATAAATAATATAAATGATTTATAATTTTTGCACATGGATGGAATATGCAAGTAAACATTAGTGCTGAGAAAAAAATGCAAACTCCAAGCCAGAGAAAATGTATTTCATTAGTCTACTTTCTGGTCATACTTATATAGAATATATAGATAATACTTCTATAAGTATGCATGTATGAGTTCTATTATATAGCAAAAACAGTATGATCAATGTAGTTGAAACAACATAAAATAAAAATTAAGGAATGTATAAAATTATTTTACATAAAAATCCGATTCAGGGGCGCAACTACACATTTACTGAGGGTTATGCTGGGTATGCCCCCCACCATTACCACCACCACCACCACCACCACCAATCAAACTACATTTTATAACAGGCAAGAGATAGTGCCAAAATTTTCCATCAATATATTAAAGATATTTTTTTTCCTCATCAACATGCTTCAAACAAATACATTTTGCAGTTCTGAACACATCTGAAATAATATGATGTAGTAAATGTATGATTACACTAAGCCTGTTAAGTCACAAAGAATTAAATCTTATCACTCATATTTCTTCTCAATTTAATTTTCCTCACTAAATGATTAAAGCACCTTGACATGCCTTGCTTTTGTACTTTGTGTACACTTGTGAAAACAAAATGATAGATATGGGAGTCCTAAAGGGCAAACATAAAAACACAATCACTTCTCATATGCGAGGTGTAAGGTCTGTCTTTGCATTAACAATTGACTGAAACTGCTATTCCACCTCTCACAACGTGGAATAAAAAAGACAGTAAAATGTTTAGTCTAAATGATAAACAAAGACAATCTGCCTAAAATGTTCTATTTTATCAAAACGTTATGGGCAAACTTTTTTTGTAACTAAAATCAAAATAGTTTTGAGCAAAAAAAGTTACCAAAAGGCCTAATGTTTCAATATGACATATAATACATTTATAAAAACATGTGTATGGTATAAAAATAGATCTTGATAGAAGGATTAATAAACATTTCAAAATGTGAATATTCTGACTATTTGTTCATGTGTCAGTTTTAACAGGATTAAGAATCATTACAATCAAGTAAATGAAATTCATATTCACATAATCATACATTTTGTGTGATTCCTCTTATTTTGGCAAAATAATTAATTAATAATAAACAATAAATCAATTTTTTTTTTCAGATTAATCATAACTTTTGACCTCAACTGTACTGTATGTATGATTTGACAGTTTATTTTGATAAAAATGTAAAAAATCTAAATAGTTCCATTTATATGAACACTTTACCCTTGGCTGAGTGACTGCATGTTATTGTGTTACATGATTGTGAATAAAACCTGTGTGCCAACATATGCAGCTCATGGTATAATTTTTCATTTAATAAAATACAATATTATACTCGTATAAAATGCAAAAGAAACATTTTTAACAAAACATATTTATTTATTTATTTTAATTATTTGAAAATTTTAATAAGGATAATTAGTGTGTGGCAGCATATACTGCAAACCCCCTTTTTTGCGCCCCTGACCTGATGTATTTTCAGAAATACTTGCGCAGCCATACTTACTGACAATACTATGCATTTTTTTCTCCGTTTTGCTTTGCGTACAGTTGGTGAAATGATGCTTTGCATTTAGATTAGGCAAAACTAAATGACAAGTGCTTCATTATGTTGAAATAAACAAACATACAGATGACACTGATTCAGAGTTGGCGGAACTTTTCCAGGAAAGTGCCGGAGTCTTCTAGGTGCAATAAAATTGATCAATATGGTAAAATCGATCAGTCATGTTAGGGGTTTGTGTTTGCTTGACATGTGTGCTGATACCTGTGCTAATTTCATCATCATGTGTGCGAACACGTGCAAAAATCCCACCACAGCATCCCACAGTCTGCTGTGAGCGAGAGACTGCTGGTTTCCGGTGCAAGGGCCCTATGGTTGAGAAACAGCCAAGTGATTAAACATGATTGAGATGATGGTCTGGAAGAACCTGAAAGAGCTCAACTTCACAGACAATTGTCAACAGTACCTGGATATACTCTGTCAAGCTGTTGAAAACCTGTTTAGCCACAGTCATGGCCTTAGAGAAGTTCCTCTTGCCTGGTTCATCAATAATATCCTTTCCAGAGTAATACCAGTAGAAGTCACTGATAGATTCCTGAGATGGAAAAGACACACAATGACTTGGAGAAATCCTAATGTGAGCAGTTTAACCAGAACCATATAATCGGTCATCATTTACTTACTCTACACTTGTTTCAAACCTTTCTTCTGTTAGACGCAAACATAGGTATTGTGGGAATTCTTAAAACACTAGTTTGTATTGATGCTGGATGTCTTGGGTTACAGATATCCAAATTCTTCAACTATCTTTATTTATACTCAACAAAAATAAGTGATGTTTATTTATAAACTAATTTTGAGAGGATCACATGCTTATGATTGCTAACACCTGGATTCGCATTATTCAATTCTCAATGCACCAATCAGACGACTCCTAAGCTACTACAAATACCCTGGGTTACGCATTACTGCTATCTTTGTTTTGAAGAGTCCCCCCTTCCACCTCTACCCCTCCTTTTTCCTAGATGGGTGACACAGAGGCCCAGTGCTTCTGGTTCTAGGCTTTACCAAACCAGCAGACGTTTCTGTGCAGAGTTTGCACTTTCTCCCCATGTTTACTTGGGTTTCCCCCAGGTTCCCCGGTTTCCTCCCACCGTCCAAAAACATGCAACTTAAGTTAACTGACTAATCCAAATCTGCACCATAGACATGCTTCTAGTATATAGTTATCTCTTAACAGCAATCACTATCTGTTTATTAGCTACTACAGCAGGGGAGTTCTCAAGAACTACCTAAGCTCAAAATCCCCTTGCAACGGGAGGGAGCCCCGGGCTTGAGGATCTTATGAGCTCAGGGCTCTCTCTTGGGACAGCATGTCAAAGTAGCTTATAATTAATCATCAGCTAAGTGTAAACTCTTGAAGAATATCTCAAAAATTTGGAACCATTTGAGCATTTTAAATAGTAAGAAAATTAAGATAATTTTGGTGAATTATCATTTTAAGCTGTATTTGAATAAGTCTTCTGACTAAGCTTTTACAATTTTGCAATGAAATAGATTTGTTGAAGTAAAAACTAATTCTAATACCCTGATTTTTCTTTTGTATTTAACTTATTCATCAATGTTTCATTCAAACTGAAAAGCACAAAATGATATTTCGACCTTTAAAATACCCCCCAAAAAATAAATAAATAGACAAATTCAATCCAAGGGGCCATTCACACAGAACGTTACATCTAAAACAGCGTTCAGTAATGTCTTAGAGCAACTGTAAATATAGGAGCTCACAACGCTTGCCCCTTCAACGAGTTATTGTCTGATTAACCCATTGCTTTAAAGCTGAAATCAATGAGGGCCATTGTGTGTAAAAGTTGGATATATACACACATATATCCATAGTGTATAATTTATCATTGCTTGACATTGAAAGTAAAATGTATTTAAAAAGACATCTATACAAATGAAAAGTGACACTGGTTTATTTAACAACACTACACTGACAAACACAGCTTTGAACAGAAAGTATGATGATCTGATTTTAAACCTGTATCAAAGCTGGCATTTGCTAACTGTAACCAAGCAAAACAAACAAGAACGATGTATAAAATAAATACTTGCATCTTTGAAACTCTAGCTTCACATTGCCCAATGCCATGAATTTTTGGAATTTTTTTACACACACACGAATTTTTTTTTTTCCCCACAGCTTTTAGAACATTCCTTTCATAGATAAATTGAATCCATTTCTCTGTTGCCTGTTCTAACGCAAGGATTCTGACAGGAAATTCAATGGGTCATTTATGTCAGATAAATATATATAAAAAACCTAGTTGCATGTTTTCTTTTCAAAACATCTGAGCTGGCACACATAAGAAGCTTAACTAAACACAAAAACAAGAGTAAATAATCAGACTTCACCTTGAAATTGTTTTAATAATTTTGAGACAACTTTAGATTTAAAGATAATGAAACTTTACCTGCAGTCTGAGCAGAAAGTCTACTGTGCAGATGATGATGTTGATGGTGGTTGTGCTGCCTGTTTGTGTGCGCAGGTAGTTCTGGAAATCTGAAAGGAGAAGATCACTCAAAACAAGCTACAATAGTTTGTTTGTTTGTTCATTCATTTATTTGTTTATATATTACTAGCTACAATTTTGCAATTACCCGCTAATTTTTTAAGAAATCTTTTTCCGATGGTGTAATTATGTTTTTAAAAAAATATCTAAAATATGTTGAAGTCTAAAAACAGTTCAAGTCAGCATTATTAGCCCCCTTCAATTATTAGCCCCCCTGTTTATTTTTCCCCCCGTTTTTTGTATAACAAAGAGAAGACTTTTTTAACACATTTCTAAACATAATAGTTTTAATAACTCTTTTTTAATAACTGATTTATTTTATCTTTGCCATGATGACAGTAAATATTATAATAATAAGACACTTCTATACATCTTAAAGTGACATTTAAAGCCTTAACTAGGTTAATTAGGTTAACTAGGCAGGTTAGAGTATTAAGGGAAGTAAAAAAAAAAATGATAGTTTATTCAGTAGACTATTGGAAAAAAAATAGCTTAAAGGGGCTATTAATTTTCTTGAAATGGCGATTAAAAAATTATAAACTGCTTTTATTCTAGTCAAAATAAAACAAATAAGACTTTCACCAGAAGAAAAAATATTATCAGACACACTGTGGAAATTTCCTTGCTCTGCTAAACATCATTTGGGAAATATAAGAAAAGAGGAAAAAAATAATAATTAGGGGGCTAATAATTCTGACTTCAACTGTATCAGTGTTTATTTTGTTAATAAAAATGGTCACATTTATATTCACTGACAATCTTTAATTCCAAGAGTAGGGTAAGACGAAGACAAGATGGATAACATTAGATGCTAACAGGGACTACATCCGCATGCAATTTTGTTGACAAAAAAAAATAAAATACAAGACTAAAATGAAGTTAAAAAGTGATCAGTTATTAACCAAATATCTTTTTTACAATCCGCTGCATTGTGCTGTTTATTCATTATATTAGTGGATCAGAGCACATGCATTCATAGTTTTTACTTTTCAGCTGACCAAAAGCTCTGCAGCTCTGTCATGTTAGCCACAGGGTTTTTCAACTGGTGAACCATGACCTGATCCCGGCTACGGAGGTACTTTGCTTCAGCCCTTTAAGTAGCCTATTGTTAAAAATGTAATGTAATTCAGTGATAAAACAGTCCATACAGTTAAGAAATTATGGACATCTGTTTCATGAGCCATGACATGATGATGAATCTTTGGACAATAGCGTCTGCTAAATGACTAAATGTATATGTAAAATGACTGACTGACAACCTGATGCTAGATCGCAGCTTTTCTTAGTTTTTTTTAAGGACAAATATACATTAAAACAAATGTTGTGACAAAATAAAAACTTGATTATTGTGTGCACTTATGTGCCAGGTGTCCTATTTTTAAAAAATTTATAATTTAAGTCTCTAGAAGCTCACCATTATTGTGGCCTTCACAAAGCAGTTGCAGGAAGCGGAAAAGGTCGCAAGTGAATTCATCATCTGCCATCACTTTCTCCTCTAAAAAGGGAAACACACAAACAGCATGAATGTGAGGCAAGACAAACTAAACAGTGTCTTATTATTAGATATTATTACTTTCCAACTATTAAAAAAGTAGTTAATGTGAAAAACTAATTACAAAAGAGCCAGTTTTGATACTAAAACCTTTTAGATTTGAATATTAACAGAAGTTTCCTATGTTGATGGTAAAATATCATCCTTAGTCCACTTAATAAATAGATTCATATATAAGAAATAGTCAACCCAAAAATGTAACCCTGTCATCGTTTACCTACCTCATTTTGTTCCAAACCCATATAATGTACCGTTTTCTTGTATGATTTAGATAAATAAATAAAATTAAAACATCATAAACAAATATTTTATATCAAATATAGTATAAATGAGGTCTGAACTCACTTTATGACACCTTTAGAAGTTTTTTTTTCACCTTAAGAAGTCTTTCTTTCTTTCTTTCTTTCTTTCTTTCTTTCCATTTTGAAAGACATTTACTAAGCTTTCCAGTGATTTATTTGACCAATACAACTTCTAATATTATTCTGTAAATAAGAGTATACAGGTTTGGAACGACACAGGGTTAAGTGAATCACACTAACTAATATCACTTTCATTTTTGGGTCAACTGTCCCTTTAGAAACTTTGGGTGTTCTTTGATTTTAATCACAGCACTTTCAGCCCCCATTAGCATGTTAGTAGAACCACAAAAGACCTGCTGTGCCACATCCGTTTAGCTGTTTACTGAAGCAGACCAGCAAACGAGGAGACCTGACATCAACACAACGTTTAACACTAGTAGACACACACACTGACAAATCACACATGAAAAATACGGCCACTTCAAAGGGACAAACATTAATACAATAACTGAGAAAAAAAAACAGAGACATGAACAAAAGTGTACAAGGACACACATGAAAAAAATCACAGACACGGAAAACACAATAACAGTGAGATCTTCATGAAGAACATACATGGAGAAGAGTTTTGATCTTCTTAGACAAGACCTAAAAATTTAAAACACACTGACTCACAATCATGCAAAACAGATCTACTGCACTCCTGGAGGAGATGGAGAAAAAGGGAAAGATGAGCCATGGGAAGTTGAGGCCTCAATGGATTAATGTGCCCTGAAGTTTATATATGGAAATAAGTTGCTATTAAACAGAGTAATTCTGGGTGCACACCAAATGCTAATTTAGTTACTTGTGCGAGTACTGTAGATTACATACAAAGTCAATTGAAACTAGCAAATAGAAGCAACTTTCCACAAGGGAAGTGTAAATGACATTGAATGCATGAAGTGTTTGCTGTGATCGCATGGAAATTGTCTTAACAGTGTCTTCCGTGCAAGTACAAAAAATTCAACTTGAGAAGAAAACTTATGCAAGGTTAAAAAAACATCCTGTGAGTAATCTATAGAGAGTGATGGAATGGTTTGCGTCTGGTGTGAACCCAGCACAAGACTACGAGAAAAAAACAAAAAAACAAAACATGAAAATATCCTTGTTTTCCCTTAATAAAATAAATAGTGAACATATGGAAGTTAGATTAGATAAATATGGAAGTTAGGTTAGATAAATAAATAAAAAAACAAACAAATAAATAAATAAATAAATAAACAAATAAATAAATAGTCAAAATATAAAAATAGTTGTCATTTCAAAACTTAGTTAGGGTGCTTTCACACCTATACTTTTGTTTCAGAACTTGTCTATGTGAATCCAGCTATCGCGCTCGGATCCACACCAAAACAATAGGTCCGAGATCGCCTGAATGAGGTGGTCTTGGCTTGATTGAAACGAACTCTGGAGTGGATCGATTGTAGTGAAAAAGCGATACGATTCGAGCCTGGCTATATCACATTGGTTTATGGATATGTAAAAGGCATACGGCTATATGAAGAGAGAATTATGAGTAGGGCCGGAGGTCATTCCAGACATCCAAGTCTCCCAGAGGTTTCGGGGATCTCCCGCAAATGCACAGAGACTCCCGGATGACCGCAAACGAGTGACAATCTCCCGGATATTGCACGTTCCCTCCCGGTCCTCAAATACATTGCGCACCCTTCTCACCCCTCCCCTTGCATCCCTCCTCACTCTTCAGACACGTCGCGTGCACGATGTCAAACAACACCAAACCACCACCCCCCCTGACAGCTGAGCGGGACTCAGCAAAATAAACCGTGAAACTCTGACCAATCTCAGGAGAGTTTACTCACACATGACTTGTTTTAGCTCTTTTGGCCTGTTTAGAAACTTTGCCGTGTGAAAGCAAACCACACCAAGAAAAAAGAGCAACAATGTAACAATTTTAATCCCTGTTTAGGAACAAATGAATCAATTCACAGATGTGAAAGCACCTTTAATCAAAAAAAAAAAAAAAAAAAGTAAGAAAAAAATAGTGCAAAACATATTTAAAATTCAATTAACATAAAACAAAATAAAATTAAATTATTGTTTGGTCACAGAAATCAAGCATTACAGTTTAGCCATCTGGTTTTAGGATCTACTGTCTACAGATAAGAAAGATATAAGTCATATGAGTATAAAGCATTAGTAAATGTTAGATAACTACGTTGTGGGCCAGTGAAATCTTGAAAAAAAAAAAAAAAAAAAAAACTATTGGCAACTTTAAGTCTTGCAATTTTGGCTTTTATCACAATTCAACTGCAAATTCAGCATTGCAAGACAAAAAAAATGTCTGAACAGAAACAAACTGATTCAAACTGTGTTCACCATGAAATGCTCTCCATAAAGCTTTTAAAACTGGATCATTCTGTTCAATTTTGAAAACAGTTCAGTTTAGGGAACACATATAGTTTTTACTATAGACTGATTGCTTATTAGCATATTACTATGTTGGCTGTTTATTAGTACTTTTAAAAAACGTATCTTGTTTATTTAAAATTCCTACCCTATAACATAAATAGTACAGTTACTACCTTGCTCATATCAATACACAGGACAAACTATTCCTCAATATAAAATGATGACAACAGTTTTTCTATAACTGAAGAATATAGAATAGTATGACAGCTTGGTTAAAGTCAAAAGCAGCAATAGGCTGTGTTTGATTATTCACATTTCCTAGTCAGATTATAACAATGATATTTTCCCTTTCTTTTAGTTTATCTAAGCTGATATTAAACAAACTATAGAGCTGCAATATATATATATATATATATATATATATATATATATATATATATATATATATATATATATATATAGCGTAATGTATATAAATACATTATGTTATAATGTTATAGTATATATATATATATATTTTTTTGCCATTGTTTAAAATTTCTATTCTTTTAAAAATATATTTTCAAGTGAAGTTTAACAGAATGACGAATTGTTTAGAGTATTTTCTATAATATTTTTTTTCTTCTGTGGAAAGGTTTAACTATGTTGGTTTGGCTGGAAAAAAAAGTAGCTTTTCATTTTGCTTATTGGCTGTTTTACCTTATTTGCCTAGTTAACATAACCTAGTTAAGTTACTGTCATGCAAAATAAATAACATATTATGTACTGTCACTCACACGCACACACACACACACACACACACATACACACACGCGCACACACACGCGCACACACACACACACACACGCACACACACACACACACACACACACACACACACGCACACACACACACACAAACACACACACACACACACACACACACATACACACACACACACACGCATATTTATATACAGCATACAGTTGAAGTCAGAATTATTAGCCCCCCTCAATTATTAGACCGCTTGTTTATTTTTTCCCCAATTTCTGTTTAAGGGAGAGCAGATTTTTTCAACACGTTTCTAAACATAATAATTTTAATAACTCATTTCTAATAACTGATTTATTTTATCTTTACCATGATGACTGTATATAATATTTTACTAGATATTTTAAGACACTTCTATACAGCTTAAAGTGACATTTAAAGGCTTAACTAGGTTAATTAAGGTAACTAGGCAGGCTAGGGGAATTAGGCAAGTTATTGTATAATGATGGTTTGTTCTATAGATTATCGAGAAAAAATATAGCTTAAAGGGGCTAATAATTTTGTCTCTAAAATGGTAGATAAAAAATTCAAAACAGCTTTTATTCTAGCGGAAATAAAACAAAGAAGACTTTCTCCAGAAGAAAAAATATTATCAGACATACTGTGAAAATGTCCTTGCTCTGTTAAATATTTAATATAAAATATAATATATAATATAATAATATAAAATATTTAAAAAAGAAGAAAAAAAATCGAAGGGGGCTAATAATTCTGACTTCAACTGTATCTATATGGAGAGCAAATGTTCATAAGTGAAAGATTAGTTAAAAGCTTTTTACAATTGTTTTGCCACAAATCGAAGAACCCTGGTGTCAATTTATTAATATATTACCTGTTGTGTTATATATTTTATACATATGTTTATACAACAGTTCTGTCTGGTTCTCGAATCTGATAGACGTGAGATATGTAAGTAATATCAGCACCCATACAGCCTCTTTACCCTTTGTGTATTACTCCGCCCACATACAGTCAGCAACAAGCAGAGGACAGTCTACAGTTTGACAAATATTACAGCTGTTGGACAACATAATGTGCTTTTAAGACTTTTTTAGTTCAGAATGTACTTGTTTAGATTGTAACTATGCAGTTTATTTAGAAGAATAGTGACTATTTTTAAATATTTACAATTTCTGAGAGACAGCGCATCAGCAGCCATAGCCTGCCATACTGAGTAGTAGACCAACGCGGGTTGACGTTTTCATCCACAAGATGGCGACAGGACTGCAAAATAGATTACACCTTAAAAAAGACTGATAATAAGCCTTTAGAAGGCTCAAACAGCGTAACTACAGCAGATCAAATCATTATTAAACTGGTAAGTGATATTCCAAGTCAATCTCTCTATTTTGTATTATATAGTGCTGTATTTATAACGTTACCATAAGTAATTGTAGCGCATTAAGTGTGAGATATGGAACTTACGCATCAGGTGTTGTGTGTGTTGTGTTGGCAGAGAGAAAGATGAGATGCCCAAATCTATTTAACGTTTTTCCTTCTTGGAAACACAACAGCAGTCTGGTAGTAACTGCGCTGCTCTTTTGGGGGTTTATTATTGTGATATTGTAACAGTCGCTTAATGTTTGATAAGCATTTTATATAAATGTCCTGTCCCGTTTAAGAGGACTTCTTCTGTGGTTGTTTTACCTTTGAAATATAAACACACATGCACGGGAGCTCAGTTCAGTTCAGTGAGCTCTGAGAAGTGTGTGATGGTCGCTCTACCGCTATATAATTCTTTTATTTCAATTATGGAAAATTTATTTTGCGACATACTTTTATGTAGTCGACAGCACTTGGGAGAAATGCAAAAAGGCAAATAGGATGAGCGAAATAGTTTGTCTGCTTTTATGTAATCATAAAAGTCTCTGGGTAAACACCAGGGACACCTGGCACCCGTCACAATATACCGATTGCAACAGAAAAAAATACTGTAGACGGTAATAGACTGTACGGAAATATCTCTGTCTGATGGCATTGTCACGTTCAGCCTTATAATCCTACAATGTGAGCAAAATCAGCTGTTTTGTGATCACTTTAGACATTACACTATAGAGAGTCATTCAAACACTAGCTCTAAAGTGATGTTGGTGAATTAATAACAGCTTCTGCTGTTTTGAATGGCGGAAGAAAGTAGTTCCTAATACAAAAGGGTTTTTAGACTCTCCATGTTTGATTTTTTTTTACATACAATTATGCAGTTGAACTGTTGTATAAACGCAATATCACACTCGTAGCAGTAAGCTATGGCTGTATATCAGCACTGGTGGGACGCTAAGGCACTCTGCCTAAGGCCTCGTGCCAACGCACACCTCCCACCAGTGCTGATATACAGTCATATTGCATTGCTACTTGTATGATATCGCTCATATATATGTATATGATAAGGTTGAAAACAAATAAAGAGTGATTTTTGCAATATTTGACAAATATGACATTTTATATACAGCATGTGAAATCCAAATTTAATTTGTATATGTTGACATATATCATGTAATAGTTCAGCTTTTAATATGGGATTGTGCAGTCAGAAACACTTATGTTAACTTTACTATTTTTTTTTTTACAGTAAACCTGTGTTATGATTGAATCAATGAAACTACTTCAGTGATTCAACTGTCTGTACAGTTCCCTCTACACAATGTAAAATATGATACAACCTGTATCATATTTTAAACAACAATATTTAATGATTGTTAATGATTGTTTATTGAAACGGTGTGGATCTTGAGATTATGTGAACCAATGATCCTGTAAATGCAAGACTTCTCTAAAGAAATGAACGCAAGATGCAGAGTTTTGAACACTGGAGAGTCTGTGATAAAACTAGTGCCTGTTTACATTTTTTAAAATTGACATCAGGGTTCTGAAATTTGCTGCAAAACAATTGTGAAAAACTGTAATCAATGTTATTGATGACCATTAAATCAAGGTAAAGAGAGTTCTACAATCTAGGTCATCTCTATTGTTCTCTGCCATTTCAGATGCTTTAATTCTTTTGAAATAAGCATGGCGGCTCATTATTTGAGGGACCTCTTCAAATAATGCTAGATGGCTCATTTGAAAGACATGGGGTATTTTCCTAAATCTGCAAATCATTTCATTTCAGCTCTCTGTGATCTCCTCAGAGAAAACTGATCCGAAAAGAAAGTACAAAAGCCTTTCTTTCCTCTCAATCAGCCAGTGAATGTTGGAGTTACAGTAGATCTGTGAAAACAGCACTCAAGGGCAAAGCGCAAAGAAACTTTACAGCCATTGCTGATTCAAAAACAATTTTTTTTTCAGGAATATCATAAGAAACGCACTTTAAAATTTGTGATATCAAATCTTTCTACTGATTATAAAGAATGTCTCAAATCCTTGGCAATGACTGAAGAGTTATCTTTTAAGTTCCCTTGAGTGCGAAATGAAATGCAGGTAAACTACACGCCAGTGAAAGGAGATCTTCATAATGTAAGAGCTGGAAAAAGGAGGAGGACAGGAGGAGATGGGACAGGAGGAAAGAGGGAGTGATCGTAAAATATAGAGACAAGATTATTTACCACGTTGCAGCTTCATGTCTGAAAAACAAGAAGAGGAAAGAAGGAGAGGAGAGGCATAAACGAGAAGGTTGGGGATGGAGTGATGGTGGTGGAGAGAAAGAGAGAGAGGCAGTGAGTTGGACACAGTTGGACTGTAGGCTTCCAGCATGGGAAATGTAACAGACTGATACATACAGACACGGTACATTATGACGCTTCTGTGGGAAACAAAGTCAATGAACATTAAACAAATACAGTCTAAGTATTACACACACTGAGTGGAAACATCTGCTGTGAACCAAACATTTGTAATATATAATAATAGTATATTACATGCAAGTTTATATTCACACCAAAGGTTGAATTTAAAGCTAAACTTCATAAAATGTTATACGTAAAACTAGTTATTAAAATACATATGTCCAATGGTGTAGTAAACACACATTTTAAAAAATACATTTTCTCAAAACAAATCTTATCCTGTTCATTATTTCTATTTTTAATACTTTTATTAGATGTATTACTTTTAATAAAATAAGTTAAAATAGTTTTTTTAAACATCACGCAAAAGATAGGATTCAATCAATTCAGAAAATATTTTACTTTATTTATGAAAATAAGAACATTTCATTCCGGATTTTACCTTTTCAATTTTATTAATCTCTTTTAATCTGGTTTGTAATGTTAACTTCTCATGCTAAAACATTACTTGGAGTTAAAAGATCTTACCGGGTCCCACTCTTTATAAGAAATAATTTTCCAGGTCATTTCATGCAGCTTTAACTGGTAATTCATGATAAAACCTAGAGAAACCTCACTTGTTTCATATTCAAACATTAAAAAAAAAAAAAAAAAAAAAGCAAAGCAAAAAAAAAAAACAAAAAAAAAAAACAACAACAACAGAAAACAAATACAGGACAAGATGTATTACTTATGTATTACATTTCCATGACGGAAAACAACCCTCTAGAATACCAGGTTTTCCAGAACGGAAATACCAGGCTTTTTAGAAAACAGTTTGAAACTGTCTGAATTATTCATTCATTTTCCTTCGTCTTAGTCCCTTATTTATCAGGGGTCACCATAGTGGAATGAACCGCCAACTATTCTGGCATATGTTTTATGCATCAGATGCCCTTCAAGCTGCAACCCAGTACTGGGAAACACCCATACACACACACTCATATACTGCGGCCAATTTAGTTAATCCAATTCACCTATAGTGCAAGCCTCGTGGGGAAAACAGGAACACCCAGAGGAAAACGAGAATATGCAAACTCCCCACAGAAATGCGACCATCTTGCTGTGAGGCAACAGTGCTAACCACTGAGCCCCAATTTAAGAATTAGTTTAATATATACTTTTTTAATTCTGTGAAGAGGCACAAGGATATAAAAGAGCTGTCAGTGTTTTTAAACTCACTTGTGCCTTCCTCTGACACCATGCCAAGACCCTCTGCCTTATTCTGCCTCTCAAATGCATTCAGGTCTAGAACACTGGAAAAAAAACAACAACAACATTACATTACATTTATATCACACAGTCTGACAAATTCACTGGCAATAAAATAGCCTATCCATGTGATAAAAACATGTTAGAGAAAAATACATTTAGATTAATCGGGGAAAAAAATAAAATAACAAACAAAAACTCTTGATATTCCATGACTTGGACCCTAAAAACCCATATAAAATTCCCTGACCTACAATGTCTGGAAGAGATCTTTTAAAATTCCATAATATTCCAGAAATCCAATAACCTGAGGGAACCCTGAGGTGTAATGGCATCACCACCCTAGGTGTGCATTATTTTTTAATAATTCAATAAATTTCATCAATTGAACATGTACCTGCAGGTTTGCATGAGAGCTTGTAAGCTCAGGAAAAAGCCGACATCTTTCTTATCCTTCAGGTAATCCAACATCCTCTGTCACACAGACACCAAAGAGAATGTTTACAGAATTGTAAGGGGTTAAAAGATCTGTTCATGTGACATTTAGTAAGAACAAAAGGTGTCATCTATAGAAATCAGAGAGTCTCGTCCACTGACCTGCTGAACATCACTGTTGCCGCCATTAAGGATTGAGATGCCAAGTTTGAGAGTTGAGGACACCATGACTCCTGTCTCACCTAAAACAAATGCATTTTACAAAGCAACATAAACCAAATGTGATACAGAAAGGTCTACAAAGCAAATGCTTGAGGTCAAAATTTTAATTTTAGTTTTTTTTTGTAAACAGTTTAAAAATGTTAAGTTAGGGGGACATATTTTTCCATAAAATAATTTATCCATAAAAATGATTTAACTGCATGTTTGGAACTGTTCAATGAAAGTAAAAAATTAAGTTGAGCAGACTTAGAGTTTTGATTTCTTCACTTGAGCAATTACTAGTGCTAGACGGAATCTGCAGACGTTTTAAGCTATTTATGCAGAGAATTTTTGTAAAAATCTGCGGATTTCTGCAGAATTATTTTGGGAGTATCATAACTAAAACCTTCATATGCAAAATAAAAAAATAATATATATTTTTAACTTTTATTTAATGTTTCAAATGCAAATCCAATTAGATCCACTTTATTTGGTAAACAAAGCATATCTCTCTTAAAATATCTCTACGAAAAGACAGAAAATGTTACTGTACAAACTGCATTGTACATAAATCAGATGAACATTTTTATATTAGTCAATAATATTACTGTAATTAATAAAAAACGAAAGAAATATAGATTTACACACATTTATTCAAGAAAATAAACATAATAAATGATGGGCTAAAAATCTGCAACTTGCATTTTTAAACTAACAGCATGCAAAGAAATTTTGAGTTTATTAAGCTTCTGTGGTTGAAGTTGTGCCAAGTTAGTATACTTGACTTAAACCAGCTTTTTCAGTCAACTTTAAAAAAAGTATTTGGCACAACTTCAACCACTAAAGCTTAATAAACTTTAAAAAAAAATGCCGCCAGTTGCTTTAAAATTTTAAGTTAACTCAACTTTTTATTTATTTTTTTATTTTTATTTTTTTACAGTGTAATGTGAACAAGCCTGTATTTATTTTATGGAACATGCAATGTAATTTAATCCCGTGATTGAAAATATATATTTCCAGCAGTCATTACTCTTCAGTAAAGAATTAGCTTAGTATTATTAGAACATAGTTTATAGTTAGAAATTGTTTTTATTAATTCATTAAGTTTGATTGAACTACACACAGCGTATGGGGAATATTTTCATGGTTAAATAATAATGAATAAACATTTGTTTTATGGTATTAGTTTTGATTTTAGTCAACTATCAATAATATTTCAAAAAAACCATATGATAATACAGTATATAATGCATCACATCATTGGTCAACAAGAAATATTTCTTATTATTTTGACTATTCAAAACAGTTATGTTGCAAATTTACATAAAAAACTGAATTCTTTAAAAAAATTGATTAATAGAAAGTTCAAAAGAACAATATTTATTTTATACAGAAATCTAACCAAAAAGCCCAGATTTAAAAACAATTAAAACTTTTGGTTGAAAAAAAACTTATCCACAGCAGAGTTTCTTCTTGTAAAGCACATCTGCTATTCAAAAAAGCTGAAACCAACTTGATGCAGAATATTGTTTTTTACTACAGTAAATTTTTGTTGCCAGTAACACTGTAAATTTTCAAGTGCCCTGCACAATAGTAATTATTAATTTACAGCGCGCATGCACATTTTACAGTATTACTGGAAATTGTAACAGCATTACTAACAAAATTTACAAGGGCACTGTAAAGTACCAATTACAACTGTGCTGATAAACTACTACCCGAGGTCTCCTCCCTGTGGGACATGCCTGGAAACCTTGCCAGGTAGGCGTTCAGAAGGCATCTGAAACAGATACCTGAGCCTCCTCAGCTGACCTCTCTCGAGATGGCTCGGCCATCTGTTTCAGATGCCTCCAGGACGCCGACCTAGCGAGGTGTTCCAGGTATGTCCCACCGGGAGGCAACCTCAGGGAAGATCCAGGACATGCTGGAGGGACTATGTCTCACGGCTGGCCTGGGAACACCTCGGGACCCCCCCAGAGGAGCTGAAAGAAGTGTCTGGGGAGAGGGAAGTCTGGGGTTCTCTCATAAGACTGCTGCCTCTGTAACCTAGCCCCGGAAAAGAGGCTGAAAATGAATGAGTGAATGAACGAATTTACAGGGTCCTTGAAAATTTTACAGTATTACTGGCAATTTTTACAGCATTTCTGTCAAGGTCTGTGTCCTCCCTGACACTGTGCAAGGTCAAGGAAGACATGGAGCAGGTCTTTCTTGATGCGCTTCCATGGTCTAACCAGACCTTACATTCCTTGCAACGGCCCGTTCCTGGCAAATTCTCCTGAGAAAGAACCTCCTTTCTCAGCAAAAAGGCACTATCAGGCACCTGTGTCCAGATCTCTGGAACCTCCATGTGTGGTCCATAGACAGAGCACAGAATACACAGGTGACCTACCACCTGCAGTGTTTGACACCATCACTTAGGATAGAGCCCCCTTTATGAGCTGCACCTGTGCCGAGAAGTCGAGTCAATTTATTGAGTGGTGTTCTTCTCATCAAGAAGACGCCCAGACATGCCAGATCAGCATTGTACTCTCCTTCCTTCAGGTAAAGCTGGAGAGAAATTTGTCACCCTCCTCACTGAAGGTTTATGTCACTGCCATCTCTGCTCATCGTGACACAGTAGATGGCAGCACATTTGGAAGGCATAATCTGACAATCTAGTTCATCAGAGGCCAAGGCGGCTAAATACATCTTGTCTAGTTCTCATGTCATTTGTAGTCCTCATTTGTAAACAATATCATACTTAATAATAATAATAATAATAATAATAATAATAATAATAATAATAATACACATCATCTTCATCAATAATATTATTTATATTATTATTATTAAAGTATGATTTTTTAATTTACTAATTATATTAAATATTACATTTAATTTCTCATTAAATAGCCTCATGATTTATTTATAGGATTTATAAATATTAGAATGCATGTTTTGTAAGTAATTTTATGTTAATTTAGAATAGACTATGGAATATTCTTAATATTTGTAAAGGAAACTATATGCGCCATGTACATATATTTCAATTAACATGGAAAGCGAGTGCATGTTTTTACCAAAACTGGTATTGGATTTTGTTTTGTAATGCGTGTGCTTTTAAAACAATCTAATTTACACAAAGAAATTGTAGGGTCCTTCTAAAGAAGTTGGTACTCCACCCCATTTAGAGCATCAATATGGGCGTTTTATGTTATAGCTAATGTGGTTGAAATGATAGATCTGCGACAGGGAAACTATAGGTTTTTGGAAACAATCATTAGGACATCGTTCATTTCCCAAACAATGCATCATACTATGATAGTTCAGCCACGAGTTACGTTGTTGTTTGGGAAAAGCACCACTGAAAGGGAACATCTTGGTTACTGATAAAGGCATCCGACTTCTGTGAAGTAACTTCTCCGCCAGCTGATTCATTGGCCTGTTTTCCTACTCTTCAAAGTGATTGGTCATCGGATGATAACCCACAATGTTCTCTTCAGGGAACGTTCGAGGTTACTAAAGTAACCCTTCGTTCCCCGAGGAGGGGAACGGAAGCACTATAAGTGGATTTGATTTGTAAAATCCACGCATTGGGAGGATTCGGATCAGAAGCCGCTTGTCTGGAGAGTATTGAACGGGCCAATGAATGAAATTAATTGGCAGCGTAAGCTTGCGCAGGTGTGCGACATCTGCAATTATCTCAGCATATAAGCTCACCTGAAGCCAGCAGACGCCATCCTTTTAAGCTGAAGAGACTTTCAAACAGCTAAGGGACAGTCATTATGGCGACGGAGTATAGTGCTTCCGTTCCCCTCCTCGGGGAACGAAGGGTTACTTTAGTAACCTCGAACGTTCCCCTTCGGGGGGAACTTCAGCACTATAAGTGGATTTGATTTGTAAAATCCACGCATTGGGAGCCCATTGAAAGCGCCATAATGACTGCACCTTACCAACACCCCCGATGAGGAGATAGTCAAGCAAGCGTGACGCACCCACATCATGGGGGGCGCGGTCCTCCAACGTGTCCCTGGCCCTAATTTATCCTACTTCAACAGAAGTTTTACGGATTTAGATATATTTTTTGGGAAGTCGTGAGCATCTAGACAATTCTAGGAAATACGACAGTACGTTGGGAAGCGTGCAATCCCGATAGGGAGGACGCTGCGGAGGCCATCCGTTACCCAAGGGGGGGATAGATGGCAGAATTTACATATGGACTAGCCCTAAAAAGGGGGAGTACGCATAGCAAAAGAGTGGTTAGCGGAGAGGGAAGACACGGGTCCACCCAGGGGGGGGACTTAACCGTGGCGGAATAAGCATATGGGATCGCCTAGTGGGGATCACGCATAGCAGGCACCTATACCCAAAACGCGGGCTGACCAGCGGGCAGACCTACAACGTAGTGGGCCAGCAAGTGACTCCTCCGCTGAGTCAGTGCTGGGGGCCACGGAGGAATCTGCAGGGCTCACCTGACGGGGAACTTTACTGACAGATAAAAAAGGCGCACGTACCTCCGTGTTAGGGAGAATGGCGCAGCAAGCGTGTTTCAACACCCTACCGAGTTGTCTCCTCAATCACCAAAGGGTTACCTAATACCCTTGAGGAAACCGGCTCCACTCGCAGATTGTAAAACCTTGCAAATGTGTTGGGTGTCGCCCAGCCCGCAGCTCTACAGATGTCTGTTAGAGAGGCGCCGCGTGCACGCGCCCAAGAGGATGCAACGCTCCGAGTGGAGTGTGCACGAACTCCCGGGGGACACGGCTGACCTCGACTCGAATAAGCGAGTGAAATGGCATCCACAATCCAGTGGGATAATCTTTGTTTTGATACGGCACTTCCCTGCTGCCGACCGCCATAACAGACAAAGAGCTGCTCAGATGATCTAAAATTCTGAGTACGGTCCACATAAATGCGCAGAGCGCGAACTGGACAAAGTAAAGAAAGGGCTGGGTCTGCCTCCTCCGGGGGCAGCGCTTGCAGGTTCACTACCTGATCTCTAAAGGGGGTGGTAGGAACCTTGGGCACATAACCGGGGCGGGGTCTCAGGATGACGTGAGAGTAATCCGGCCCGAATTCCAGGCACGAGTCACTGACCGAAAATGCCTCCAGGTCCCCGACCCTCTTGATGGAGGCCAACGCAACCAGCAGAGCTGTCTTCAGGGACAGAAATCTTAGAGATACTGATTCGAGTGGCTCAAAGGGATCGGATCGCAGACTTGTGAGAACGAGGGCGAGATCCCAAGAGGGCATGAGAGGGGGGCGAGATGGATTAATTCGCCTAGCACCCCTAAGGAACTGGATGACCAGGTTATGCTTTCCCACGGTGCCGCCAGCTACCGCGCTATGAAAAGCGGAGATGGCGGCCACGTAAACCTTGAGAGTGGAGGGCGACAGCCTGCTGTCCAACTTCTCTTGAAGGAAAGAGAGCACAACACTAATCTGGCAATTTCGGGGGTCTTCTCTGCGAGAGACGCACCATTCAGTGAATAGACTCCACTTCAGGGCGTAGGCGCGCCTCGTGGAGGGGGCTCTAGCCTGAGTGATGGTATTAACCACCGCAGTCGGTAGGTTACCTAAGTCTTCCTCGCGTCTAGGGACCACACGTGGAGGTTCCAAAGATCGGGGCGAGGGTGCCAGATGGTGCCCTGTCCCTGAGAGAGTAGGTCCTCTCTCAAAGGGATCCGCCAGGGGAGGGCCGTCGTGAGGTGTGAGAGCTCTGATGTCCAGGTCCGGTTGGGCCAAAGGGGCGCAACTAGCAGAACCTGTTCCTCGTCCTCCCTGACCTTGCACAGAAACTGCGCGAGCAGGCTCACTGGGGGAAACGCATACTTGCGCATGCCCCGAGGCCAGCTGTGGGCCAGTGCATCCGTGCCGAGAGAGCCCTCGGTCAGGGAAAAAAACAACTGGCAGTGAGCGTTCTCGGGAGAAGCAAACAGATCGATCTGGGCCTCCCCGAATCGCGCCCATATCAGCTGAACAGACTCGGGGTGGAGTCTCCATTCTCCAGGACGTAACAGCTGTCGTGAGAGCGCATCGGCTGCACGATTGAGCGTGCCTGGGACGTGAATGGCGCGCAGCGATTTCAGCCGCGGGTGACTCCAGAGGAGCAGACGGCGGGCGAGCTGAGACATGCGGCGAGAGCGCATACCCCCCATGCGGTTGATATACGCCGCCGCCGCCATACTGTCCGTCCTGACCAGCACGTGTTGCCGCTCCAGCACCGGTAAAAAGCGGTGGAGAGCGAGGAACACTGCCAACAGCTCTAGGCGATTGATATGCCAATGCAGCTGGGCACCCTTCCAGAGGCCCGCAGCCGCATGCCCGCGACACACGGCCCCCCAACCCGTGTTGGAAGCGTCTGTTGAAACAACAACATGGCTGGACGCCTGTCCTAGAGGCACACCGGCCTGTAGGAACGAGGGGTCGTTCCAAGGGCTGAGGGCGCGGCGACACAGCGCAGTAACCGAGACCCGGTGTGTGCCCGCGTGCCATGCGCGTCTGGGGACCCGATCGTGAAGCCAGTGCTGAAGTGGTCTCATATGGAGCAACCCAAGCGGCGTGACGGCGGCTGTGGATGCCATATGCCCCAGGAGCCTCTGAAAGAATTTCAGTGGGACCACTAGTTTGCTGTCGAGCTCCCTCAGACAGTTCAGCAACAGGCGAGCGCGTTCCTCGGAGAGGTGCGCTACCATGGTGATCGAGTCCAGCTCCATCCCGAGAAAAGAAATCCTCTGCACGGGGGCGAGTTTGCTCTTTTCTCGGTTGACCTGAAGCCCCAGTAGGCGGAGATGCCGAAGCACCTTGTCCCTGTGCATAATCAATTGCTCCCGCGAGTGGGCTAAAATCAGCCAGTCGTCGAGATAATTGAGTATGCGAATGCCCGCGAGCCGAAGGGGCGCTAGGGCACCCTCCGCGAGTTTGGTGAAGACCCGCGGAGACAGAGAGAGCCCGAAGGGGAGGACCTTGTACTGCCACGCTCGACCTTCGAACGCAAACCGCAGAAATTGGCGGTGGCGTGGAAGAATGGAGACATGGAAATACGCGTCCTTCAGGTCTATGGCTGCAAACCAATCCCGAGGACGAACGCATTGGAGAATGCGCCTCTGCGTGAGCATTCTGAACGGCAGTCTGTGCAGACAGCGGTTCAAAACGCGCAGATCTAGGATTGGCCGTGACCCACCGCTCTTTTTGGGTACGATGAAGTATGGGCTGTAAAACCCACTCTCCATCTCGGCTGGAGGAACCGGCTCGATTGCACCCTTCGCCAGGAGGGCAGCAATCTCCTCTCGCAAGACAGGGGCGGACAGGGGGTTGACCCTGGAGAAATACACGCCCGTAAACTTGGGGGGCCGTTTCGCGAACTGAATCGCGTAACCGAGTCTGATTGTGCGTATGAGCCACCGCGAGGGGCTGGCCCGCGCTAACCAGGCAGGCAGAGCCCTCGCTAATGGAGTCATCGCTACAATCGCTGACGTACCAGCGGTGGGGCAGCGCGGAGTGGGTGTGCTGATCCAGGAAGCACGAGGGTCCCGCGGAAGAGCTGGAGGAGAGCGATTCGCTCTGGCTCCGCACCCTGACTCCGGAGAGGGGGCTGGAGGGCTGAGGGAAGGGAGACCGTCCCCCCAGCGCTCGTGAGCCACTGGCGAAGCATGTAGAGTCTGCGAGCCGGAAGGCAGCGCGTCCCGGACTGGCAGAACTCGTGCAGTCACATCCGGGGAAGGGAAAAAGTGCTCTTTTACTGATGTTTTGGTGGCACTGAAAAGTACCGTTGTTATCGGGGCCCCGCCCTCCAGCGGGGAAAGAGCAAGTTTCCTCTTCTCCGGATGGCCTGTCTCAGGGACGCTTCGCGGTCCGTTTACCGGACTTAACGGCGCCCTGGGCAGGAGGGGCTGCCTGCTTTCGAGGTGAACGCCGCGCCCGCTTGGCCGGAGGCGCAGGCGGGGGCGGGGCAGCACTCGTTGGCGGGCGCCCTCGGCGAGGAACAGCGGAGGTGGATGGCTCGGCGGGCGGAGCGGGCTTACGGCCACGCCGATAGATGACATTGCCCATCGCATCCGACTGCTCTTTCACCGCCTTGAATTCCTGGGTGAATTCACCGACGGTGTCGCCGAACAGGCCAGCCTGGGATATGGGCGAGTCAAGAAAGCGAACTTTGTCAACATCGCGCATATCGGCCAGGTTTAGCCAGAGGTGGCGTTCCTGAACCACAAGTGTGGACATCGTCCTCCCCAGCGCACACGCGGCGGACTTAGTAGTCCGAAGAGCATAGTCGGTCGCGGTGCGCAGCTCATGTAATAAGCTTGGGTTGGACCCGCCCTCGTGCAGCTCGGCCAGCGCCTGCGCTTGGTAGCGCTGGTAGGTGGCCATCGCGTGCAAAGCAGAAGCAGCCTGGCCCGCAGCCTTATAAGCTCTGGCTCCGAGGGAGGCAGACAACCTACAGGCTTTGGACGGGAGGCGGGGCAAACCCCGCCACGTAGAGGCGCCGCGCGGACAAAGATTGACCGCGATAGCGCGCTCCACTGACGGGATCGCCTCATACCCCCTGGCAGCTCCGCCGTCAAGGGCGGTGAGGGCGGAGGCACACGCAGCACGGGCAGAGAAAGGTGCCCTCCAAGACTGCGTGAGCCTACTGTGCACTTCCGGGAAGAAGGGGACGAGAGGCTTCGAAGGCTTCGCCTTCTGGTCCTCTACGTAGCACCCATCTAGTCGGTCCGGCCGCGGAGCTGGGGGATAAACCATCTCCAACCCCACGGCCGAAGCAGCCCGGGAAAGCACGGCTAACATGTCCGCTTCAGGATCCGATTTGACAGCGCTCACCTGCCCGGAGGGGGCGAGCGGGTCCGGATCTTCGTTGGACAGTGAAAGCCCACCCTCCGATGCCGCGGAGGACATCTGATCTCCGGTGTCAGCGAGTGTGAGAGCTACCATCTGGTTAGACGGATCACTCTCACCACCCGAAGCTTGGATGGAGCGCCGTGAGGAGCGAGAGGTCCGCGAGCCCGTGGGCGGCGGATTATCTCCCGCTGAAACCCTCAGATCTGCCCGAGCGCCCGCTGCTTTTTTAGAACAGGAGGCAACTGGGGTGGCTCGCTCTCTTGCGAAAGTTAGCCGCGATCTTAGCTGTGCAACGGTCATGGCATCGCAATGACGACATGAACCGCCCGCGAGCACCGCATTAATATGCTGGACCCCCAAACATGCAATGCAGTGACCGTGTCCATCATCCGGAGCCAGGAAACCCCCGCATCCAGAAACGCACAGTCGGAGCGCCATCCTGAAAAGGACGTGCTGCACGACTGTGTTGCTCTTTTAGGAAAGTTGCAACTATACGCACCGCTCTGGAGGACCGGACCCAAAGAACCGCAGGCAAGGGAGTAACCCAGCTCGACCGTCTGCCACCGCGAAGACCCACTCTGGACCGGGAGACACACTCGTTCGCTCTGAAGTGCTGATCAGCAAGAGGAACCCTCATCGACTCACTCAGAAAGGATCTGAAGCGAAAAGGATGGCGTCTGCTGGCTTCAGGTGAGCTTATATGCTGAGATAATTGCAGATGTCGCACACCTGCGCAAGCTTACGCTGCCAATTAATTTCATTCATTGGCCCGTTCAATACTCTCCAGACAAGCGGCTTCTGATCCGAATCCTCCCAATGCGTGGATTTTACAAATCAAATCCACTTATAGTGCTGAAGTTCCCCCCGAAGGGGAACGCTAGGACAGTGGTTAGGACAGTAACCGAGATGTTTGTTTGTTTTGTTTTGTGTTTTGTTTTGTTTTAAGTTATGCATCACCTAATCTAAATATTCAGTTATTAAGCAAAAGTTGTTTTGTAGCATTTTTGTAATTTTGTTTATTTGATATGAGATGTGAACCTTTGCAAGCACTGATCATTTGCAGAACCATCTCAGCTGCTCCGCGATCATGCAGACGGGACTGCTGGTACAGAAGCCTTTGTTTCTCCATCTCCTTCTCCTGTTAGATGGACGAAAATAATCCATTTAGAATGAAGTCTAACTCATAACCCCCTGACCCATGACCATCCTACATACACACACACACACACACGCACACACATACACCAAGCACAACTGAATAAACTATCTAAAAGACTAGATACTATGTCTAAGATAAAGATAAAAAAAAAAAACATATAGCAAACATGTTGTTTAAGGGTGCTTTCACATCTGTGGTTCGGTTCATTTGGTTCGAACCAAGGGCTACAAATGATACATTGTAGCATTTATCTGCTGTTTTTGGGTCCTTTTCACACCACACTGATTGCTTGGGTCCAAACCAGTTGAAAAGAACCGAAATGCAATCATGTGACAAAATCCACATCACTAATTGGGCAGAACGTATTTCCTAAACTACTTTTCGATTGATCAGAATTAACATGCAGAAAAATGCCAATGAAACTTTCGCAAGTAAAAAAACTGGCACACACAAAATGTCACTTTTGACTATGGACCTACGACTGTGCTGACTGATTGTATCCCTGCTCATAGTATACTATACTTTGAACATCACTTTAGACAAACTATACATTTCGAGAATGAAGCATGGCGGTGGCTGGAAAACAATGTTTTAATACATTGCAAATGGCGAAGGCGCATTGCAAGTCACTTCAGGAGGAGGTGTAAATTAATTTAGCTAAACTGCGACATGGTCATCTTCTGGAAATATTACCAACGATCCATCAGGTAATGTTTTTCTCAATGTTTAAAATAGTTGGTAAAGCGCCGTCAAAATTATTTTTTTTTCTCCACATTGCATAATACACAACACATTAGACTTTGGCAGCTGGATTAGTCCAAAAATGTGCAGTATTTTTTGCAGTTGGGTCTATTCTAGTTTGGATCATATTCTCACCACAAACAAATTAATCCAGGGTTCGTTTGAGAATGTGTCAAAACCACCTCTTCAAGGAGGTATCTGTGCACTTTGGTCTGCTTTTAGTGCGCACTCAAATGCGACAGCTACCTTTCCAAACAAACTGCACCAAGGGGGAAAACAAACTCTAGTACGATCAACCAAACTAAATAAGGCAGGTGTGAAAACACCCTAAAACAGCTATTTTAAAGTCTGTGTGAAATCAAAATTCAGAGTGTTTATTTTGCTAGCTCACATTGTTAATCTTAAGCTGAATAATTAATCTGTGCCAGTTAATCCACAGAAAAAAAAAGTTTGCTTCAATAATGTTCAATGAAAGTCTGACCATACACTTCCGTGTTTGGAGTGGCAGTCCTTCTGTTCAAATCAACCCGAGGGCTTCCATAGCAACTGTATATTAATGCCCTCTCATAATGTTAGTTTCTTATTAGGGAGTGATGCTCAAAAAAAAGTCACACCCCTACTCAATATTCCGTTTTGGTTGGCAGTACAACAGGGTGCTGAAATAAAAGTCTCAGCAACTTTTGGTTCACACAGACTTTAAGGATTTGTTTTCCCTGAACACTAAATGCCTGATGTTAAATTTATTAATGAAAAACAGACTGCTTGTTGTTTATACAAGTTATGTACTTCATTTAAATCCACAGACATATCTTTCACACACTTTCTCATTCAAAACACAGGTGCAATTAGTCATGTGTCCGTTATTTGAGCCATTGGCACAAACTTTAGACTACAGCAAGCAAACCTGCTCTCGCTGAAGAGTGAGAAACATTTGTACACTGGCTCTTCCCTTTGATTTAACCACATTATTTAATTGGGTGCTGCTCTTTTTACATAGCCTTACATCATGACTGTAACTGTTCAAGACAACAGGATCTGTGATAAGAAAGGAATTTTTAATTTAATAGGAAACGTATGTTATTGGTATTATTTTAGCAAAATGCTTTAAGCTAACTTCTAACCATTTAGAAAAATGTGCAATATAATTGCTTCAAACATTCACAACCACAATGGGTTAAGTTTCTTTTGCATGGCAAGACTACATTGAGGCTAGATTTTAATTAATAATTTAAAATAAAACAAAAAGTATAGTTTTGGTCATTCATTTTAACAGTTTTGCGGCCTGAAATGCAAACTATGAAATTGTAAACAAAGTTTAGTGTTTTTTGGAAATTAAATTATTATTGTTGCTGCAGTCATCATTATGATAATCATTATGTTGTGTTGTGGTCTCACTTTTGGTTCCTGTGCTTTCTTCCAGTATTTAATTCCTGTTCTCTTAGCTCCCATTTTTATCCATGGTAACTCATCTTTAAATGATTATGTTCACCTGTATATATTTATATATACAGTATATAGTTTATATATATATATATATATATATATAAGCTGTATGTTGATTCTGCTCCAGAAAAAATATTTATTCAATGGTGATGAAAACCTCATCTACTTTTTTAGAATTTTTAACAGATTTTGCAGAATATTAACAGCTCTTTTTTTTCACTGCTAATTTCATTTTTGGGTTTAGAATTTACCTCAGTGCAGACAAAACTTTCAAACCATCCAGTGTCCTGAAGACCTTTCAGTCTCTTTTAAGTATGTGTGTGTGTCTAAATGTAAATAAAAGCACTCATTAAATATAATATCTTGAATTTACTCCTATTTAAACTTTGATTTTTAGTCAGAGTCTGTATGCGTCAGTGACAGATGACAGATGCTTGCTCCGCTCATTCTCTTGTGTATTTACCCTGCCATGGTCACTCCCCTACCTTCTACTCGGAGTTATCCAAATCCTTTCAAGTTAAGATTTGGACTGACAAATAACAGCATTTTCTTTCTCAGTAGAATTGTTTTGTTTTACTACACACCTTGTTTCTGTTACTATTGAGAAATGTTGAGTAACCCACTGTTTCTAAGTTCTCTATCATTCTCTGTAGTGCTGAACTTTTATCAAAGCGAGCCATTTATAATTTGGTAGCGATGACACCCTGTTGACAAAAGAGATTACACAAATATATACAATGCATCAAGCGCACAGATTTTCAAGCTAAACCCACCCCTAAAAGCACCCAAGCATCCCATTTCCCAAACCCAACCCCCAGCAAGAAGCACCACCCTCTCCCACCCTGCCCTGAGAGCCAGGCCATGTACTTCAAAATATTGACTATAATTACTGTACGTATTTGTATAGCCATGTAGAAGAAAATGTAAAGGCTACGTATATATAGCTTTAACGGTACTTAACTGTATGTATCAACTGTAAATGCATTTTGACTTACTTCTATAAACATTTTCATAGTGAGATAAAAGTTTTCTTTTTGTAATGTTTTGTGTGTCTGTGCAGGCTTTTACTGTAGTCTTTGGTGAGTACAGAGAAAAAGACTTATTCCAATTCGAAACAAAGACACAGAGATGCTTTATGTAGACATACAAAGTTACGACATACATGCCTGATCTAAATTCAGAAAAATCTAATAACTTCACTGGCCACGGACAGATATTCTGGAAGATGTAAGAAACCCAGCATAATTTAACAAAACATTCCTTAAAGGAAGCAACTTTGATTATAGTTATGCAGTGTTTATGCCACGTCATAACTATTTTAATCACAAGATGATAGCGCAGACAGTCGTACAATCCCAGTTGATACACAAATACAGCTATATTTAATTATTATTTAAATGATGACATTAGAAAAAAATTAATCAGAATTTTTTTTAATTTTGACTAGATAATAGACATTATGTCATAGTTTTTGTTGACATTATGTCAATTATTTTTAGATTATTCTTTTCAATATTAAGGTATTAACAATATTTTAGAAGTTATTAACAGAAATATCACAAAAATAACTGCTTAACCTTTTTTATGACTGAAGCCAATGATATATATTTTTAAATAACAGGGAAAAATATAACTTTACGAGGTGGCAATTTAGTATGAATTAACACAAGCGATATTAAAACAAACTATTTATAATAAAAGTATGCATGTAGGTCCATCCCATAATTAACCTTCACTTAGGGGTAGCCAGATTGGACAAAAATGTACAAATTATTTTGTTTCATGTAACTTAGCCACCAATTTTGCCAAAACATAAAGTATGCCATGTAATTTAAAAAAGAATGTGAATCTTTTTTTTAAAAATGAGATATTTTATGATTTTAAATTCCAACTTGTAAGTACAAATGGCAAAACTGCAAAATATAAATAGGGAAAATCATAATTGCTCTTGTACTGGACTTTTCTTTTTACAAATATAGTTCTCTCAACATTGTCATCCATCTTAGATGAAATCACTGCAGTGTGAATCATTTATTGATATGAATTATGAATCTTCGAGTGTACCAAGATCACACATAAGTGATGCAATACAATGCTCTCTAGGAAAGTCTTCAGCTCTGTAGGTTATGGAATGGAGCGACTGAAACTTCCTCAAGCTGAATATCTGTGGTGAGGTGAGCAGGTGAAGCTATAGCTTACTTTCTGAATTTAAATTACATCATGAAGGACAAAACAGGGTTAGCAGGTCAGTGAAGCAGTAAGACACAAAAGATGCAGACAGAATGAAAAACTACAGGCGACTGCCTACAAACTCAGAGAGGAAAGAGTTTTTGGAGAGGTGGGGCTGAGAATGTATTAGTTGAACAGTTAAGAGGTATTTGCTGAGTGTGTGAATGAGTGCATAAATAAGTCTCACACACAAACACACACACTGCAGAAATCATCAGAAATGCTACTATAAGAATCCCAAAAGAACAACTATGCAGTTTTGAGGCCTGAGTTACAAATTTTCAGTATCACTGCTCTCTCATCTTGGCGGAAAGCACTAGAAAAAACTATTCACACCTTTCTTAGCTTCCTACAAATGAAGCCGAATTGGTCAAACTGTGATGTATTCAGCATGTCTTGTTATTTTTTTTTTTTTCTGTTGTCTCTTCTGTTTTGTGTGCAGCCATCTCTCTGCACTCTTTCAAGTCATGCAATAACCACAGAGATAAACGGTTAAGAGACAAAGACTCTGAATCCAGCAAAGGAGTGCACAGATCAGACAGAAGGAGGGACAGAGACAGAGACAGAAGAGAGCTGAAGGATGAGTGTGCGGGTGCAGTGGATGTGGACGTGTTCACTCAGTGCGTGGCAGGAGCTGTAGCTGTAGCTGTAGGCTCCGCTGACTCCCATGGCCCCAGCCCCAGGCCCCCCCATACCATCTCTGTCTGTCGCACCTCAAAGGATGGCTCCACGCCCCCCTCCTCTCCCCCTTCGTCCTCCTCACCAATGTGGCAGCTCTGCAGGGAGAGATGTGTGGGGTCAGCTAATGGGAAAACTGTTAACAAAGATATCGGGTATCAAAAGATACGTTTATGTACTTACTTTTGCCATAATATCAGCATATGACATATATAGATGATCCACTTCAAGTTTGCTGCAGTGAGGAGAACATAAATATGAGACAAACGTCAAATATATGATCAACTTCCAACCCAGGCTCATTCTGAAAACGTTGTCGTTTATGGAGAACGTGAAATACGTCCCGGGAGGTATGTATTTTTGCAGTTTTTGTTGTCGCGAATAAGCGAGAGGCCGATGTGTGCGTTTTTTCGCATCTCAAATGTCTCTTGTGAGAACTCACCAGAGGCCGCTGTTGACCGACTAAATGAATGAATGATTGACTGGGCGCCCGGCCAATCGACCAACCCACTGTCCTCCTTCCCTAAACCAACCAATTTTACAGATTGGCCTGCCTGCTTACTTCACCAAACCCAATCGACGCTTTACAAAAGCCATCCAGAAAAATAACAGCCCTAGTCTGATTTTTACCATGTTTTCAGATTTTACCACATTCTCACCCTGTTGTTCACTTGTTCATTTTATTTTTTGGATTCTGTTTTTGTCTTACCTGATTTCTAGAACCACTCTTCCCCGGACTCGAACCCGGTCGTCATTGTGGTCAACTCCTCTCTGCGCCTCAAGTCCGCTGACGCACACAACAAGCTAGCTGAACAAATTGGTTGTGGTGGGAAAGCCCTCCACACGGAGGTAAGCGGTCAGCCAGTAAGCGCCAAAGGGAATGGCGTCAAACCGCCCTGTAGCGTTTTTTGAAGAGCAGGGGGAGGGAGGGGGGGGTGTTGTTGTTGTCGTCGTCTGATCATCGTCGCGCGCGTACTGTTGCTGTGCGCCTACAGAAGGGAAGTACAGGGGGGGGGATTTGGGGGGGGGGGGGGGGGGGGTGGGGGGAGGTGGGAGGGGGGATGTTGTGTCGCGGGGGCACTTTTGATCATTTTGGTAGGGCACTTTCTATCCAACACTAAAAAGGGCATGTGCACTGCACAGGTTGAGCCCTATGTACTTTATAAACTGAACACTTTTCCATAAATTATTTTGTTTATTTAGTTTCATTTATTCATTCATTCATTTTCTTTTTGGCTTATTTCCTGCCCAGCCAGGGCTCAAACCAGCCAGTAAGCGGCAAAGGGAATGGCGTCAAACCGCCCTGTAGCGTTCGCTTAAAAAAAAATTAAATGCAGCCATACGTACCTCCGGCTACGTAATTTGTGGTCTCCAGAAACGTCCTCGAGACTACATTTTCAGAATGAGCCTGTGTTTTCAACTTCACTAGTGTCGGTTCAATTGACAATTTATTCAGATGTATAGGATATAAGATATACAGTAATATAGTTTCTGAGACAAAACGATGCACATTTGTCACCAAAGTCCCTTTAAGGCCGGGGTTTCAAACTCAGTTTGAAGGGGTGCTGACCTGCACAGTTTAGTTCCAACCCTGCTTCAACACACTTACCTGGAGGTTTCAAACAATGCCTAAATGGCTCAATTAGTTTGATCAAATGTGTTTAATTAGTGGTAAAACTAAACTGTGCAGAGCAGTGGCCCTCCAGGAACTGAGTTTGACACCTGTGCTTTAACGCAAGTACTTTTACTCAGCGGCCAACTTTGAAAAACATCTTCAGCATCCAGTTGCCTCTTCTGTTTCTTTAAACGGGGGAACAAATCTTCGAGAATCAAATTCTGTTTCGCAAGCTTATGATTAGATTTCATATTTGTAATCTCTAATGGAATCTCACAAATTTAGTTTGTAAATGTAAAAATGTATGTAAAATCATAACAAAGACTTGCTTTCTTAGTTCCAAACACAATTATGACTGTTTTGGCAGAATGTGATCAGATGTAATCCTGTCAATCAACCTACAGTATGTAATACTGTAAGAATACATAACTTACATATTATTGATAGCATTCTCTGAATAAAACTGTGTTGTATGGTTGTATGGCACATAGGCCATGGTATTAGCCTTCTGAGGTAATTTTAAACTTAATCCTGACAACTAATCTTTTATCAAAGTAATAGTGGCCTCTTTGTTTAAAGATGCTTGAGCACTCTCATATTAATTTGCTTGATGTCATGTGATTTGCATTAGAATGGTGGAATTGGGAATTCCCTAAAGGCAATGAGATCAGATCAGAAAAACCCCCAAGCGTCATTTTATACAGATTACAAAACCATTTGGTTTCAGGCAGAGCTACAAGCTATATTTCAAATTCAAATGTAATTTCTAATTTATCAGTAAGGCAAATATTTACTGCCATTTAGCTCTTTTTCTCATACAAAAACAGATGTATGGACAGAGCATCTCTTCCAGAGAACCTTCAGTTTAAGCCGATGATTGGCTTTTTTACTAGACAGCGGGGCATTCTTTGGTAGAAAACCCATATTCAATGTTGCATTTTTTCTTCATTCAACACTATTAACGGCATGGCTTCTGTATCCTATAGTCTTTGCCAAACATTAAGCTGTCTTTAATTGCTGCAGATTATGTTAAAAAACTAATTACAATTACAAAACTAAATTGAAAATAAAGCTGGAATTTATATTTGTAGTGACCACAAATTTAGCAAGGACAACAACCTCTCATTCAAAAGCAATTTCATACATTAATTTCAGTGTACACTGATTCATGAATTACTCATGCCATTATATTATTCTAATTTGAGGGAGGATGAGGCTTCCTCATCAGGGGTCACCAATCTCGGTCCTGGAGGGCCGGTGTCCCTGCTGGGTTTAGCTCCAACTTGCCTCAACACACCTGCCTGGATGTTTCAAGTATTCCTAGTAAGACCTTGATTAGCTTGTTCAGGTGTGTTTGATTAGGGTTGGAGCTAAAATCTGCAGGAAACCGGCCCTCCAGAAACAAGATTGGTGATCCCTGCTCAAACTCAACACTTGCGCCTCCTGTTGTTTACAATGTGTATTAGTTTGGTTTATCACTAAAATTTGTTTAATACACATATTTTCAAAGACTTTTGGCTGACTTAAGAGTGTATTTTTCAATCGCTACTGTTTATTGATGTGATTCTGCTATGAAGCAGTCTGTACTGCATAAAGAACTGAAAATAAATGTGACTTGAAGAAGAAACACAGAGTCAAGATTTTGCTTACAGTTTCTCGGTGAGAGCGGTGCGACTGAAGTGAAGGATGAGCTGATGAAGGGGGTCTGGTTTGGATTCGGTTTCTTCCTCTTCTTCCTCTTCCTGCTCCAATGCTTTCTAAAACAACAACAAAAAGCAATGCTATAAACAAACTGCTCAACAGAATGTAAAAAAAAAGAGTGTAAAATGGAACTATAGACTCACAGACAAGTCATCTATCATCTTGTCTTCAAATGAATAGCCCTCATTCTCAAGCCAGTTTCGTTTGTAACCGTCAAGGAACATGTTAGATGCCCGGTGCCTAAAGTGAGATGAAAATTATGCTTGCATGGCTAGTTTGAGTCCTGGACAACACTGAAATGAGGTTGTGTGTGTATTGATACCTGGGGATGTTGTAGAGCGGTGTCATTCTGAAGCAGGCCACCACTGCCCTGCGCCGCTGTTTGGACAAAAGCTTGTGCCACACCATCTTCTTAGACTTGTATGGATGTTCAGTCTGGTTGAAGATGAGGGGAGGAAGAAACAGCTTAAAACTGATGATAAAGAATTTGTAACAACAAAACTAGTAACGTAAAAGTGAGTGGGCCGTAGTTTTGCAATACCAGAGCTTAACATAAAATTACAATTTTTGCCTGAAAGAATTAAAGCTGGAAAAGTTGGCGGTTCATTCCGCTGTGGTGACCCCAGATTAATAAAGGGACTACGCCAAAAAGAAAATGAATGAATGAATTCATTAAAATAAAAAAAAATATTAGCTAAAAATAAAAAGTAAAGAGTCACGTAAAATGGGGATCTGTTTATGAAAAGCCATTTTAGCATTTGATCTATACAGTGTATTAGTATCTGTTTACATTCTACTGTATATAGTCATACTTATTTTTAGATACTTTTTAGTATTCATAAGGCATCAGTGATTTTTCCTTAGGTACTGCACTTCTTATTTATGTTAGATATTCATTAGACACAAGTATCTATTAAAGTAATGATTAGAAAGTCAATAACATATCTCATTCTGACTAGTGTGCATTTCATATATTTATTTTTATGACTATAACATACATACATAAAACATATACTAGCAACTGTTTTATAGGTGCAAGTAGATGCTGGAAACTTATTACACATAAACATTTAATAGTTAGAGACTAATTCTCATTTATTATACATTAGTAACACAATATGAGTATGTGTTAAAGAGTAGATGTTAAAACGGCTCGCCATAATATGTTAAACTAACTAATGCTCATTTTATTAATGGCTTAGTTAGTTTTAGTTTTGTTTTTATATACTGAACACATTTCCATAAATTATTTTGTCTATTTAGTTTAATTTATTCATTCATTCATTTTCTTTTTGGCTTAGTTCCTGCCCAGCCAGGGCTCAAATCAGCGACCTTCTTGCTGTGAGGCGTATTTAGTTTCAGATTTAGTAATTGTAGTTTAAGAACTCGTCTAGGGTCAGCAAGAGCAAAGTTTAGGGTTTGAACAGCTTACATGAACTCTTGTGGAAACTTCTTAGTAGTAAAAATATAATCGTTGTTTGAACAAACACTGAATCCAAAGCCACAAAAAATGCAACTAAAATGAATAAACGCAAAAGAATAAGAAGACTTCAGACAAGCTTCCTTATTATTAAAGATCATGTGTGTAGTTAGACATGCTTGGTTTATTTTTCTCGAAAAATTAAGAAAAGATTGAACATGTTTTATGATTTTATAGAATATTGACTAGTGACTGTTATTTGTTTTGGTTGTTCATTTATTGTGAATTATTTTTTTTTATTTGAGTTAATGATGTTTTTTGGCTAATAGTTTTAGATTTTGTTTACTAAAATAGACAGTGCCACAGTGTCCTTTCTCACCACTAGTGTATGCGAAAGTGCAAACCAGCCTCACCAACTCAAGATGGTAGAGAACAGCAGAAACTTCCTGAACTCTCTTCACAACTTTCTCTGGTGCATCAGCATCTTCAGCTTTCCCTGAGGTCTCTTTATAAAGAGCCATCTGCCAGCGCATGGATGGGTCCTCCACCTACAGACAGACAGAGATGTGTGTGTGTGTGTGTGGACACTAGCAGGAGTTGAGGCGTTTCATTCACTTGTCTGTTTGTGCTTACCTTGCCCTGTAGATGCAGGTTATTCTGCAGAAACTCCCTCACTTCTTCATCTGTGTCTTTCTGTAACATTTCAATCATCAGAGTATCAACAAAACTAATAGTACACAAAATAAACTTCTGTGAACTGTTCAGGTGAGAAATGAATACTTTTCCTCAGCAAAGATTCATTATATTGAGCAAATTTGTCCATTAAGTGTCAATATTTTCCCCTGGAATACATTTCATGAGATGTGTTTTTACCTTCATGCATCATTCAAATATACAGTATGCTGTTTATGATGAAGGTATTCATAACACGGCAGTTTTCACTCTATAAATCTCAGTCATTTACAGCTAAACGCTGCAAATTGTCCAGTGCATTCATAAGCTCAACAGAAGGTTATAATGCTCAGCAATCTGATGCAATGTGTTGAGGCCCTGTCCAATGCTGTGAATTTACACCTACATATGTAATTTGTTAATTTGTACCCTGTTAATTTCTGTCCCTGGTAGTCATGGATTGACATTAACTTTTTTTGGTCAGTGGTTATTCACAGTTTTGATGATAAAAAATTATTGCAATTAAATAATTCATTTATTAAAGATCCATGAGAATGAGCATTGGTATTGTGGGTTTGTTTTTATGCAGAAAACAGTATGGGAGTATTAAGTTCTTTCACACAATTGGTTTAAAAATGTCTTGCAGCTTTCGTGAATATGCATATTGGGGTAAACTTTGCAATTAATCTGCATCCTGAACCATGGAGTGTGTTTCGTTCAAATCAACTGTAATCAATTACATCTCTACATTTTCAGCCCACCATTTTTATCCCACCTACTGTATTAAATAGTGTCTTAATTTACATTTGGCAGGTCAATGAGTGTTAAAAAGATCACCCAATAATGAAAATACACTCACCATTTATTTAACCTTAAGTTATTTTAAATACATTGCTGTACATTTATTCAACAGAAAAACACCCAAACAAAACAATTAAAGATTGTATATATAGTCAAGTCAAAGACTACTGGTTTACAACATTCTTCAAAATATTTTCTTTTGTATTAAACAGAAGAATGAAATTAAAACAGGTTTAGAAAAAGTGGAGAATGTTATTTTTTATTTTAGGTTGAGCTATTCCTAATGTCAAGCCTTGCTGTTGTGAAACACTCAAGAAAAACTTAAGCTTTTTTTTTTTTTTTTTTTTTTGGGTTTTGCAAGAAACCAAACATCCTAATCAAGCTTTAGGTAGCATGCTGCTAAGTACCAGAGAGTAGCGGATCTTGGCCAGGTTTATGAGCTCTTGGTCTGCAGGAGAGCACATGTTGAGGCCGATGGGGAGCAGTTTCTTCAGGGCCGCCACGATCAGCGAGGTCTGCACCGAGTAACGGTCTCCGCGACGCTTCTTCTTGGTCCGGTCATCATCTGAGCCTCCACCCTATAAAAACCTTCCAGTGTTAGACTGACACAAGGCCACTTTTACCTAGGGTTCGCCACCAACAAGCTGATTTGGGAAAAGAATATGGGTTTCTTTTTGGAAAGACTGGATTCTGTGTCAAAATCAGTCTTTCAAAGGAAACTATCAACCTGAATAATGTGAATACAGAAACAATTCTCTGTAAACATCTCCCTTCTGTAAGTGTCTTGTTTTCTTAAAGGAACACTCCACTTTTTAAATAGGCTTATTTATTACTTCCCTAGAGTTAACCAGTTGACTTTTAACATTTTTGAATCTATCCAGCGATTTCTGGGTCTGGTAGGAGCACTTTTCGCTTGGCTTCAGCATAGATCAGGGGTGTCAAACCCAATTTCTGGAGGGCCGAAGCCCTGCACAGTTTAGTTTCAACCCTGCTCCAACACACTAACCTGTAGGTTTCAAACAAGCCTGAAGGACTCAATTAGTTTGATCAGGTGTGTTTAATTAGGGTTGGAACTAAACTGTGCAGAGCTGCGGCCCTTTTGGAGCTGAGTTTGACATCTGTGGCATAGATGATTGAATTGGATTAGACCATCTCTGTCATAAATTACAAAAAAAAGACTGGATAATTTTCACATTTAAAGCTTCACTGTTCTGTTGTTAAACTGTCTACTATGACCAACAGAAAAAGAAATGCTGCTATTTTCTAGGCAGATTTTCTGGCTTAGTTAGTTAGAATCTCTCATTTAATCAAAAAACTTCGCTGCCGATTCTGCAGCAGGCTCAATAATATTACACAATTTATTGTGGTGCAAGTGGTGGCAAATATGTAGGAATTGATGATGGGGATTTTCAGGCACTGCATAATATAATTGTGCCTGCTGCAGTCATGGTATGGCAGCAAAGTTCCTTGATTATTAAGCTGGAAAGAATATATATAGAATATATCCTATAATTTTCCACTAGTCTTAGCACACAAAGCAACAACAAAACAGTAGCTCTTTAAATAAGAAAATTATCAAAACTCTTTAGTTGTTTTATTAACAAAATGCTAATGATCTAATCTGATTCAATTATCAATGCTAAGCTAAGCTAAATGTGCTTCCACCAGACCCAAAAACCATTCATAAATGAAAAAACTCTGGTGTTTAAGCGGTGTTTAAACTCTAGGGGAATTGTAAAAAGAGTCTATTTTTTTGACTGTTGTTAGTTTCAATTAGTTTAATTTTCATTTATTGATGGGACATTTGGATCATATTCACGAACTGGATCTTTTGAACAGTTTGTTTGAATGAACTGCTTCAATAAATGGATCATCGATTCTTTTATGCTACAATGTAATGATCATTTGCAATTGTGTAATGAAAATCGTCCCAGGATAGGATTCAACATATCAAAATACATAGACAGCAAATATATTTTGAGTCAGTTAAAACATCACCGTGATCTGAAAAGTTTGTTACAATTATGTTTTGCAACTCACATCTGATCTTTCAGTGTGGGTGACCAAAAAACTGTTGCAACTGATTCTGAGCACAACGAGATTCGAAACTTGATTCAAAAACCAAAAGCCATGTTATGGCCACAATGTCCATTAATTGTTAAGGTGGAATTAGAGTATAGGTTAATTTTTTTCAGTCTGGAATAGAAGAAAAATTTTAATAGAAGAAAGATAAGCTAAAATCGCTCCCGTCAGAACCAGAGATAAGCTGAATGGATTCAAAAATGGAAAAACTCAGCTGTTTAACTCAAGGGGGAATTGTAAAATTAGTCTATGTTTTTTGAGTGTTCCTTTAAGTTTATGATTAGCTATAGTTTTTACATTGTTAACTAATGTGTTAATGGTGGCTGATTTTTTTGTATTACAAACTAATTAATAAGAAAATGGGGAAACTAACCAAACTGGCACATGTTTTATCTGTCAGTTTATTAGGAAGTGTTAGTGCTAAACATACAGCAGTCATCAGTGTTAGTAGTGTAAGTTGCCCACCCTTCAGCACAGCACACTTAAACACAGCACTAGGCTTTGGGGCCGCTCCGTCCCTCACACACACGCTCTGAATCTGTGCCTGTAAGACGCCATTAATGGCTGTTGCCTTCTACAACAAACAGTTTCCTCTGGCCTTTGAGATGAGATCACATAAGATAAGAGGAGACTAAAGATGACAAGCAAAATGAAGATGAGAAAAGTCTAGACAAGATTAGAGAAGTCATAAATAGGAGCAACGAAGACGTTATACTAGGGAGTCACGAGAAATGAAAATGATTCAAATCTTGTAAAGCAATTGGTTTATTTGTATGGACACAAAACAAAACTATGCCTTATTTAAACCAAGCACAGGCTACAAAATACACTCTCTGCATTATGTACTTCTGCCTACTCTTTTTTCAAACTAAATAGACACATGTTAAAGGGATTTTTATAAATATAAGTATAAAATATGTATAGCAACCTACATTTAAAGCATTGGCTATAGGGCTGCAACTAACGATTATTTTATTAATCGATTAATCTGTCGATTATGTTATTGATTAATCAATGATTCAGATAAAAAAAACAAAACAATAATTTCCAAACCTTTATTCAAAAAAGATCCTCCCTGAGCTGTTATAGTAATAATACTAGTGGCGACGCAGTGGCGCAGTAGGTAGTGCTGTGGCCTCACAGCAAGAAGTTCGCTGGTTCGAGCCTCGGCTGGGTCAGTTGGCGTTTCTGTGTAGAGTTTTCATGTTCTTCCTGCATTTATGTGGGTTTCCTCTGGGTGCCTCGGTTTCCCCCACAGTCCAAAAGACATGCGGTACAGGTGAATTGGGTAGGCTAAATTGTCCGTAGTGTATGAGTGTGAATGAGTGTTTGTGTGGATGTTTCCTAGAGATGGTTTGTGGCAGGAAGGGCATACGCTGCGTAAAAACGTGCTGGATAATATGGCGGTTCATTTTGCTGTGGCGACCCAGATTAATAAAGATACTAAGCCGAAAAGAAAATGAATAAATGAATAATAATAATAATAATAATAATAATAATAATAATAATAATAATAATAATAATAATAATAATAATAATAAACTAAGTAGTTTTGTCCTGTTTTTAATCCAAATATCTAAATATTTTCAAATCAATATACATACCAGACACATGAAATAGCATAAGAAATTGTCTTGATTTCTGAAAAAAAACACCTCAAAATTAAGTGATTGTTTGTTTAAAACAAGTTGAATTATTTGTAAATTGGGTAAGAAAAATAATCTTAATGAGATATAATCTCAAACAGAAGATTTACCAGTTCAAATAAACGTGCAAGTGATTGTGATCTATAACGTGAGATGGTTGACATTAAATTTTATTGCTCAGTGGTTATTCACAGTTTTGATGATAAATAATTACTAAAATCAATTAATTAATTTATTTATTGACATTTAAGTTATTTTTTGATAATCTTCTGTGTATTTGTCATCAAAGATCCATGAGAATGAGTATTGGTATTGTGGGTGCTTTGTTTTCATGCAGAAAACAGTATGGGAGTATTAAGTTCTTGTCACGTTTGCCTTATTCATGAAAAAGCAGAACACCCAGGATTCAGCATGTAAATTATCCAGTTACTTCAAATACATGCAAGTAAGTGGCTGGTGAACTTAGAGAAGAATAGATTCAACTTTATAGTTACTTTCACTATGTGTATCTGATATAAATAAAACAGAACAGCAAATTATATTTGAATGGATTGTTAGACTTCCTTGTGTGTTTTACAAACTCTAAATGTGTTGTTTTACTAGTACATGTGTGTATTTACATGTCTAAAACATAAATTAAGCATTAGGCAGTTAAAACGCTGCATAATTGTGATAATATGACATGTTTTTCTCAGCGGGGTTAAGTCGGTTTTGTTTTCAAAAAAAAAAAAAAAAAAAAAACTTTTTCGACGGGGTGCTTTGGTTTTCCGCGTGGGTTTTCTCTGGGTGCTCTGGTTTTCCCCACAGTCCAAAGATATGCGGTACAGGTGAATTGGGTAGGCTAAACTGTCCGTAGTGTATGAGTGTGAAAGAGTGTGTGAGTGGATGTTTCCCAGAGATGGGTTGCGGCTGGAAGGACATCCGCTTAGCGCAAGCTCTCTCTGGCTCAGTGCCAGACACCGCGCCAAAGCTCAGTTTGATTTTCTCAGTTGCCGCTCTAAAAGTAAACGAGCAAACGCTAACTTGTAATGCTTGTCAAGCTGGATTACGAGTAAAACATTAGCACCTGGGACTTTACGGTCCTCACTTCAAAACGCAACAAAAGTAGGACCCTGCTGTTGAAATCCCTTCCTCCTCATCCCTGTCTATGAGGGGCTGAACTCTGTATCAGTGTGCGAGAGAGACTGTGTTCACTCAGCGCCAGTGTTTTTTAATAATCAAATGTTCCTGTGTCGCACGACACAACAAATGGATTATGAAATTCATTGCCAGGGCATTTAGTAATCGATTTTTATCTATTTAATCGATTTGTTGTTGCAGCCCTAATTGGATATTTCAGTATGACTATATGTGTCAGTGTGATCTGTGAGCAAGGTGACGAGTGTTTGTGTGCTTCAGTACTGCACTTTTTTTTTAGAATAATCATCTCAAACTCAATTCTTGGAGGGCCGCAGCTCTGCACAGACTTGCTTAATAGTCTCTGGTCCTCTTGAACACATTAATTAGTTGGATCAGTTGTTTGATTAGGGTTGGATCAAAACTGCAGAGCCGCGGCTCTCCAGGAATCGAGCTAGAGAATTATGTTCTGGAACATGGACAATTAAGTTGTTTAGAAAACCTAATGTTTTGCTAATGTTTTGTTTTATTTATTCAGTATACCAAATTGGTATCGAAGTACTGGATCTTGTAACAACACTACAACCATGTTTGCCTCTTTACTTTATCACTCATAATCTTTTAAATAAGCCACATTTTAGATACCCAGGAGAAGTGAACAAGAGCGATGAGAATCTACCTTATTAAATGAGAGAAAAGATGAGTAAACATTAAATGAATTCAGGCTGAGAGGAACCCATGGTGAGGAGATAACAGATAGTTTTACAGTAATGGCAGTCTCACAGCACAGAGGAGGAGGTGATATCCTGCAAGGTAAATAATACCAGATTAACTGACATCTAACAGACACAAAGTTTTTAATAAAGTGAGCGAGTGAGTTGGGTTTTGGTAATGTCAATTAATAACATGTCAAAAGAATGGTCACAAAAGTCACATGAATCAAATAAAAAGAGCGGGAAGTACCACTTAAGTGGATATTAAACAGGGAGGGAAATATTAGATGAGAGATGTAATGAGAACTGTTCTGTGACAAGACAAGCCATATTCCCTCCCTACACTGTAAAAAATATCTAAATTTCACAGGTTCCGTATTTTGTGGTTTACATGGGTTTTCTGTTTATTTACAGTTGTGAGTTGCATTATGGGAGTTTTATCTCTGCTCTGTCCATTTTTGATGTTGAAAATTCAACACTACAAATTACAGTAGCATTGTGACTTTTATTTGCATTTTAGTAGTTTGAGACAAGATGTTGTTTAGGAAATTGCATACAGAGAATTAAATCTGTAAAATAACAAAAACCGTATGGCAGTTTGTTACCAGGATTTTGTACCGTAATTTCTAACACAAACACAAGACTTTAAACTATTAAAAATGTCAACAAGAGTCACTTTTTAAACATTTCAACATCAAACGCTTTTGGAGAAAAGATCAAGATCCCATAATAAAACCCAAAAGCATAAATAAGTGAAGAAAACAAACAAACATGAATCACCACATATGGAAAACTGTTTATTTACTAATATTTTTACAGTGTACATTACCAATGTGGCTATTGCTTTTTTTTCTGAAATATGCGAAGAATAAGTGATGGGTAATGATATATTTGCTCTAGTGAGGGAGCATTACCACCAGAGCTTGTGGAAGAAAAAGATTCAAACCTTAACATCAAACTGGAAAACAGAAAAGGAACCAGACAAGTCTGCAAGAACTTGCAGCAATCAAAATCCATTAGAGGCACATCAATCAAAATCACTGTCAGGATGATGGAACTCAGTCCAGCGGGAGTTCAAGATTCAGCTGAAGAGTGCCATAATCCTGAGACTAAAGTCTATGGCTGAGGGCTTTCATCAAACGAGGCAACAACAGACCTCACACACACTGGCAGTGAATGAGGGTTTGGACTTTTGTGTGTATGATGTGTGAGCATTGGCCAGTGTGTGTGGGAGTTTGATGAAAAACCCAACATTCTGCGCCATGCGATCAGCACAGCTCTTTTTTTTATCGTGCAAAAACACGGTCTGACCTCTCCATCTCCGGCCTACAGGCCCCGAATCCACACCAAGACAGGACACAGAGAGAGACAGCACTGTTAAAACTTACACCCTCACAGACAGGACAAATAAATAAATAAATAAATAAAAACATCAACAGCCCTATAAACCGCCTGTGAGAGCAGAAACAGTGTCTGTCCTCAACAGGACATGAGGTCAGCAATTGTCTGAACAAATGGAGTTTTAACAAACCTAACATGTTTTTTTTTTCTATTATTAAAGAACATTTCATAGAAATCAGTCAATAACAATTCATACACCCTTTTTACATTTCCAGTTCGCCATTGTTGTGTAAACTTAGGCTGCATTTGCACTGCATAGTGACTCAATTCTGATTATTTTCTCCCATGTGGCCCAGATCGGGTACACATGGATTCTGATTTGCTCAGATTAAGGCCTCATTTATATGTTGAAATTGATCTCATTTGAATCGGATACGTGCCCTTGTGTTTGTGGTAAAAGCAGGTGAATCTGATTTTCAACTGTCAATGCGAGTCACATGTCAATAAAAACGATGGCAAATGATGTAAACTCTGAAGCTTTCATTTCAAAGTTCTGCATGAACCCAAACCTTAAATCTCATATACAAGAACAAAAAAGCTTTTATATGCCCAGCAGGCAAAGGACGTCAACATGATGTCAGATTGACAATGCATTTTGTTTGGAAATGATAGTCAAGTTGACGTCAGAGCCCAACGTCAGGCTGGCATCAATGTCCAACGTCCAACCTAAAATCAACCAAATATCAACATCTAATGATGTTACAGTTGGATGTCGTGTGGGCGTTACCACTATGTTGTCTATGAGACATTGGATTTTTTTTTGCCATACCTGACGAAATAAATGTCAGTATTTGACTTCAACAGATGTTGGTTTAAGATGTTGGATTGACGTTGGATTTTGGTCACTTTCCAACACAAATTAAAATCAACTAAATGTCTGTCTCATTTGACGTCGTTATTGGACATCAAAATAACGTTGTCCTTAGACGCTGGCTAGACATAGAATTTTTGTCATGACCTAAATCTAACCTAATATTACCATCTTATGACATTGTGTGCCTGCTGGTTAGCTACTAGTTAATGCATTTAAAGATGCTTAAGCATCATGAACCTCTTGGTGCATAAATCTCGCTACATGGACATGACATTAAAATGCCCACCAGTTTAAAAAAGCCTATAGATTAAAAGCAGATGATTAAAATTAGAACTAGAACTTTTCTGTCATAACTATAACTATACCAAATCAATTTGTCAAAAATATCCTTGGCAACTGTGTTGAGAAAAATAAATGACACAGAACTTAAGAATGCTATATATAAATAAAAATATGAAAAAATAAACCCTGCAAACAGAATAAAACAGCAATGGAGAATCAGTCCCAGTCAGCACACACTCTTTTTTTTAGGCCATTGCATCAGATACAAGTCACTATATATGAGATAATGTAAGCAGGTCATTATAAAAATGGATTCCATCACAAAATCAGAATTGACCATCAAGATCTGCAGTGTAAATGACGTCTTAGAGAGCAGTGAATGAGAGAGTATTACTTTTTTTGCATTCCAATTTGCTCAAATAGCAAAAAAAAAAAAAAAATGCCACAATATTGTTTTCATGACTTTCAAAAAAGGAACTAATTGTGTATGACCAATAACAGCAGCCAGAACAATTTGAATTTACTGTTGCTGCATTAAAAACACCTTACATAAACATTAACTAGTTATAATTTTTTATTTTTTGTAATTTGATGTAAAGTTGATACATGATACAAAGCATAGTTTTAGCCTTTTTAAATTTGAGATTTTTGTAAAATAAAAATATTAAAAACTTCAGTGGATTTAAGATGCTGTTAAAACACATTATCACCATCTTGTGAAAAGGGTATATGAAAATGGTAAATAAAACAACTTCATGTTCATCCAAAAGGTCAGTTTAAGCAATAAGTGGACAGACTCACCTTGCTCATCTTGCTTTTGCTGTCAGCGGTAAGGAAAGACATGTTGTTGATCTCATTCATCACCACAAAGTTCTGCTCCTCTCGCTTGAAATTCTATAGAGATTGTAATCAAATAGTTTTTAAGAGAGAACTAGGTTAATTTCAAAAGAAAATGAGGAAAAAACAAGGAGGGAGAAAGAAGAATAAAAGTAAAGTAGACAAGAACAATGACGAGTATATCTCTGCAAGCCCCAGATATAAAATAATGAAGTAAGCATGTTTGGGAAAAACTACAACAATAAGTAATTAAATGCATATTAAAATGATTTTACAAAATGGCTGAGAAATGCTAAATACAATTCTTTTGATTTATTCAACCTATGGCTCATTATTGATACGTACCCCTATAGACTATTTTAAGGGATGTAAACAATAAGAATGGTCTTGACATATTTCCTGTTTTACATTCTTAATTTACATAGCTTCTGAGTACCAAAAAAGGTCAACCTAATAAAAAATAATGTTCTCACAGCTATTTTAACATCAATATATGATTGAATTGCCTTTTGTTACATTTATGAAGTAGTTTGATAACAAATCAAATGTTCATAGGCAAATGACATTAACACATTAAAATGGTCTATTTACATTTCTTGAGATCACAAAATGCGTCCCAGAAGCTATGTTTTTTTCAGTTTTTGTTTTTGCGAATGCACCAGAGGCAGCAGTGTACAATTTTTCAGATCTCAAGTTTCTCTCGCAAGTGCCATTCATGTCTGCTATTCCTGCATAAACTCACCAAAGGTCGCTGTCAACTGACTGACTGACAAACCAACCAATCACCTACCCACCCCCTTCCCTAAATCCAGCTGATAGTTTTCAAAAGCATTGATTAGCCCGATCACCCCCCTTCCTAAACCCAACCGACAGTGTTTTCCAAATTAATCCAGTTAAAGAAAATCCCACACGGCCACCTGACTTTTACCACATTTTCGTATCTTACCATGTTCTCATCCTGTTGTTTACTTGTTTAATTCATTTTTTTTCTTTTTGTTTTACTATTCTTTGCCAGACTCGAACCATGTCATTGTGGTCAACTTCTCTTCATGTCTCAAGTATGCCAACAAACAAGACAAGCTACTAGGCAAACTGGTAACATTGAAAAAGCGGTCCACACAGAGGTAAGTTGTCGACCCGTAGTGTTCGCTTCAAAGACGAAATGCAGCTATATGTAAGTCTGGCTACATTATTTGCGCTCTCCAGAAATGTATAAAGGGGTACGTCTCCACAATGAGCCTGTGTTGAATTTATCGATCTGGCCCTTTTTAGCCAATAGGTGGTGCTGTTAACAAATAATTTTAGTGTTTTTGGTGATCACCTGAGCACTTAAAAAATCTCGCACTCTTGTATAAGTAGCACTTGTGTGTATTGCCTTTTTTTATGCTTAATAGCTGAATGCCCCCTCATTTGTAAGTCATTTTGGACATAAGCATCTGCTAATTGACTAAATGTAAATGCAAACATAAAGACAAGAAAAAACAAGACATCAGAAAAAGACATGAGTTGAGATGGTATTATGGGAGACTAGATGAAATTAGATAGACAGTAGAGAAAAGACTAGAATTTAATTTAATAAAGTAAGGAAAAAATGAATTTACGTGCGATTTAGACCAGAAGATGAAGACTTCTCCAACCATCCTAAACAAGTCCTCAGCATCAGGATCAGGGCATGTCAGCCATCTTGCCCTTTAAACGACAAAAATAACCAAATCAGAGAGGATTTCTTCAGAGCGATAATCTTATTGAAACTGATCATAAAAGAATCCTGCAAACGAGTGATACCTGTTGTTGTCCACATATCGGATGAGTAGAGGGTAAAGAGCGTACAGATCTCTGCATAGCACAGCAAACTCATCTCGAATAGTTCCTCCCTCACTGTCAACCTCCGTCTTCCCCTCCATACGCAACTGCTCCTCCTCAGCCACAACCTTTCCACTGCGTTTCTTCAGCTTTTCCATGGTGGGGATGAAGTGAGATTTGAGCATCTCTGGCTTTGCTCTGCTCACAATTGGCTGAGCAAACACTTTAGAGCAACATCAAGAAGAACTATGAGTAACTTATCAGCTTTAGGTTGAGCTATTAACTTATTAGCATTGACCACCAACTGCTTTGCACCATCAAACCATGGGACCGATTTACACAATTTGCATAGAAACGTTCCTAAATACGCTACTTCATAAAATGAATTTAAAGTATACTTCTTTAAGAGTATGCATGTTTAAGCTGTTTTGGAATATTGTTTTGGACTGATCTCATGATGTAACTCTGTGTGTTCTTTGGTCCTGCATAAAGTTGCATTAATATGTCATCTGCATTGTTTTGTTTCCATATTGGTAACCGTCTTTTTTTTTAACTCAATATTTTGTGCCTCTTATATCTCTGACCACAATACTGGGACACATCTAGATCCATAATTAAAGTATTACAGATTCCATGTTTAGCTGCCGCTCACCTGCCAATCTCTTCATCCAGGATGCTTCATCAATACCCAGGTTGTTGACGACAATCTTCATGATGCTTCCCAGGAGTTGATTGAGTTGTTCGGAGGTGACGTCGGTGCACAGACAGCCTTCCTGCTCTGGGAAGTTCTCTGGTCCCCTTTCCCACCAGCGAGGCAGATAGTTGCAGAGCATAGGTAGGGTGATCTCAATCACGTGGGGCATCTCTGTGTAACGGGCCCCAGACTCTGCCAGATGCCCGATTTCTTTCATCAACACGTCCAGCTCAGGGATGTCCAGACACAGCTCCTGCACTTGACTGGGGAGACCCAGAACTAGAATATGGATTAAAAGAGAGTTAACACAAGGAAAACTGAGGCTGTTATTTGACTGAGCTTTGTTAAAATAGAACCAATAAAACAATAAAACCCTGAATTGTCTTAAATATGTGTATATTTCAATCTAAAATTGTGTTTCTTCCTTGAATGGTCATAATGATCAAATTGACCACCTTCGATTTAGCATCTGTTATACTTTATTCTGTGCCTTTAATTACGCATACTTGAATGTGGTCTCTGAACGGAATTGACACCATCCAGAAGTTTGGGTTCGGGGTGCAAACCTGTCCAGCGTGGACGTTCGCAGCTGGATACGCGATAGACGGGTAGGGGAAGTGGCACGTCGTGTGTCTGGCTGCTCTGTCCCTGGAGGATATTAAAGATATCTATCTGTTCAAAACTTTGATAAAAGGATTTCTGCTTTTGCGAGGCCCTGGGGTATCAACGAATGATGAAACCGGTCATTGTGGCTCAAAATCCCTCTAAGCTGGCCAGCTGGATTAAAACGTTGGTAAAAATTGGAAAACATCGAGGTGAAACTAGTGGCTTTGCAACAAGATTGGTAAGACCTGGTGACCAGTGCAGACATTAAAAATGTTGTTTTATTAAAAAGATGTTGTGTCTATGTACAGTATATGTGTTTATGTGCTTGGTTGCTGGAGCTTTTTTCCCCCTGATGGTTTATTTTTTGCCTCTCTCTTCCCAAATGTATCTTAATTCCTCTTTTTTTAAAAGCTACCTCTCGTTGACCTTTCTTCCCCTGAAATGTGTGATGTTTGTGTAATAGTCAGGGTGGTGGGGCTTCATCATCATCATCACCATCATCATGTATGCCCCCTTTGCCTAGCAACTGTATTAACAAAAAAGTAATTTTCATGGAAAAAAAAAAAAAAAAAAAAACATCACTTTACTTTAGACATGTCTTTCAAACTTTAAAAAACAACATTTATCTTGCACTGAAAAAAACTCCTGCTTGCTGGACAAAGTGAGATATGCATCTTTTGGGCACTGTAGTAAGTCATAAACAATTATAGACTATATTACAAAAAAAAAAAAAAAAACTGTATTTTTAGGGTAATGCCTTCATAAAATAGAAAGAAAAGCAATAAATTCTTTAAGGTGCAGAGGTTTTTCTTTTTACTCGGCCTGTCCTCTTCCGATTACACTAATGCAGGTTGCCAGATTGAGGACACCAATAAAAGTGATCATGTCTGATATGCAAGCCTTACAATATAAGCTACTATGCTAATGTTTAAGTCGAATATGTATAATTTGCTAATTAAAAACTACCTCATGTGGATATATTGAAAAAGCCATCAAGATTGAAATGAAATACGCTGCTTTCCAACAAGGCAACCTATTGTGCCAAAATGTAATTGGTAAAATGCCGGCGGGAGGGTTATAGAGACCAAAACAAAGGTATTTTCAAATAAAAAAATAAATAACTGACTATTAATGGCAACCCATTGTGTCAAATGTAATTGGGCAAACTTGCAGCAGGAGGGTTATACACTCTCAGAAATAAAGGTACGCAAGCTGTCACTTGGGTGGTGCCTTTACAAAAGGTACACGTACTTAAAAGGTACATATTGGTCCTTGAAAAAAATATATTAGTACCTAAAAAATTTAAGAGGAATACTTTAGAAATTTTTAGGTACTAATATGTATCCCTGAGGTATTAATATGGACCTTTTAGGTACAAATTTGTACCTTTTAAAAAGGTACCACCCCAGTGACAGCTCTCGTACCTTTATTTCTGAGAGTGTAGAGACCAAAACAAAAACATTTTCATATAGAATATGAAATAACTGACTAATAACCAATAAGGATACCTGACTTTAGCATTGTTTATCAGTTTAACAAGCAGGCTTGGAGAGTAACAGAATACATATAACAGTGTTACGTAATCAGGATACAAAAATACATAAAAAATTTATTTATTACATTGTACCTATGTCTGTATGGCATTTACATAAATATATAAATTTTCAAGACTGTATTACCAAATTGTGAAAATGAGACACAATTGCTTAATTTAAATAGGTTTTACTCTTTTATATATATATATATATATATATATATATATATATATATATATATATATATATATATATATATATATATATATATATATATAGTTTTGGTTGTTAGAAATGTTCATTTCGAAAATTAGTTTTAGATTTTTTACAGTTATACCTGACCATAAAGCCAATCCAAAAGTAATCAGGTTACATACTTTTATACGTTGGTGCTTGGATTAAGTTACTGAATACTGTTTTGATTAAGTAATTTGTAACTGTGTTCTTTTTTAAAGGAACCCTCCAAAGCCTGTGACAAGTATGTTCACTTACTGTAGCATGTTTCTTGAATATCTGCAAATATATCATGGTATTGCTATGCTTTAGAACAGTCGAAAACTAATCTACAGCATCTGTAATTCCATAATCTCAACAGAACCTTCAAATGTAAATATGACATTAAATATTTGAATATATGAAGTGTGGCCATTCTTATAGTTAAAGAATTCTGGTAGTTCCAGTGTTAAGAAAGCATTAGCTGATTGCATAGACTGTTAATGTGATATGTTTTGAGTGAGTTACTGACTTGTTCTCTCTCGTGGGGTTTTGGTAGTGTACACAGAGTATGAGTTGAACTCGTTGAGGTTTGGCTCCAGAAAGGCAACAGGCATGGCGGCAGCAAGATGAGCCAGACACTCTCCTAGAGCTGGTCTTTGGCTGTGTGATATCACATTCATTATTATATTTATAATATTGTACATATAAAACAAATGTACATATTTAAAGCTGTTTCCTTACTTCTCAGCATGAGGAGTCTTTACGGTGCCCAGTGAGTAGATACTGCACATGATGCGGTAACAGGAGATCTGCAAGTCATCCACTGAGTAATGGAAAGAACATAGATGCAGTATAAGGGACAGTGAGTGATGACAATTTTATATGTATAGCACAATTTTAGTGAAGTTTCACAAACTAATTTCGAGAGGAGCACATGTTAGGATTGACCGCAGCTGGTCTCTCATCTACAATTGTTAGTTAGCCAATCAGATTAATCCAAACTCACTATAAGTAGCCTAGCAAAAATTACTCCCTTATCTTCATTTCCAAAGAAAACCCCATCCACCCTTTTCTCCCCGTTTCTTCCTTTATTACTGGAAGCTCTCTTGAACTACCTCAGCTCATACTCCCCTTACATTCTCAATCGACCAGGCGGGAGCCCTGGGCTCAATTATCTCTGAACTCAGGGTTTTCTCCTGGAACAGCATGCCAAACCTGCTAATATTTTTCAAACAATATCTAAGTGTGAACTCTTGAAACTACTTTCATTGACAAATGTGCTATCCAACAAGTAAACAGAAAGTAAAACAGACAACAACAAATGATTTTAGAAACAGTTGCACTTCCTCACATCCGATTGGCTTTGAAATCAAAAATGTCTTCAAGTCAGAAGTAAGGTGTTCCTTAGCCTTACACAACAAAGCCAGATTGGAGAACTAAGGTATATTTTAAACCAGGGGTGCCCAAACTCGGTTCTGAAGGGCTGGTGTCCTGCGTATTTTACTTACAATCCCAATTAAACACACCCGAACCAGCTAATTAAGCTCTTTCTAGGTATACACTTAAAGGCTGGTGTGTTGAAGGAAGTTCAAGCTAAACTATGCAGGACACCGACCCTCCAGGACAGAGTTTGGACACCCCAGTTTTAAACTTTTAAACTTTAAAATGAACAGGAAGCCAGTGTAAATAGCATAGAATTGGAGTAATTAACTCTCTCTTTTTTGGTCCTGGTGAGGAGACGGGCTGCTGCATTTTGGACAAGTTGTAACCAGGAAAGGGGTTTCTGGCTAATCCCATTGTAAAGTGAGTTACAATAGTCCAACCTATAGTGTGTGCCTTATATTTTAACTACAATTATTAGCATATTCTTTTATCTATTAAATAATTACATCTTTACACAGTTATTATTTTATTTTAGTCCTAATTGTTATTGTATTATCAGCACTCTTAATACTTCATATTATACCTATTTAGGCTATTTTATTATTGTTATCTGACTTAATAAAAAATACCATTAAAATGAAATGACAAACCATTTTCATTGTTATTTTACTAAATGACTTGTTTACAGTTACGATGCTTTTTATTTTATTGCTATTTACTTATTTTTAATTAAATTATAATACTAACAGGTTGTTGTTATTTTACTTTTTATTGTTTCAAAAAGGCAATTTTGTCATTTTAATGAATCATTTTATTGCTATTTTGCTCAAATTTAAATGTAGCTATTTTTATTTAACTCTTTTTTTAAGCATGTAAGTCCTTTGACATTGATCACACTGTTAGACCTTACCAGGCTTTTTTACAGTAGAACACTGGCAACACTGTTGCCAGCTACTCACTGTAAAAGTTTGGTTACAGTAAGTAACTGGCAACAGTGTTGCCAGTTAATTACTGAAACTGAACCATTACAGTGAGTGGCTGGCAACAGTGTTGCCAGTTGTTTACTGTAACCGAACCATTGCAGTGAATAGCTGGCAACAGTGTTGCCAGTTAATCACTGTAATAGAGCAGTAGTGGTAACTAACTGGAAACTGTGTACATTTAATTACTGTACTGTAGTGTTACAACTCACAGCATTATACTGCATACACAATAGTATGTCAAGGTGTTACTAAAATTAATTAGTATTCTTGCCTTTTATTAATTCTTTAAATTAATTAAGTTGTAAATTCTGACAAATTTATTTTACTGTTTTGGCAGCAAACAAATATAAAACAGAAATTGTAAACCAAAATTAAGAAATCAGCAGATATAAATATCATCTTACATATTACTGAGAGCCACAGGTCTGCACAGCAAGGCTGCAGTCAAACTAACGTTTAAGCATGCAAAATTCTGTCATATGGCTCTGCGAAAAGGAGTGGGATTAAACAAAATATTTAGAGATTGAAAAAGCAAGCAACTGGTCCATAATTTTTGTTCAGAGAGGTCATGGTTTGATCTTTGATTAGTCTCAAGCAATCACATGATGTGATTTCACAGTTCAGAGTTCTCCAAGCTTGAACTTTCCATAGCTGCAAACTGTAAAATTTGTCGCATGAGCATGCATTCCAGGTCTGCAGCATTCACATGCGTATGAATGGAAGTCTAAAGGAAGGAAAGTGCAGTGTGACCGGGACTTTAAGCTGTAACTCTAATTAAACGCACCTGATAAAACTAATTAAGGCTCGTTAGAAATCTACAGGTAATGTTAAAGAAGGGTGGGAACTAAACTCTGCTGCCCTGCAGTTCTCCAGTAACTTGGAGTTTGACCCCCATGGTATATAGCAGGTGTGCTTAATCCTGTTCCTGGAGATCTACGTTCCTGCAGATTTCAGTTGCTACCCATATCAAACACACCTGCCTGTAATTATCACGTGGTGTTCAGGTCCTAATTAATTGGTTTAGGTGTGTTTGATATGGATAGCAACTGAAATCTGCAGGAAGGTAGATCTCCAGGAACAGGATTAAGCACCCCTGGTATATAGCATACTTTTAAAGCAACTGCTAACATTTATCACAATCACATATCCAATAAACACACACACGCACACACACACACAAACTGCTGCAGTGAAATGTGTTACTCTCTCCTCAATGCTGACCATGCAAAAAAAAAAACTGAACAGCAAAAAACAAAATAATTATTTTAAATTTTAAAGTTTTAAATAAATAAAAACTGTGTCAATTCTCAAAAACTTTAAAATAATTATAGAAAACAAAAATAAAGTTGGCAACACCGAAAAACCAAAGGATCCAATCTTTTATTGTTATAATTATCTCATGACAACAAACTTTTTTATTGTTTCAAATATAAATTCATAGATGGAAACACTGCTCTGAAAAATACTTAGCAACAAACTCACAACCTGGGACCGGACAGTGGAGCTTTTGTGTGTGGATGGCTTTGTGTATCATGTTTTTGTGATTCCCTGTGATGATGTGCACATGTTATCTTACTGAGATGATGGAATTTAATTTTGGCTTAGTTGCCAGAAAGGTACACACAACTGTTAGCATCTGTACATTATGGCAGTGTGCAATATAAAATAAATACATATACTTAAACAAAAGTAATGTAAGAAGTTATACGAGGAGAGGCTAACTAGCTAACAATGTAGCTTTCAAGTACACAGTTCAAGATAACAACAATATAACTTAAAACACAGCCTTATTTTATAAACCCTCAAAAACATTTGAACACATTTTACTTACTCATTTAAGATTCTTATTTAAGCCTAAAACATATCAGACTCAACATCTGAATTGGTAGACAGAGAATAGAGCACACTCAGCAGTAAACAAATCAAACACCTGGCTCTCTTAAAGGGCCAGCATTTTCTGAAAACTCTAACACCTTTGGTGATGCCTAAATCATTTTTTTACAGTTATTTACTGCACAATCTACAGAGTAACAGTGCAGTTATACTAATTAAACACACCTGATCAAACTAAATCTAAAGGTAGTGTGTTGAAGCAGGGCTGGAACTAAATTCTACTAGGCTGTGGCTTTCCAGGAGTTTGACAACCCTGGTACATAGCATATTTTCAAAGCAACTGCCTACATTTATCACAGTTATGCACATATCGTTTAATAAAAACAATAAAAATATACAATAATATAAACTTCATCCATAGAAAAAAATAAATAAATAAATAATCTGATTCTCATGTCGTTCCAAATCTGTAGTAAAAAATAATAAAAAAACACAACAAAGATCCTGATTTATACATTTATTTAGGAAAGCCTTTATACTGTTAATGGCACTTTTACTTGCCAGTTTTCCAGACAAATTCATTGAGTCTCTGCAAAAATGTATGTGCGTGTTGTTTAAGATATATTTATATTTTTTAATAACACATTTTTACTAGTTATTTAGCAAAATACTAATATTCAGTTGAAAGTGCAATTTAAAATCTTAACTATAGGTCAAACTAGGCAATTAAATTAGATTAATTATAGAAAAAGTAAACAAAGTTATAAAAATTATTGTGACAATTTCTTTGCTCTGTGTGAATATTTTTGTGGCATTGGTTGACTCCTGATACTCAATGTTAAAAACATAAAAGGAACCAAAGAAAACACAGAGATAAAATAAATATAAAATAGCAACATAAAGCATGATAGTAGATGGGGCAGTAATGGTTGAACAGTAATTTACCATTTATTATCACAGTAAATATCTGTAATGGTACATAGCGTAAATTACTGTAATTTATTCTTTGCACTACAGAATTTCATACAAATCCTGCTCCTTTTACAGTAAAATACTGTTTCCTTTCATTACAGCTAAACGCTGGCTATTTTACTGTTATTTACTGCATAATCTACAGTAAGGGTTAACAGTGCAATTAAGTGAAGTTTATTTATAAACTAATATCGAGAGGATCACATGCTAATGATTGATCACCACTGGTCCTGCATCAGCTCACGACTGATTCACCAATCAGATGAATCCTAACTCACTGTAAAGAACCAGAGGTTTTCTCTGGGTTCTCTGGTTTCCACCCACAGTCCAAAAACTCGCAACCTAGGTAACCTAGGTTACCAAATTGATACCATAGCCACTTAGCATGCGTACATCTCTCCTTAGCCATCCTATATCTGTCATTAACCAGAAATAAGTCAGAATAAGTCAATTCATAGAGAATTGTTGATTTACTCCATTTAAATATTTGAGCAGTTCCGATGCAAAAACCTCTAAGTGCCATCTGAAATTTCCTTCTAAATTGAGCAGGTTCCTGCATGTAGGTTCTGTTATTTATGTAACAAAAGAATAGGTTTCTTTAATTGTGTCAAAAGTAAAATAACTGAGAAAAATGCTAATGTTATAAGAAAATTTCATATGACAAAGTTTTTTTGCATAATTTTTTGCATCTGAACTCTTCATTTACAGTATGTATACTTTGTTGAAAGCTTACGAAAATAACTCACACATGACATCATCTCCAAACTGGTGCTGGGCGATGTGGTCGAACAGAGAGGTCAGGACTGGCAGAAGAGCAGTGGTGGTGTAGCTAATGTTCTGAGATACACCTTTCACCTTTTACACATACACAACAGGGAGAAATCTTTATCAAACAGCTCATTAGAAACCCTCAGTGAACAGCACTATATTTTTTTTATATCTGACCTGGTTTTTGGTGGACACTTTCCCTAATTTGAGGTTCTCAACCATCTTCTCAATATCATCAGCAGCACTTTCAAAGAATGAGCGCAGACCAGCCTTCACAATCTCAGGCCCAGATTTCATTACAGTCCTGTGAAACAAAAGACAACAATATGAGGATTAAAAACGTTACATTTGAAGTAAAAACTGTGTTGAGATTTTGCAATTCAAACAGAAAGCATGTCATTATTGAATATTGCTTTTGTCCTTTAAGTATCATATTTCAGCTTTGTTCATCATCAAAAAGAGTTTTAGGCATTCAAAAATAAAGAAGAAATGTGTATTAAATGTGATTTGTGCCCTTAAACTGCCCTTAAATTGTAAAACACTAGGATTTCAGTATAAGTACGGATAGTTGTGTTATCATAACTTTTAATGTGATTTCATGCAATGATGTTGAATGCAATTGTGTTATGTGTTGATTTTTATGTGATAAATGTGACACTGAATGTAATTTTGTGAAAAAGATCCATTTGTGTATAATACAAAAGTCATAATTCATGTAAACATTAGTAATTACACTGTAAAAATGCTGGGTTCCACACAATAGATTTGTGTTGGAACAACATGAAGGAATCAAGTTGGCTTTGTCATTTTTACATTTAAATGCACTGAACATAAAACAATATAGTTGTCCCCCCCAAATAATCAAGAATTGTGTTGTTTCAGATCATTTAAAATAAGAACTTTGAACAAATGGCAAAGCATACCTGGCATCCAGTGAACGGGAAAGAATATGAAGACAGTTGACCACAGCTGAGGCATCAGTGCCTGCACACACACACACACACACACACACACACACACACACATACACACTCATTCTTATAACTTGAACTAAAATTAGCCTCAAATGTGGACTGAAGCTACTATGCTACAACATATAACACTGATGTAGCATGAAGTGGTATAATTAAAGCCAAAGCAGATCATCTTCTGAAGCCATGTTTACACTTATTACATTTACATGCACACCAATAATGCAGTTTTAGGAATATTGCTAGTAAACTTCATCTCATGTTCCATGTTACTTTGATTAAAATATTGCGGTTAAGTTCATAAACATAGTTAAACACTAACATACATTAGGTGTGTTGCAAATTTTAGATCTGTGTAAAGTCAATGTTTAATATGTGTTCTAAGTTTGTCACACCAACAGAAAAATGTGTTATTAAACATCCAGACCATCTATTATTTATCATTATTATTAATATATATATATATATATATATATATATATATATATATATATATATATATATATATATATAGAGAGAGAGAGAGAGAGAGAGAGAGAGAGAGAGAGAGAGAGAGAGAGAGAGAGAGAGAGAGAGAGAGAGAGAGAGAGAGAGAGATTAATAATGATATATATACAGTTGAAGTCAGAAGTATTAGCTCCCCTGGAGAGAAGATTTTTTCAACACATTTCTATACATAATAGTTCTAATAACTCATCCCAAATATATATTTTTTAAAATTTAGATTTATTTTATCTTTGCCATAATGACAGAAATAATATTTTACTAGATATTTTTCAAGACACTTCTATACAGTCTAAAGTGACATTTAAAGGCTTAACTAGGTTAATTAGGTTAACTAGGCAGGTTAGGGTAATTAGGCAAGTTATTGTATAATGATGGTTTGTTCTGTAGACTATCGAGAAAAAAAATTAGCGTAAAGGGGCTAATAATTTTGACCTTAAAATGAAGTTTAAAAAATAAAAAACTGCTTTTATTTTAGCCGAAATAAAATTGAAAGGGGGTCTAATGATTCTGACTTCAACTGTATAAGCGTGTGTTGTCTGTGTATGAATCACATGGCTGTCAGTTGTGTGGTCACGTGAATGGTTCTCACTGGCACTTTCTATTGCTTAGCACCGCTCAGCTGACTAATCAGCACGCCACAGGTGTAGCACATTTCTGCGCCTTTATCAATCCAGCCTTTCTGTTTCACCTTGACAGTTCAATGTTGATCATGTCTGTGTCCTGTCAGGCTCTCGTCATTGATGTTCTCTGGTGGTGAGTTGCTGTTTGATGCTTTAAGCTCCTATAGACTTTGTCTACACTTCTCTGCTGACGGCTTCACAAACTTTACCTGCAGGTGAGCTTTGTTTAATTCCAGTGTGAGACGCACCTTTGGTCTTTGGCAACACTCATCTGCTAACGACGTCACAAACCTTATTCATGCTGTTGAGCTCTGTTTGATTCCAGTATCAAATAATCCATCTTTGTTTTCAACTGCATTGGGTTCACTATTTATTTGTGACATAGTATGCCATGATAGACAGAGGCCAGTGGGTAAATTTTGCCAGGATGCCGAGGTTAAAACCCTTCTTTTTTTTCGAAGAACATCCTGGGATTTTATTTATTTTTTAATGACCACAGAGAGTCAGCACCTCGGTTTAATGTCTCATCCAAAAGACTGCACACACTGAGCAGTAGAGTCCCTATCAATATACTCGGGCGTTACGACCCACACAGACCAAAGGTGAGCGCCCCCTGATGGTCTCAATGACACCACTTCCAGCAGCAACCTGGCTTTCCCATGTGATCTCCCATCCAGATACTGACTGGGCACAGCCCTGCTTAGCTTCAGTGGGCAACCATGTAAGAGTTGCAGAGAACTAGCTGCTGGCAAAGTTACCACAGTGAAACTAAAACAGGCATAATGAATACTTTTTACCTAAATAAATGTTTTACTTTAACGTGAGCACAAAAGTGTAGTCAGTACTTCAACTTTTACCAGAGTCATTTTAAACATGAGTATCTGTACTTCTACTTGAGTAGAGGATGTGTGTACTTTTGCCATCTCTGCCAATGAGTCAAAGGGAAAAAATCACTTCCTCATAAAAAATAACTTCCTGATAAACCGACGTATAATATCAACACAAAAAATAGAGTTTGCTGTATTAGGAGAAGCCTCTGTGGGTCTGTTGTTCTATACCATAAATTACTTGCACCTCAGAAGACAAAGACAAAGTGCAAAAGAAGCATGGTGTCTTTTGGAGGCGCAAAATGCTCGCTGGGAGTGCAGATGCTCAAGACAGTTCTGAGAAGTTTGTTCATTAATGCCTTCCCATTGTGTCCATTTTTATTATTACATGAGCTACTGTATCATGTCTTTTTTTATGCTGGAATTTATTCAGTAGATGTGTTTACATCACAGTTTATGTGCATCTCCTCTAATTGAATAAATTTTTTATCTTATACAGTTGCAAAATTCACATAAAAATAGGTGGATGGAAACATAGCTTATGAGCTGGGACTAAAACTTAAGTCACCCGGACACAGCTACTGTATATGTCGGCACACTGCCCACAAAGTTATCAGCCCTGATACCACATGAACAAATGACCACCACATGGAGAAAAAAAAAAAAAAACAGTGGTATGCTCTGCTCTAAAATGACGGATGCATGTCCAGAGGTAGTGCTGAAACTAAGCTACCACCTCTCTCAAATGATCACTTGGTTTCATCGTTTGGTATCACCCCTTGGTTTCATATTGGTTTCAAAAATCCTGACTATGAAAATGATGACAAACTGTACGTGACTTCATCATTTGTTCTACAAGGTGTGTGAAATATTGTGGTAAAAAATAACAATAGGCATTATTATTGAAATTGCATTTAAATTAAAGCTAAGAGGTTTGTGTGTGTAAATGTGTGAAAATCTTGCTGTGCATAATCTGAAATAATTGCATTATTGATGTTCATCTAAACATATTCATTGCCAGTTCAAATCTAAACATTTTTGTATCCAGTTAGAATCTGATAAAAGTTATTGATTGTACACAGTGTGTTTCACAATCACTCAGATCTAATTTTTGTGTCCCATTGTGTGTTCAGGAATATCTGGAATATTGGTTTCTATGGCAACAACCAATCCCAGCAGGGACACAACATCATAAGATGTTAACATTAGGTTAGATTTAGGTCATGACGTCAGGTGACCAAAATTCAATGTCTAGCCAGAGTCTAAGGACGTTATTTTGATGTCCAATAACGACGTCAAATAACGTTGAAATTTGGTTGATTTTAGGTTGTGTCGGAAAGTGACCAAAATCCAACGTCTGATAGATGTCATAGTGGGAACGTCCAAACAATGTCAAGATGTAACATGATTAAATGTTGATATTTGGATGATTTTATGCTGATTTTAGGTTGAACATTGGACATTGACAACAGCCTGAAGTTGGGTTCTAACATCAACCCGATTTTTTATTTTTAAACAAAATCCAACGTCCCCATGAAAGTATTGAACAGTATTGCTCCTGCATTGGTGATATAGAGTAAATTAGTGTAAATTGTGTCAATTAAACCCTTCAATGTCAAAATAATGTCATTTATTTATTGTCATAAACTCTGAATCCCTGGACTATGTAGGTAAAGAAGGAAACTACAATAAACAATGCTTTTAAAACTCACCCTAGATTTACAGAGATGTGATCCGTACATGATTTCAAACTACATAATCAATGTAATGTAGCTTCAAATTTATGAAAAAACTTATTTCATGTGATGTTTTTGCCATTTAAATTGAATACAGTCAGATTACAACTGGATACATGCCAACATTGGATTTGGAAAGACTAATGAAGCTAGATATTTTCACATGATAGTGATTCTTGCTATACGATTACTGAGCCAACACTGCAAATGATGCACATAAGCAAAGCAAATCATTAGAGAAACCACTCAGAGAAAGAAAGAAGGGAAAGAAAGAAAGAAAGAAAGAAAGACATAGATAACACCAAAGAAAACTCAGAGCAAATAAATACAGTTATTAGAAATGGATGTACGAATGATGTGAAATGTTAAAGAAAAAAGGGGATGGTGGTGGGCAAATGAAATGTGCAATCAGGCCATCATGCAGGACTCTTACCAAAGAGGGAAACCCTGTGTCTCACCAGACCGGCCAACTTACAGAAGATACTGAGATAGAAGATACACAAAAAGAAGAAACAAATAGGGGCGGAGGGTTGAGAAAGAGAAAATGGCATGAAAAGGAATAAAAGGGTGAGGTTAGGAAGATGGAAAAGTAGGAGTAAAATAATGTGAACCGTTGAAGATAAATGTAAAATAAGGATGAGGGGACCCATGGAAAAACACTCCAGGAGGAGGCAGAGAGAAAAACCACAGGCAGGAAGAAATGTAAGGGGCAAAGAGGATGTGACAAGTTGCAACATCAAAACTATTGTACGTAACATCATAAAACATGTTCTTGGTAAGGTTGCACCAGCTCTTAATACGTTCTTAAACTGCAATGTAAAGTTTACACTCGAGATTTACAAGCAACTTTATTCAGTTCAAATACCCACAGCATTGCTACATGTCTATCTGGTGATCATCAGTCATGACCAATGGTAAGCATTTTAAATTAGCTGCACAGTATATTAGACGCTTCCTACATGTACAAAATCCTGTTAAATTGTGGCTTGCAGCCTTACTTTGAAAACAGACATTTGTTGATTCATTAGTAAGTTTTGTTCAGTGCTGTGTTATGCAAACTAACAGATATCCTTAATATAACAAAGTGTAGATGCTATGTAAATATCAGGTTAGTGTTGAGCACTATTTATAGCATAATAGCTGTGTAGAATTAAAACATAATCAAATTAAATTACAATGAGTGAAACACTCTTTTTTGAATGGTCTAGAACAGGGGTGTCCAAACTCGGTCCTGGAGGGCCGGAGTCCTGCATACTGTATTTCCAACTGCATTTAGACACACCTGAACCAGCTAATCAATGGCTGTTTTTCAATATGCGTTCTTCAGTGATCTTGCACCTCGTGATAACGTCATCATCAACTGCCAAATTTCAGTTCCAAAAAGCAAGACCGCAAGAATGGAAGACGCATGAAACTTCCCGGATGTGTTTTTGATATCGAGGACATGCTGATGCAGACTTGCTCAAGAAGTCCCAGAAGTCATTGCGACTGAATATACTGTACTCAGAGATTTTACTTATTGATCTCAGGAGTTTCTCCATATGAGATGGTGAAAGTAAACATGATCATGAAAATCTTAATAAAGGCATAAACACATTAAGGATGTTTATTTGCTGAAATTCCTTTTAAAATCTGTGTTATCTGTATTTTGCAAAGTATATTTATAAGGTTTTTGTGCATGTTATATATATTGAAAAGGGGAAAAACAATAAATTGTTGTATGAATGCTGTAATGTTTAAATAATTTTCAGTTAAAAATGGTGAAGGTCATGTGACCATCAAGAAGAACGCAGCATCTCATTCCTCACAGGACGTATTCTCTGTTCTTGCAGTCTTCCGAGTTCGGCCTGGCTCTCCAGAAGAACACGAGTGTGTTTTCTGCGTTTTTGGAATTAAGAAACAGCCAAGCTCTTTCTAGGCATTCTTGAAACTTCCAGACAGGTGTATTGAAGAAGTTGGAGCTAAACTATGCAGAACACCAGCGCTCCAGGAACGTGTTTATGTTGAAGGAAACATTATCAAATGAAACATATTCAATTTGTTTTACTGAAAAATGATTAGACACATTTATGACAATTATGTTTATGCCTGATTTATGACAGGTTAAGCTGTCTTGTTTTTAAATGTAGCTAGCAGGCCATAAGTACTTTGTAAAGTAATCCAAAGTCACATAATAATGCATTTAACTTCAGTGATTAAAAAAAAGCCTGAGAAGTTAGTGAGAAGTTGCTGAAATGCACTGATTTCATTTAATATTCTAGCTTGTTTACCTCATGCTAATTTTAGTATGAATATAACATTACTAAAATTTGATATCACTCAAAACTAGATTATGTTTTAACTTGCAGAAAGCTGGCGCAACCGGATTCTGAAAAAAAAAAACACATGTAATCAAATGAAACCATTTATAGCAAAAATGCTGATCTGCAGCATTACCTAGCAATCATCTCCTTCTCCTTGTTGGATGCGTGACCACCACTGCCCAGCACTTTAGCAGGAGTGGACAAGAAATACAGGCAGTGGTTCTTAAAGTACTGGTTTATGAGCGGGAGCAGAATCTACAGGAACAGAATACAAATAGGAAGAGGAACCTGTGAGAGGTTGAAAAGTCTTTCAAAGACTTCACACTGAGCTCTGTTTTATTCAAAATCAACTCAGATGCTGGTCAAAGGTGTCTCACCTTGGCAAAGAATTTAATCTCCTGTTCGTGTGGGGATTTTTCAACTCTTCCACTGCTCACGACAGCCTCTGGAATAGCAATAGCAGAGAAGAGCCATCAAATACTTCTTTTCATCAAGAGTAAAAGTTTCATCAATACAGTTTTGGTAAATGTATACCAAGATGAGCAATAAACTCCTGAGCGATCTCCATCCACTTCAACAGCTTTTGCAGGAACCCGTAAGCAAAGCGCTTCTCAATGGAGGAAATCTCCTGCTCCATGTCTTTCAGACCCCTGATAAAGATCAGTGAGGAGAAACAACATGATGTGAGTTTATAGTTTTATTGTAATTCACCATGTCTTAATGGGATCTATAATGCCCCCTTTGACAAGATATTAAAAAATCTCTGATGTCCCCCCAGAATGTATATGAAATTTTTAATGTTTGATTCAAAACCTGCTGTTTTGTTGTTTGACACTTTAAATTCAAATGATATCCTGCTCACAGCCCTCTTTTCAGAAGAGGGTGGAGCTACAAATGCATATACTGCTTTTTACTCAGGGATGTTCACTCTTTTTCCTTCTGATGTTTAAAAAGTAGGCCAATAGTTTCCCAAAATTAAAGTCAGACATTTCTGTTTTGGCTTAGATTTTCGACATGAAACAGTATAATGTTAATTAAAAACGTAATATTCTGCAAGTATGCTGCATCTTTGTTTGGATCATGATTAAAATGCAGCAGTCGCATTGAAGCAAAGCCTCACTTTGTTTAAGTGAAGAGATTTCTTTAATTTGTGAAACTTATTTGATTCGGGATTTGTTTTAAAACGGCAGTTAAGTATTATTATATCATATTTTTGCCACAGCAGAATAAACCGACAATTACTCTGGCATATGTTTTACTTTCCAGCCACAACACAGCATTAAAATTACACTAAGGCTGTATTTACACAGCAGATCTTAATGATCAAATCTGATCTTGTAACTGTATCTGATTTTTTCGACGACCTGCTTACATCATCTTTTAGATGTGACCGGTTGTCTGCATTTACACTGGACACATCAAAGACGAAATGACCAGGAAAAAAGAGCAGGTACTGACTAACAGCTGTTAATTAAAGAGCGCTCTTTTCACTATTCCTGTATTTAATCTGTTCGCAAGGTTTCATTTTTTATTATTCTTTTTGACAAGTTGTTTTATAGTTTATGGCAGAAAAGTTCTCATTTGGCCATCTTCTTTGAATCTAGGCCTTTTTTTAAATCAGTAGGCATCTTAATGTCATTTCCATGGCGTAATTTATGCATGTGATGTATGCAATGGTTTTAGTTTATATTGTTTATGTGGCGGACATTGCGTTCTCTCTCTTTCTCGCTAACATGCTTAAATACTTGTGCTACATTTCTTTGGACTGTGTGCAGAAAACAGAGCACCTTCACAAAGAAATGTGCATCAATAACAAAAGAACGCTGTGTGTCTCCAATCCAATTTTATATATTAAAAAAAAAAAAAGTTTAGTAAGAAAAATATGAGAAAATGGAATTGTGAAATCAAAACAGTGAATCAAATTAATAGAGTTGATTGAATCATTATATTCCTTCTGGACTGTTTAATTGGTTTTGCACATCACTAGTGGATCACCTGGTTACAGCGTATCCATTCAGCTGGAGGAATTTGAGCAGGTCTTGGGCTTTTTCTCTGTCTCTAGCCTTCTCTTTGGCGGTCAGTGTATCATAGGGTACCAACAAAGGATGAGTGCCACCACCTATGAACACAAAAACACACAAAAACTAGTGGATGGTCCACAGAATAGCACGATTTCCATATGATCAACATATTAGGTTTACATTCTCGTCATTATTTCATTGGTTAACAAGCCAATCATACCCTTGGCTTGTAGCTCCATTTTCTTCTTGCGGCCCCAGGTGTTGTGGTAGTTCTCTGCAAGCTGTTCTGCCATAGACTGAACACAGAACAGTAAATCAGTCAGTTTTTGTTTCATACAGTCTTACACAGAAAGAAAATAGATAATAATGTACCTGTAGCTCTCTGGACAAGGCCATGCCTATAAGGTCCACTGGCTGAGGAGAGTATCCTTGACTGGGATCATAGGTGGCCTGCAGGAGATATATTTGTAGGAGGGTATGAACAAACATGAACAAACAATTAAAAATACACCTATTATAAGTATTTATGTGGACGTTAATTAGAAAATACAGTAGTTCATTGTTATTTAATGTTCATAATAAGTTAGCTAATGTTAACAAGCTGTTTAGACAGACATGTGTATGGGTTATAGTGTATAGACTGCCATATTGGGGTGATGTTAACACACCCAGTCCTTTTTTTTAAGTCCTTTTTTCAAATAAAAACGGTGGACCAATTGGAGCGGTTTTGAGACAGACTGGGACTTGACGTAGGAGTGTGGTCCTCCCGCCCACCGATATTGATTGACAGACGCGCATTAACATAGCCTCAGTTTGTTGTTTCACGTCTGCCATTTTCAGCGTGTTAGTCAAAGTGATGTCACCAAAGGAACACCCTTGCTCTATTTTTGGATGAAATGCTCTTTGGGCTCAGCCAAAGAGCTTTCATTGTTTTTCTGCGAATGATCAACAGAGATTTTACATATAGTGGCCATTTGCGCTGAACAAGCAGTGAATGCAACGTATCGAGATTCAGGCCATTAAAAACAGCTGATCCACCAAGTCTTTCAGCATCTCTCCGAACACACTCAATTGATCTCGGCTGGCGGATCAACGTTCACCACATGGTCGCTCTCATTGGCGCCATTGTTTGTAACTTTAGGTGGGTTTGCAAACCAGTGTACTTCTCATTGCGTCATCCTTAATTTCAGCTGTTTGCATTTACCGCGATTACAGAAGCAGAGTTGCCTCACGTGTGTGTCTCTCCATAGGGAATTATGAACTTGCTATAACTTAGTTATAGCCTCAGTTAAAGTTAATCCAGTGTGTGTGATTATTAGTCTCGGTGTACAAGCTTGGAACTTTAAACTAGCACACAGTTGGCATAACTTTGTTTAGTTGCCACAGTTTTGTTCCATGCAGAAACACTGTGTTGAGAAGCCTTTATGATTAATTAACCATGACAAATTAAAGCGTTGGTAATAGTAAAACCGGTTAATCGTTGCATCCCTACAGGGATGACGCATGCATTGTTACATAGCGGCTGTAAAACTAAACAAAGACACAAATGATTTTGTAACTATCACTCTGACTCATTCTGGCACATTAGGAATATTGATTCCTCAACAGTAGTCTCTGCTTGGTCTGTGTCCGAGTACATGTGGATGAGCTGAATGCTGGTCCTCTCACTCATGTTGCTTCTCTCTGTCTGCCTGTCTGTTGCCATACACAAAGCGAGGGAGCTCCTGGCTCCACCCCCTTGTTAGGTTCGGCGAGAAGTCAAAACAAATTTTCATATGAAGCAACACACCCCTAAAACAGTGACCTGTGTACACGCCCCCAAAATGACACTTTTTTTTAACACATTAAAGTAAAAAAAAATCTAAATTGTGTTTTGAACTGAATCTAAACTGGTGTTGTCACATCCCCGGCTCATTCCTGCTGCTTCATCTTTACCTTGATAACCCTCTTTGTCGTCATTGTGTGACTATGACAGGCATACTCAGAAGAACCATATTATCAATATCAAATCTTAAAAAAGAGGTAATATAGGTGCCCTTTAAATCTTGAACTATGACTAATAAATGCTGTACAAGTATTGTTCTGTTTGTTCATATTAGTAAATACATTAAGATTAACTTCATGCTCAGTATTGTAAGATGTCTTAGTTTTATAGTATAATATTTAATTTTTTTATATGTTTAAAGACAGGCTACGTAGTGGCACAGTAGGTAGTGCTGTTGCCTCACAGCAAGAAGGTCGCTGTTTCGAGCCTCGGCTAGGTCAGTTGGCGTTTCTGTGTAGAGTTTGCATGTTCTCCCAGCGTTCGCGTGGGTTTCCTCCGGGTGCTCCGATTTCCCCCACAGTCCAAAGACATGCAGTACAGGTGAATTGGGTAGGCTAAAATGTCCATAGTGTATGAGTGTGAATAAGTGTGTGTGGATGTTTCCCAGAGATGGGTTGCGGCTGGAAGGGCATCCGCTGCGTAAAAACATGCTGGATAAGTTGGCGGTTCATTCCGCTGTGACGACCTCGGATTAATAAAGGGACTAAGCCGAAAATAAAATGAATGAATGAACATTTAAAGAAACTGAAACATTCTATTTTTAGGTAAATTTGCATTGAATATGTATATATTTTTAAAAAGTGACTTTTCGTTCCACATTTTTTCCTTCATTCATTTTCCTTCGGCTTAGTCTCTCTTTCAGAGGTTGCCACAGTGGCATGATCCGCCAACTATTCCAGCTTATGTTTTACACAGCGGATACCCTTTCAGCCACAACTCTCAGTATGGAGAAAACCCATGCACAATAATTCACACTACACTACGGGCAAATACATACACTATGGCCAATTTAGTTTATTCAATTCACCTATACTGCATAAATGAATAGTGAATATGAAAGTTAAATGATTAATCATGACTAATCACATATGAAATAAAATACACATATATGTGTGCATGTATATATACATAAGGATACATAGTACACGCATATACAAACATTAAAACGAACTATTATTTTGTGTGCGATTAGTCATGATTAATCTTCAAACAGCACTAGTTGATATATATTATCATAATGAGATGGATTGACAAATATAGATAAACCCGATGATGCAATTGCGAGATGAGTTCCTTAACATTTTAGCAGTCAAAACATTTCTATCTGAGTTCCTAACATTGGGTTCAAAAAAAAAAGATTAAGTTTCAGTTTTGTTCGTCTCTGTTACCTGTGCAGTCTGGGAGATCTTCCTGGTGGCCTTCACCTCAGTTTTTACCTCAGTCTCCCCATCTCTGGCTTTCTCCAAAGTCCATTCCCATGCCAGCATGGCCTTGATGGACTCCTTAATGGGCCAGCGATAGATCTCCTTATCCTACAGAGAGAAAGCGAAATGGAGGTTGATCTTGACAACAACTTATCAAAACAAAGCAGACAGGCATGACGTTGCATCAAGGAGCCATCGGACCTTTTCAGAGAAAGTTTTATAAGGCCGCAGCATGGGGTGAGTTTTTGCGTTCTCATCTAGAACCTCTCCGTATGTCCAGTTGTTTTGGATCTGAAAGACGGATAGCAAAAGTTACAAGCTGCTCCCCAGTCCCACAATGCATTTGGCTTCCACAGATGAGCATAAGTCATGATGCTAACCTTCTCAAAAGCCCATTTATCATGAGTGTGCTCAGCATATTTGTTAATGAAGGCATCAAGTCTCTCGGGAATGATGGTGCTGCAAAAATGAGCCAAAAAACAAAAACAAAAGAAACATTATCGTTCTCTTGGTGTTGTTCATTTGAATAAGAAACAATGATTGCTTTGGTTTATGAGGTTAAATTGCAGGCATGTAATCACACATTTTATAATAATAAATTAATAAAATCAATAATAATAAAAAGTTTACACTTTCAGCTTAATGTCAAATTCCCTCACTTTTCCTAGAATGTGTAGAATTTTCATGACTTGAATGTGTCAAGGCTTCTAGTCTCATTTATTTTTATTCATTTTCAACAAAAAACAAAACAATTTATGCTGGTTGATAATGTGAACTGTATTGCTTTAATAATAATAATAATAATAATAATAATAATAATAATAATAATAATAATAATAACAACAACAACAACAATAATAATAATAATAATAATAACTTTAGAAAACTGCAGTAAAATATGAATACTATTATATAATGGAATTTACCTGATTAACACTTCAATTTAGAAAATATGTAAATAGACCAAAATGCAGAAAAGTCTAATAAATAACATTATAATGCACAGATATAATCACAAAGATACTCACAACCTGTCTCATAACCTTCAGAAAAATAATAACAGCACTTTAACTGCAGCTGATTATTTTCTCACTTGGTAGTTTCCACTGGTTTGGGGTCGAAGTTGCCCTCAGCATCAACAGACGCTTTCTTCTCAGTCATTGATGAATAACTTGCATCCACATAGTCTGGAGGAATGGCACCGGCGATGGCACAGATGCAGGGCATGGCGATCTTAAACAGCTCTGCATCAAATTTCTACACAGACAAGATGACAAATGCTGTAGATGCTAGTACACATTTCATTTAGAATTCATCTGCTAAAAGCTGTTTGCGTCTGTGAAACCTTGTGTGCGAGAGACTCAAATATGCCCCAGAAGAGTTTGCGTGAGAGATGCAACTCCTCTTCTGATGTGACTCCGAAGTTTGCCCATCCGTTCGGCAGGCAATAATACTTCCAGCAGCGCTCGTAGTGATTGGTCAACAGCTAAACAATATAGGAACAGATAAAGTAGGAGTTATAAAAATTGCACTAAATTTATACACAAATAAGATGACAAGTATTTTAGATGCTCGTAAACACTTCATTTAGAATTCATCTGCTGAAGAAGAAGAAGAAGAAAAAGAAGAAGAAGTAGAAGATGAAGATGAAGAAGATGTAGAAGTAGAAGTAAAATATGTAGAGGCAGAAAAAATGTAGAAGTAGATGTAGAAGTAGAAGATGTAGAAGAAGAAGTAGAAGTAGTAGCAGTTTAAGGTGGTTGGAGCTAAAATCTGCAGAGCAATGGCCCTCCAGGAATTGAGTTTTGAGACCACTGATGTAGAGGAAGAAGATAGTGTAGAAGTAGTAGAAAAAGAATATGTAGAAGTAGAGGTAGTAGAAAAAGAAAATGAAGAAGAAGAAGAAGAAGAAGAAGAAGAAGAAGAAGAAGAAGAAGAAGAAGAAGAAGAAGAAGAAGAAGACATAGAGGTAGGAGTAAAAGTAGAAAAATATCTAGAAGTAGAAGAAAAAGATGTAGAAAAAAGATAATGAAGAAGATGCAGACGTGGAAGTAGAGGTCAAAGTAATAGTAAAAGAAGAAGATATAGAAGTAGGAGAAGGAGAATAAGAAGATGTAGAAGAAGTAGAGGTAGAAGTAATTGTAGAAGAAGCTTTAGAAGTAGAAGGAGAAGGAGAAAAAGAAGATTTAGAAGAAGTAGAGGTAGAGGTAGAACAAGTAGAAGTAAAATAAAAAGTAGAAGAAGCAGAGGAAGAAGTAGTAGTAGTAGAGGACAATGTAAAGAAGTATAAGTAGATGAAGATGTAAAAGTAGAAGAAAAAGATGTAGAAGAGTTAGAAGATGTAGATGTGGAAGTAGAGGTAGAAGTAATAGTAAAAGAAGTAGACATAGAATGTAATGTGTATTTATATAGCACATTTTTTGTGTATGGCCATACACCCAAAGCACTTCACAATCATGAGAGGGGGTCTCTCCACACCACCACCAGTGTGCAGCATCCACTCGGATGATGCGACGGCTGCCACAGGACAATGGCGCCAGTGCGCTCACTACACACCAGCTATTGGTGGAGAGGAGAGACAGTAATAGAGCCAATTTGGTGGATGGGGATGATTGGGAGGCCATGATCGTAAGGGCCGATAGAGGGACTTTGGCCAGGACACCGGGGTTACACCCCTGCTCTTTCACGAGAAGTGCCATGGGATTTTTAATGTCCACAGAGAGTCAGGACCTCAGTTTAACGTCTCATCCGAAAGACGCGTATAAGGGTTAGATGTAGAAGAAGTAGAAGTGGAAGAAGCAGTAGAAATAGAACGGGAAGATGTAGAAGAAGTAGACGTAGAGGTAGCAGTAATAGTTGAAGAAGAATATGTTGAAGTAGAAGAAAAAGATGTAGAAGAAGATGATGATGATGATGAAGAAGAAGATGTAGAAGTGGAAGTAGATGTAGAAGTAAAAGTAGAAGAAGAAGAAGAAAAATATATTTGAATACCTTGAGGGGCATCTTGGCATACTCATTTAAGATTGGCACATCAAACACCAGCCTTCTCAACAGATGCTGCAACATAGATGGCCGCAGATACCTGAAATACACAAATAGTACTTCATTAGCTCCAGTATTGGAGTTTTGTACACTTCTGGTCAAAAGTATGGGCTTAATATGTTTTTATGTGTTTAAAGGAACACCACTTTTTTGAAAATAGGCTTATTATATTCAGAATAGATTTCTTTTAAAATAGTTTTGATATCTTACACTGCCTCCGAACTACAATACATACTACAGTACTACTTTTTAGTATGTGAAAATAGCATGCCAGAAGTACTGAGATGAACTGGTACTTCTGGTGTAATTCTGATGTGCGCATCCAATGAACGCGTTTACTTTAAGACACACATTTGTGAACTTTCTATCACCTCCCCTCGGATGAACAGCTGACACCATTTTAAAGTACATTCTACTTTATCAAGTGAGAGAGGCTAACATGGACATAACCTCGAAACCTTGATTTTGTGATCCCATACAGTATTAATGAGTGCTTTTTTGAGTATATACTTTAAACTGTAAAAACAGAAACAGTCTATAACATGTCTTCAATATTTATAAACTGATTGAATGTACATCAAATCCTACTATATCTTGAAATATATCGTTATAAGGATATGAGATGACTAATATGAGATTTTTGTCATATCGCTCACCCCTACAAGTAGTATGTGATTTCAAGCACAGTTCTACTAATCCCAGAACTTCTGACTGGTGGTGCATTTCTAAGCTTGACATCTATAGTAGCTGATGCCAGAGAGTGGATTACTGACTTGACAAGAGACATAAGGCAGTCCTCGATGACGTCCCTCTGGGCTTTGGTAAGGGCACGGCCTCGGGACAGCCTGTAGATGGTGTGCAGCATAGAGTCGATCATGATGGCGCGATGATCAGTGCCAGCGAACAGTGGGGCACATTTAGTGAGCAGAGGCAGAACGGCAGAACACAAGTAACGGTTCAGAGCCAGAGCCATTTCTGTGGTGCTGAACGCCACCTGGAGGAGCAGATCATTCCAGAGCAGTTTAGATTACGAAATGGTAAAGTTAGTATCAGTGTTGGGTAAGTTAATTCAAAAAAGTTATAAATGACTAATTACATAATTGAAATTAATTCTCACCGCCAACATATGTAGCACTATGAAAGTTCTTTCACAATTCACTTACACTTTAAATATACATGAAAATGTCAGGAGTGATGATTTTGATTGTGTCATTTTCAAAAAGTGTTTGAAGAAATTAAAATGGTAACACTTTATTTTGATGGTCCATTTGAGTATTAATAGACTCTTCTTAATATCTGTTGATACTGCTCCTTCAACAGATATTTAAGAACAGACATATAAGAAGCTTTGCAACTACTTGTCAACTTACATTAACCCTAACCTCAACCCAACCTAACAGTCTACTTATAATCTAATAAGACTTAGTTGGCATGTTAATGCAATGTAACTTAAATTCAACAAATGCACAATCAAAATAAAGTGTGACCCTTAAAATTTGTTGACTGGTGATATTCAAATGGGGCTTCTAAAATAATAATAATGTGCATTATTTGTCAGTTCTTGTAAAAGATTTGTCATTTTGTTTTTGACAGCAGCACATTAAAATTCGTCACCTTAGTATTATATGGTTCTATTTGACATTTTTGTCAAAATTGAGTTATTGACATATTCTAACATATTTACATTATGGGATTTTTTTAATAAGTTGTTTACATTAAGACTTTTTATAAAAAAAAAAAAATGTTACACACATACTGTTTGCTATGGAATGCAAAAAATTTAAAGGTCACTATCTCAAAATCATTCAGAACGCAGATAGAACCTTATAATTATTACAAGGTGACAAATTGTTGCAACAACACCAACTAATTTAGTTTCAAATTTAATTTAAGCTCTTTTAATGACCTGTGCTTGTTTTAAAATACTTTGCAGGTCTTGAATGCATTTGTCTGAAATTGAAATACTTTCAAGAAGTGTGGGAACCCTGTAATTACTTAGAAAAGTAAATTAATTATTCAATAAGGAATGTAATTACTTGACCCTATGCAACTGAAATTTATGTAAATCTCAAAAAGATAAATTAAATTGAAATCAAATGAATAGCTTAATTTATTATTAAGTTTTATTTTTTTTAAATTGTACCATTTCAAATGTACAAGAGTTTTGTTATTAATTTCTTTCTTAAGCATATGCAATATATTTTTAAGCATATGCAATAGTCTTGATGAATGAAATATGAAAAAAAATAAACAATTTGCATATATAACAAAACAAAATTACTTTTCTGCTGTGAATTGATTTATACAGAACTGTTGAATTTATTTAAAGTATTTTAGGCAAGTACATTTTAACCAATAAATGAAAAATAATCCCTTACTTTACTTTTTCTGAGGAAAAAGTCATTTAATTACAGTAACTGGTTACTTCATAGCTAATTACACCAAAAACTGACTAGTATAATGAAAAATCAGAAATATATGATTGAGTTTACCGTATCCAGAGAGGCTGAAGCTCTCATATCAGGCAGGAAACCCACTTCTAGCACATGTAACAGGAAGTCCTGGTTATCGATGCCGTACACTCTGTCCAGGAAAAGAACCATGGAGGCTTTGTGGTCTGGCACGAAACTCGCTGACATTTTTGGCTCAACGATCTGACCATCTATGAAATGTAGCGAAATATAAAAAGAGTTTACAGTGGCCTGTTTTCACAGTGTAAAAAGTAAAACAGATTATAAGAACCACTGCAGTTTGCATATCATGCTACAAAAGGCATAGAAGATGCAAAACTTTAGCACTTCATTTTTAAAGTAATCATAACAAAGTTCTATATATTGTGATTTTTTTTTACCATAAAGGACACAAATGGTTAGGACAAATGAGGTTTTACTAAACATACAGTAATTTTTGTTTCTACAGGCTCCGTTATATAAATCTATAATTAATTGTCAGAGTTCACATGACAATATCCATGCTACTGTGTAGGCTTTAATACCTGGAGGAGGCTGTTAGTCGGCAGGGGCTGTAGCGCTAGACTTTTGACTGTTTAACTTACTGAGGGATATTGAACAGAAATTATTCTGTACTCACATTTACATTTTATTACAGTTTGAGAACGTGCTGTAGTTCTCAGGTAAAAGTTCACCTCAGTTTGCTGACTACATCTTACAATGAGAGTTTGAGTAAGCGATTGCCTCAATCTCATGAGCAGAGTCTATCTCAGACTTTGCATATCTGTAATTTTTGTTAGAATCTATCCCTCGTTTTACTTGTTCATTACCCACTGATCTTTAAATAAGACAAATTTACACTATACTAACACTTTCTTTCTTAATTTATACAAACCCAGAGAAATTATTGTAGACCCCTAATTAACAAACAAATTAACCGCTAATTATTTTCCTTTGTTTATGTGATCTGAGATAACTGTATGTGAATAAATGGTTATTACATGGTAAGTTAACTTAGTTTATTCTAAAACTATTTAATAAATCTCACTACATGACTGACAGTATTTATTTTTATAATCTGCACAAATATTTCCACATCTTGTGGTTTCTCATGTACCTTTGCCAAAGGTGGGGATTTGAACAGGAAGACTGATGACTCCAACCAAGTCTTCAATGGGCACAAGAGATCGCAAGATGGCTCGGATTCTCAAAGCTTCGCCTTTACCTGCTTGGATCAACTGTGAACATTTGAAAATAGGTCAATTTGAATGCCATTGTTTATGTCAGACCGATTTTCTTTGTTTTAAAAAATAATATTAAGCAATTAATTAATTTTATCCTGCAATTATGACATTATCAGATTGTAAGTTACAATAAACACTAGTATTATTTATTTAAGCAAACTTATTATTATTATATATCTTGTCTGAAGCCAGGAATAATAAAACAATCATTCAAATAAATATATTAACGACATATTTTAATAGTATTTAAATATTGTATTTAGTTTTTCATACTATAACAAAATTCACAATAGTATTTCTTGACTGAATCTTTTTGATCAAATAAATGCATACTTGCTGAGAATGATTTTTTAAATGCTAATCTGTATATGCAATCCCTTTGTCATAGTCTAAAAGGCCATATTATTCAATCTTTTATACTTACATGCATCTCAGGAGCACAGCGACCCAGCAAGTCAATAAGGGCAGAATAAAATGACATAATAGCATTTCCAAGATGTAATCTATTCTCTTCGTGCTGATCCTCCCCTCCAAACCTGTAAACCAATCATAGAGGTCACATTTTTACAAGATGTAAAATAAGCATCTGATGTTCCCTTGAGTGTCCATATGAAGTTTTAACTCAAAATATCCCACAAATAATGTTTTATAACTCTTTGAATGTGCCCCTTTTAGGTTTTGATCCTAATAGGTGACAGTTTTTACATATTCAAAAGGGATTGTGCTCCAAGGCACTCTTTTCAAAAGACGGCGGAGCTAAAAAATGCCTATGTGTCAGCATAGTTACAGATTCAAAAACAATACTAACATCCTATTCTAATGAGGGAGCGGTCACTAGTGGACGGGCTCTCATGACATGTACAAAGGGAGCATGTCAATCTAAATGTTTCTGCTGACTGTTTTAATGAAGTGTGATTTACACACTGTGTTTAAACCTCTTATAAAAGTGTTTTTTCCAAGTAGGCCCCCTTTAAATGAAAAGCAAAATCCTCCAAACATTTATTGTAAGGTCTTACATGAAGCGTCTGTCTTTTTTAGGAGTTGGCCCATCTCTGGCAGGGTCTTCAGAGATCTTAATGGCCTCCTCAATGGCTGCTAACAGACCAGCACCACCCTCTCCTCTCAGGGCAGGGCCAAAGCACTCAGGACGACGAATCAACAGACGAACAACCACATTAGCATTCTCCTCTACGCTCTCACCTGCAGAAAAGACAAAAGTGCAAAAGGTACTTCATTAATTAAATTCATTTTAAGACAACTTTTGCAGAATTGCTGAGTACACAACTATTGATCTACAAAATGAATCATGAGATATAAGAGCAAATGAAATTAAGTGTGAGGTTACATCTTTACAATGTGTGTTCCCGTTAACCGTGGTTAGTGTTTATGGCCCGTTTCCACTGAGTGGTACAGTATGGTACAGTTCGGTTTGGTTCACTTTTATGGCCGTTTCCATTGTCAAAAGGCGTACCGAACCAAACCGTACTGTACAACTTTTTTGGCACCCTTACGAAAGGGTCGCAAACACAAGAAAGGGTATTAAAAGGCGGAGCTAGACACGCAGGTGAACGCTATTGGTTTACAGAGATACGTCATTTGCTTAGGCAACTAGCCAGAATGTAAACAAAGGACCTGCCATGTTTGAAATAAGAGATAACTTGCCCTCGCCGGGTCTATATCTGAAATAACAAACTTCTTGAGCTGATAATTATAACGTGCGCTTGATTATCGACAAGCTTGTGAATAAATGGTTATTACATGGTAAGTTAACTTAGTTTATTCTAAAACTATTTAATAAATCTCACTACATGACTGACAGTATTTATTTTTATAATCTGCACAAATATTTCCACATCTTGTGGTTTCTCATGTACCTTTGCCAAAGGTGGGGATTTGAACAGGAAGACTGATGACTCCAACCAAGTCTTCAATGGGCACAAGAGATCGCAAGATGGCTCGGATTCTCAAAGCTTCGCCTTTACCTGCTTGGATCAACTGTGAACATTTGAAAATAGGTCAATTTGAATGCCATTGTTTATGTCAGACCGATTTTCTTTGTTTTAAAAAATAATATTAAGCAATTAATTAATTTTATCCTGCAATTATGACATTATCAGATTGTAAGTTACAATAAACACTAGTATTATTTATTTAAGCAAACTTATTATTATTATATATCTTGTCTGAAGCCAGGAATAATAAAACAATCATTCAAATAAATATATTAACGACATATTTTAATAGTATTTAAATATTGTATTTAGTTTTTCATACTATAACAAAATTCACAATAGTATTTCTTGACTGAATCTTTTTGATCAAATAAATGCATACTTGCTGAGAATGATTTTTTAAATGCTAATCTGTATATGCAATCCCTTTGTCATAGTCTAAAAGGCCATATTATTCAATCTTTTATACTTACATGCATCTCAGGAGCACAGCGACCCAGCAAGTCAATAAGGGCAGAATAAAATGACATAATAGCATTTCCAAGATGTAATCTATTCTCTTCGTGCTGATCCTCCCCTCCAAACCTGTAAACCAATCATAGAGGTCACATTTTTACAAGATGTAAAATAAGCATCTGATGTTCCCTTGAGTGTCCATATGAAGTTTTAACTCAAAATATCCCACAAATAATGTTTTATAACTCTTTGAATGTGCCCCTTTTAGGTTTTGATCCTAATAGGTGACAGTTTTTACATATTCAAAAGGGATTGTGCTCCAAGGCACTCTTTTCAAAAGACGGCGGAGCTAAAAAATGCCTATGTGTCAGCATAGTTACAGATTCAAAAACAATACTAACATCCTATTCTAATGAGGGAGCGGTCACTAGTGGACGGGCTCTCATGACATGTACAAAGGGAGCATGTCAATCTAAATGTTTCTGCTGACTGTTTTAATGAAGTGTGATTTACACACTGTGTTTAAACCTCTTATAAAAGTGTTTTTTCCAAGTAGGCCCCCTTTAAATGAAAAGCAAAATCCTCCAAACATTTATTGTAAGGTCTTACATGAAGCGTCTGTCTTTTTTAGGAGTTGGCCCATCTCTGGCAGGGTCTTCAGAGATCTTAATGGCCTCCTCAATGGCTGCTAACAGACCAGCACCACCCTCTCCTCTCAGGGCAGGGCCAAAGCACTCAGGACGACGAATCAACAGACGAACAACCACATTAGCATTCTCCTCTACGCTCTCACCTGCAGAAAAGACAAAAGTGCAAAAGGTACTTCATTAATTAAATTCATTTTAAGACAACTTTTGCAGAATTGCTGAGTACACAACTATTGATCTACAAAATGAATCATGAGATATAAGAGCAAATGAAATTAAGTGTGAGGTTACATCTTTACAATGTGTGTTCCCGTTAACCGTGGTTAGTGTTTATGGCCCGTTTCCACTGAGTGGTACAGTATGGTACAGTTCGGTTTGGTTCACTTTTATGGCCGTTTCCATTGTCAAAAGGCGTACCGAACCAAACCGTACTGTACAACTTTTTTGGCACCCTTACGAAAGGGTCGCAAACACAAGAAAGGGTATTAAAAGGCGGAGCTAGACACGCAGGTGAACGCTATTGGTTTACAGAGATACGTCATTTGCTTAGGCAACTAGCCAGAATGTAAACAAAGGACCTGCCATGTTTGAAATAAGAGATAACTTGCCCTCGCCGGGTCTATATCTGAAATAACAAACTTCTTGAGCTGATAATTATAACGTGCGCTTGATTATCGACAAGCTTTTGAATAAATGGTTATTACATGGTAAGTTAACTTAGTTTATTCTAAAACTATTTAATAAATCTCACTACATGACTGACAGTATTTATTTTTATAATCTGCACAAATATTTCCACATCTTGTGGTTTCTCATGTACCTTTGCCAAAGGTGGGGATTTGAACAGGAAGACTGATGACTCCAACCAAGTCTTCAATGGGCACAAGAGATCGCAAGATGGCTCGGATTCTCAAAGCTTCGCCTTTACCTGCTTGGATCAACTGTGAACATTTGAAAATAGGTCAATTTGAATGCCATTGTTTATGTCAGACCGATTTTCTTTGTTTTAAAAAATAATATTAAGCAATTAATTAATTTTATCCTGCAATTATGACATTATCAGATTGTAAGTTACAATAAACACTAGTATTATTTATTTAAGCAAACTTATTATTATTATATATCTTGTCTGAAGCCAGGAATAATAAAACAATCATTCAAATAAATATATTAACGACATATTTTAATAGTATTTAAATATTGTATTTAGTTTTTCATACTATAACAAAATTCACAATAGTATTTCTTGACTGAATCTTTTTGATCAAATAAATGCATACTTGCTGAGAATGATTTTTTAAATGCTAATCTGTATATGCAATCCCTTTGTCATAGTCTAAAAGGCCATATTATTCAATCTTTTATACTTACATGCATCTCAGGAGCACAGCGACCCAGCAAGTCAATAAGGGCAGAATAAAATGACATAATAGCATTTCCAAGATGTAATCTATTCTCTTCGTGCTGATCCTCCCCTCCAAACCTGTAAACCAATCATAGAGGTCACATTTTTACAAGATGTAAAATAAGCATCTGATGTTCCCTTGAGTGTCCATATGAAGTTTTAACTCAAAATATCCCACAAATAATGTTTTATAACTCTTTGAATGTGCCCCTTTTAGGTTTTGATCCTAATAGGTGACAGTTTTTACATATTCAAAAGGGATTGTGCTCCAAGGCACTCTTTTCAAAAGACGGCGGAGCTAAAAAATGCCTATGTGTCAGCATAGTTACAGATTCAAAAACAATACTAACATCCTATTCTAATGAGGGAGCGGTCACTAGTGGACGGGCTCTCATGACATGTACAAAGGGAGCATGTCAATCTAAATGTTTCTGCTGACTGTTTTAATGAAGTGTGATTTACACACTGTGTTTAAACCTCTTATAAAAGTGTTTTTTCCAAGTAGGCCCCCTTTAAATGAAAAGCAAAATCCTCCAAACATTTATTGTAAGGTCTTACATGAAGCGTCTGTCTTTTTTAGGAGTTGGCCCATCTCTGGCAGGGTCTTCAGAGATCTTAATGGCCTCCTCAATGGCTGCTAACAGACCAGCACCACCCTCTCCTCTCAGGGCAGGGCCAAAGCACTCAGGACGACGAATCAACAGACGAACAACCACATTAGCATTCTCCTCTACGCTCTCACCTGCAGAAAAGACAAAAGTGCAAAAGGTACTTCATTAATTAAATTCATTTTAAGACAACTTTTGCAGAATTGCTGAGTACACAACTATTGATCTACAAAATGAATCATGAGATATAAGAGCAAATGAAATTAAGTGTGAGGTTACATCTTTACAATGTGTGTTCCCGTTAACCGTGGTTAGTGTTTATGGCCCGTTTCCACTGAGTGGTACAGTATGGTACAGTTCGGTTTGGTTCACTTTTATGGCCGTTTCCATTGTCAAAAGGCGTACCGAACCAAACCGTACTGTACAACTTTTTTGGCACCCTTACGAAAGGGTCGCAAACACAAGAAAGGGTATTAAAAGGCGGAGCTAGACACGCAGGTGAACGCTATTGGTTTACAGAGATACGTCATTTGCTTAGGCAACTAGCCAGAATGTAAACAAAGGACCTGCCATGTTTGAAATAAGAGATAACTTGCCCTCGCCGGGTCTATATCTGAAATAACAAACTTCTTGAGCTGATAATTATAACGTGCGCTTGATTATCGACAAGCTTTGGGAACCCGATCCTGTGAGAAGCTGACAAATGCGAGAATGACACATTCAGAAAGAAAAGGACAAACGCGAGAGTGGAGCGTGGAAAAAAGGGGAAGCCAAGGAGCACATTATTTCTTCAGCAAATTTGAACAAACTGCCTTGTTTTAATTTTCATCATCCCCTTTTAGACAGAGGCTACATGTGCTGCTGAAGATTACAGACACAGATAAGAGGTTTTCACTGACTGTAGGCTATACTTTGTGTTGTTCAGAACCTAATTAAGGACAAAATGTATGCTGTGTGTACTTTTTCTATAGTTATCGGGGACTGTAAGGGTCTATATGTGTTCATATATGTTCATTTATTTATTTATTTTAAATAATTACAGACGTTAAAGTAGGCTATTTCGCACTGTCATTGATCTGCAGTTATAATCAACTCATGATCATAGAAAAGTTAGTAATAAACATTTATACTGAAGTATTTATGTGTGTAAAGCGTCTGATTTGTAAGAAGTGCTTTTCATATGATAAGTAAATGACCTGTACGGCTTTACTGTAGACATTTTCTCGAGCGAAAATTACATCGACTGAAACTTTGTCATACACTACGCCCACCAAAAGGGTACCCTTGCTAGTGGAAACGCAAGCCTAAAGGTGACCCGTACCGACCCGAACCGTACCGTACTGTACCAGTCAGTGGAAACATGCAATCATGAACTTACCTGCACAGTGTTAGCTCAGTGCCACCTAGTGGTGGGTAGGTATGAAACAATTACCACTTTTTCTTATAGCTTTTAAACAGTTTGGGAAAAAATATTTAGATTTGAAGGAGCATGTCACATTAATATGCTAACACCTACTGTTCAAAAGTGATAAAGCATGTAAGTGCAGTTGTAGTATTTTTTCACATCTCTCGACCACTAGGTGGCACTAACTGTGGAAGTAAACTCATGATTGTCATAACACAAACCAGGTTGATATGAACACACATTGGAGAGATTTAGCATCTCACTTGATTTGATATGCTCGTATAATCGACTTACATGTTATTTGAGATAGGACTTGACTATTGCATGCGTATTTTGTCAGTAAAGCTGGCTCTGCAATCAGCAGTAAATTTCCAGCACCTGCTTCATGGAAAATATTGGTTCACTGACAAGCTATGCAAATGTAATGTGAATGATTCAATTGGTTTTTGTCTGAAATCAAAGATCAGCTTTGTGTCGCTTCTCAGTGAACTATGGCTTTGTGTTGCTGCATCTGAAATAGTGGGAGATTTACTATTGATCAGAGAGCCGTGTTTTCCTGACAAGATGTGCATAAAAATTGCAGCTTTTGCTGATTCGCAACCTTGATTTACTTTTGATTAATCGTACAGCCCTAACTTGAGAACAGTTTTACTAAATAACTTCAACAGTTTGACTAATTAATTGTCAACTGAATCGTCATGAGGATTTAGAGGATGATTTATTTGTAATCTATTTACAGTTTAATATTTAGAAAGTTAGAACATTTGAGAAAAATCTGCAATATCAGTGCAGTGCAGGTAATGTGTAGACTGTCCTCTATAACTGAAAAATTTTCCAAGGGATGCCATAGATTTACTAGTAGAAGAATAACATTGTTGAATGCAAAGATATATTCATATTTTTGCTACTTGCACCAAGGATCTAGAAACAAAATGCTCTAAATGTGCTAACCATTTACAAACACAGCGAAGCGCAGGAAGTCCAGATATCTCTCTCCTCCACCTGGATTCCACCCTATGTCAGGATAGCCTTTAGACAGAAGCATGGGGCACATTCGAAGGCCACACCCAGCCAGATAAGTCACCACCTGACAGCACAGAGAATCATTATAATTATGTGGTGCTACAAAATAAATTTTTATTTATTCTGCAAACAAGACAAATGTATTTTAATAATACCATTTCAAGGTCTTGCTCTTGCAGGGCCAGTGCCAGCTCATTGTTGTCAATGCAGGATGCAGCAGCAACATCCAGAGGAGTAGATCCACGCATTCCTATAGGGCAACAATAATATTTTTCAATCCATTTTGATTTAATAATATTTATGTTTTTCGATTTCTTTTTAGAAAGTAGATGTATTACATTTCCTTTTAGAGGACAAATAAATGATCTGTTTAGCTAAATGTGCAGTATCCAAAATTATAAATGTGACCCTGGACCACCAAAATATCTGTCTTACATTGCTCGTGTTTATATTTTTGACAAAAGCCAAACATTCATTAAATGGGTCTAAGTGATAGATTATTCTTTCAAGACAAAATACAATAAGTCATTCATTCATTTTCTTTTCGGCTTAGTCCCTTTATTAATAAGGGGTTACCACAGTGGAATGAACCGCCAACTTTATATGTAAAGTGTATTAAATAAAGAACATATTCCATGAGTATATTTTGTACATTTTTAACTGTAAATATACCAAACCTACTTAGTAGTAGTAATGCACACAGCTATTCACTTTATTTACACAATTTAACAGGCAATTTTCTCAGATTTTAACTTTATTTTGAACCCTAATTATTTAAATAGTTGCATCTCAGCCAAATATTATTGTATGCGAACAAAGTGCACATCAACGAAAAGCCTATTTATTCAGCTTTCAGGTGATGTAGAAATAGTAATTTCCAAAAAAATGACACTTATGATTGGTTTTATGGTCCAGGGTCACTGAAATTGTCTCACGCAGGCTGCCAGATTGACAAAACTAACAGGAACAAACAGGTAACACCTGGGCTTTCAGATAATTCTCTCTCTCCAATATGCAATAGATTTTTACTACACTTCTGGTCATAAAGCTTTGGCAGATTGATAATTTACCCCTCCCCTCTTTTGCACATATCAGACCAATGGATTCCAAAACAACCCAGACTCAGTTGTTAATTAAAAAAAATTTAAAATTAGAGTGTAGAATCACAATCTTAGACTGGCAAATCAGACTGTGTGAATGCTTTTGGGCAAACTGGCAGTGGGTGAGATCATAATGGATTTCATAACTGGTTGTAGTATTGTTTTTTTTTTTTTTTTTAACTTAGCATGTATCTATCTATCAACATATTATAGCATTTTATGCTTTATCGAAAACAATTAAATAAATAAAATAAACTAACAGCAGTCTTTGTCTCGATCACCAGCGATCTAACCACCATAGATTGCTGTAAAACATTCACACTCACACAAGCTACAATCCTGCCTCATAGTAGACTACAATTCCTGTCATGCTACACACACACCTGCTCCAAGTCTCCATTGATTATGGACTGATTACACACACATATTTATGGCTCACTTTGAGACACTGGCTGTTTCTCAATTCCAAGAACGCAGAGAACGGACTTGTGTTCTTGTGGAGACCGGTCTTGCCAGGTGTCCTCGGAAGAACGAACTCAGGAGACCACGAGGGCAGAGAACGCGTCCTTTGAGAAATGGGATGCTGCGTTCTTCCTGATGGTCACATGACCTTCACGCGTTTTAAATGGAAATTATTTAAACATTACAGCACTCATACAACGATTTATTGTTGTCCCCCTCTTCAAAATATATACTTTGCATAAAAACATTATAAATATACTCTGCAAAATATAAATAAAACCAATTTTAATACGATTTTCACCAAACAAACACCTTTAATGTGTTTATTCCTTTTTTAAGATATTCATGGTAATGTTTACTTTCACCGTTTCATTAAGGGAAACTCCTGAGGTAAATAAGTGATATCTCTGAACTTTAATAATAAATCTAGATAAAATGCAGCGCTTCCCACCTCCAGTCGCAATGACTTCTGGGACTTCCAGAGCGAGTTCGGTGCTCAAGTCTGCATCAGTGCGTTCTCGATATCAAGAACACATCCGGGAAGTTTCACGCGTCCTCCGTACTTGCGGTCTTGAGTATTGGAACTGAACTTAGGCAGCTGATGATGACGTTGCACGAGAACACGAGGACGCAAGACCGCTGAAGAACGCATATTGAGAAACAGCCACTGATTGCTGAGTCTTGTTATCTGTTCTAGTGACACTACAACGAGTTTACCTTTGTCTTGCTTTGCTGTGTTTTTGACCCTGACCCCACCTTGTTTGTTTTCAGTTGTCCATCTGCCTGTTATTTTGACAAGGACGCTGGAGTGCCCTTATACATCTGTTTGCTCCTGTGTTGATCATTACTTCTCTGACCATCCATTTAATAAACCTGCATTTGAACCCTCAATATCCGTTGTCAGCGCCACTTCCCCGTTACAGAATTTAAAACATTTTATAAGAAGAGTTTTTATAGATTTACCTAAGCATTTAAAACAGCAATCAACATAACTGCAGCAAGCACCTCTAATAAACAACTTTAGAATATATTGCTATATGATGCTGTAGATGCATGTCTTGGTATAAATAACCCTGATAAAAAACATGGCATCAGTACGTCAGTTCTATAAAGCCACCAACCCAGTCCAATGCCACTGTTCTGCAGCAAGTAAGAGAGGTGGTCAAACATGGAGCGCTGGTTCTGGCGGCTGATTCTGCAGAAGTAGCACAGGAAGCGACAGCAGTTGGTCACCATTTGTGGAAATCGAATTTCCTGCAGACAGAAATTATATATATTTATTTATTCATTTTTTCATCACTTTCAATAGCAGATTGAGATCCGTGTCCTGGAATAATAGTTTTTAAGTGTTCAGTATAGAAACAGGACTGCACCTTTGAATCTCCTCCACCTCCCAGCACGTTGACCATCACCTCCATGACTGTCTCATGCATGCCCAGCGCTCGCATCAGGTTAGGGTGCTGGTAGAACACTTTGTTGTTCATGATGTTCCTACAAGACAGTAGATGTAAACACTTGATACATAAGATATAATGTTCGTAGACAAAAAAAAATAAAAAATGGAAATACATATTTGGTATCAACTGGACTTTAAAAAAGTACTTTTATTGAGCAAAGATGCAAAGAATTAATCAAAGAAATTACAAAACTGTCCCAGAACTAATTGAGGTAAACAGTGCTGGGCATTGATTTAGATGTCCTGAATGAATAAATTCTGATTTATAAAGTATCATATTGATCTGATTCAATAATGAATTTGATTCTCAATTATTGTTTTCATTTAATTAATTTAGACTGATTACAAAAATTCTATTAGTATTTCTAAAAATGAACAGCAAATAGACTTTATTTCAGGTAAGTATGGATATTAAAAGAAAAAAACAATTCTATATTATACATTTATACAATATTAAAACTAATACAATTTATAAGAAAGCTGTCTGGAATACTCAGTTCTGATTGGTGAGTTGCAACATTTTAAGGTATGTTATTCCTGAGATAACAACCGCTAAATAACAGGCTCATCTGGAAACTTTGAAATGTCGTGACTGTTTTTGACTCTTTGGCGCCACCCTGTGACTGAATAATGCAGGTTAGTGTATACTAAATTAGCTGTTTTTGTTTCTGTCAGCTTTAAGTTGAATTAAATAATTAATAAACTATTAATACTATATTTTCGTCTTGGTTACGTGCATTTTAACTTTTTAAATGAAGTAAACATTAAATATGTGAGGACATTTCATGCACTTTATCTACTATATCCATCAGCAGTCATTTAAGACACCCACCCAATGCTCTGGATCATGAGTCTTTCCTCTTCCGGACCCATCTGGACAATAAGCAGAGATCGAATCTGCCCCAGGCACTCCAGCATTTCCATCGTGTCTTGTACAGACACGGCACTGATGGCGTAAGCCTTGGGCAGTGCACGAATCAGCTCTCCAAGAGCATCATACTGCCGGTGGAGAAGACTGAACATGAGTCGCACCAGCTCTGGATTCTGAATAAAGGCCTCTTGAGCCCAGTGGATCATTGTGTGGGATATCAACTCCTGTAAAGTACCTGATGGAAAGAATGTTCCCAAACTGTAACACTAAATATACCAACTGCACAATTTTGACCTGCATGAAAGCAAAAATATCGATCCAGAGATAACCCTTAATGTTGAATCACTACAGTGGATTCCATGCATCAACAGAATATACATTTACTAAACAGAACGTATTGTTTAGTCTTACAAAGGACAATTTAAATGAACACACAAAAGAACATTAAATAATAACAATCATGTATGGCTGGAAACTCATTTTAAAAATTAATAAAGTATGCACCATGATCCAGCGTTGTTTGATTTAGCATTTATTTCTGAGATACTTCCCTTTCATTAACTTGCATTCCCTTATCCCTTCCCCACATTTTACAAGTATGATGCAATACTTCCAAACAAAAAAGAGATACACAGACAACAATTAAATGAAATTATAGAAAACTCTTTGGGAGTTCGGCACTAAATGGTTCAAAATGGTTTCTAAATATCTGTCCACTGTAATCGATGTCATACATAAAAGGGTTAAGTAAGGCACAAAACTAAGTGAATCTGAACAACGTATTCGAGATGTTTTACTATATACAGTGTACTCACTTGGTTTGGGTTCTTCCTCTGGCTCTGGTTCCTCTTCTTCCTTTTTCTGCTTAAGGCTTTTGACCTTGTCCACCAAAGTGAGCAGTCTGCCTCTCAGAGATGTGTCCACCTCTTCCTCCTCCACTTCTTCCTCAATGTGGACGCCTGAGGTACAAAAAGATACAATGGATAAGAACCACAATTTTGCACAGACACAAATATATGGATATAACGACCATCTATGAAAACTGGAAACTTGCAATCTTAGACAGCTAACAATCATTTTGGGAAAAGCACCCCAGGTTGATTAATTCAGGATTCATCTGCGCAGCTCAGTTCAGTTTTTGCAGTCAGTGACTTGTGCAACAAACTAAGGCACGCCAATATTGGAGAATAAGACAAAAATGTATATTTGGAGAAATGTATATTTTGATCAACAAGACAAAAACAATTAATTAATGTTGAAAACAGCAGAAAATTGTAAACAATCAAAAGTATGTATCCCAAATCATTTTCTAGTTTAAATTGATTTTACAGTTGAAACCAGAGGTTTACATACACTCTAAAAAAAGGAACATAACCATTAAAAACAAATGTCTGATGGTAAATCATACTCAACGTTTACTATTTTAGGTCTGTTAGGATTACCTAAATCAGTGGTGTCCAAACTTGGTCCTGGAGGGCAGGTGTCCTGCATATTTTAGTTCCAACCCCAACTAAACACGCCTGAACCAGATAATCAAGCTCTTTCAAGGTGTACTAGACTTCTAGGGAGATGTGTTGGAGGAAGTTAGAGCTAAACATTGCAGGACACCGGCCCTCCAGGATCGAGTTTGGACACCCCTGACCTAAATGATTTACATTTGCTAAATGCCAGAATAATGAGATCATTTTATTTTTTGAGATTTTTTTTTTTAATTAATTTCTAGACAGTCAAAAGTTTACATACATTTCTTTGGATTTTTTTAGCTTTCCTTTTAAACTGTATAACTTTGGTCAAATGTTTTGTGCATCCTTCCACAAGCTTCTCGCAATAGTTTGAAAAAGATTTGTTCCATTCATCCTGACAGAATTGGTGTAACTGAGTCAGATTTGTTGGCTGTCTTGCTCGCACAAGCTTTTCCAACTCTGCCCACAAATTTTCTATAGAATTGAGATCAGGGCTTTGTGATGGCCACTCCAAAACATTTATTCTGTTGTCCTTAAAGCTCATTTTAACTAATCTGGCAGTATGCTTAGGGTCATGGTCTGTTTGGAAGACCCATTTGTGGCTAAGTCTTGAGATTTTGCTTCAGTATTTCTACAAAATGTTCTTTCTTCATGATGCTATCTAAGCTGTGAAGTGGACCAGTCCCTCCTGCAGCAAAACAGCCCCACAACATGGTGCTGCCACCCCCATACTTCACAATTGGAATGGTGTTCCTAGGCGTGTAAGCTTTCCCCTTTTGTCCTCCAAATGTAACACTGGTCATTATGGCCAAACAGTTCAATCTTAGTTGCATCAGACCACAGGACATGTCTCCAAAAATTATTCTTTTTCCCAGTGAAGTTTGGCAAATTGTAATCTAGCTTTTTTGTTGATTCTGGCTTGTTTGTTTTCCCACGTTGTCAGTAAAGGAAGCAGTGTGTTTTAGGTTTTCCTTAAATACTATTCTACAGTTGTGCCTCCAATTAACTCAAATGTTGTCAATTAGCAAATCAGAAACTTCCAAAACCTTGACACCATCATCTGAGCTTTTTGAGAGGCATAATAGTCTTATTGTTTGTAAACTTGACTTTCAAGAAAAATCACAATTTCTCAAGAAAAATACCTCTCTCATTATTCTACTGTTAAGCATAACAAAAGCAAATTTGATAATCCTAACTTACCTAAAAAGAAAAAGTTTAGGTACATTAACATCTGACTTTTTTAAATGGTTATGTGCCTTTTTATATATTCATTCATTCATTCATTTTCTTGTCGGCTTAGTCCCTTTATTAGTCGCCACAGCAGAACTTTTCCAGCAAGTTTTTACGCAGTGGATGCCTTTCCAGCCGCAACCCATCTCTGGGAAACATCTACACACACACACACACTACAGACAATCTAGCCTACCCAATTCACCTGTACCGCATGTCTTTGGACTGTGGGGGAAACCAGAGCACCCGGAGGAAACCCACGCAAATGCAGGGAGAACATGGAAACTCCACACAGAAACACCAACTGAGCCGAGGCTCGAACCAGCAACCCAGTGACCTTCTTTCTGTGAGGTGACAGCACTACCTACTGCGCCCCGCCTTTTTATGTAGTGTATGTAAACTTCTGGTTTCAACTGTATGTCATGAAGTGACTAGATGAAGTCTAAGTTGAACAAGTAGTTTTAAGAATTTAATTTCTACATAAGAAAAGTATCAAAGCAACTGAGGAAAACTGTCAACACTGACCACAGTGATTCAGGAGGTCATTGTGGAAATTGTTGTGGGTTTCTCGCACTTCATCTGGGACAGGGCAATCTTCTTCTTCTGGGTTGTGCTTGAAGTTAGTCAACAGGAAAATCTACAAGCACGAACAAAAACAGCAATCAGTCTCTCTAAAAAAAAATCTGTTAAAATTCTGAGGCGATGTAGTAGAAGTCAGAATTATTAATTTTCAAGACACTTCTATATAGTTTAAAGTGACATTTCAAGACTAAACTAGGTTAATTAGGTTAACTAGGCAGGATAGAGTAATTAGGCAAATTATTGTATTACAATGGTTTGTTCGGTAGACTATCGAGAGAAAAAAATTAGCTTAAAGACGCTAATAATTTTGTCCCTAAAATGGTTTTTAAAAAATTAAAAACTGCTTTTATCCTATCCGTATTAAGGCAAATAAGACTTTCTCCAGAAGAAAAATATTATCAGACATACTGTGAAAATTTCCTTGATCTGTTAAATATTATTTGGAAAAAAATTTTAAAAAAGAAAAAAAAATCAAATGGTGGCTAATAATTCTGACTTCAACTGTATATAAATAGGTGTGTGTTATACTTGTTCTTGTGGAGGAGAGCGAAACTCTCGGGTCCTGCGAGCTGTTTCTGCAGCAGACATAGTAAACGCTCTCATTAGCTCATTATAACGCTCACGCTGGTTTGACTGGATCTGCCCTACAAAATTATCAGAGTATGCCATTATGGCTTCAACTCTGTGTCTGAGCTCACAGTCGCAGAAATACTGTAGAAGAGTACACATCTGAAAGAGAGGGAGAGATAGAGAGGCATCTTAAAAACAGGAAAACAGAATACATTAATAGATGCCACATATAGCCTTACAGTTTTGCTGCAAGTAAAATACTGTGTTTTAATACTGTGTAAAAACACACATGATAACACTTTATTTCAACTGATATTTACCCTATACAGTTTGATGCAAAGCATGCTTGGAACTCTCATTTTACTCAGTTTAATTAAGGTTAATTAAAAAAGATTAATCTTATTTCTATGGTAACAATATAGTTCACAATATGATTATTTAAAAAATAAGGTACTTATTCCAAAAACAAAAAATAAATAAAAAATTCTTAGGCGTATTTCTTAGAAGATTTGGCTGAGCTGATGCTGATATCTTGTATGGGTTAATTTTAGGCTGATTTACAGCAGGGGTGTCCAAACTCGGTCCTGGAGGGCTGATGTCCTATGTTGCGTCTGAAACCACATACTTTCATACTATACAGTACGCTAAAATCAGTATGCGAGCCTAGTAGTATGTCCAAATTCATAGAATTTAAAAATCAGTATGCGAGATATACCCGAATGACTTACTACTTCCAGCGAGATTCTGATGTGCGAATTCCATGCACACTGTGATATCCAATGATGCCCCGCGAGAGAATTTATGAATGGGACTGAAGCGACGCAACTGACGCAGGTAGGTCACGTGACCATGACAAAATGGCAAATGTAGTACGTCCGAATTCCATTCATACTTTTCACATTCATACCGTGTAGAACGTACTATTCTAACGGCCGAGTAGTACGTTTAAATTGAAATGCAGTACCTACTGAGTAGTAGGCGGTTTCGGATGCAGCCCTAGAGAGTTTAGCTTTAACCCTAATCAAACACACCTGAACCAGTTGATCAAGCTCATACTATATCCTAGAAACATCCTGGCCGGTGTGTTGAAGCAAGTTGGAGCTAAACTCAACAGGACACCAGCCCTCCAGGACCGAGCTTGGACACCCCTGTTTTACAGAGCTAAGTTTGAGATATTTATTTCTCATAAGTGTTAGCTTCTCACAAAAAATTAAAGTCATAAAATGATTTTATGACCCCAATTGATGCTTTGTTCCTCGATAAAGTTCCTAAAATAAACTTTTTATTTTAATTTTAATTAGTGTAATACAGCAGCCACTGAATACATTTCTAATGGGGGTAACACTAGAACCCAGAGGGTGATGGTTTAGGAGCCATATTGTTAAGAAAAATGAGTATTAGAATATATACTGAATTAAGCTCTGTATAATTGGTGTCACACAAAATAAGGCGATTCCTTTTTTCATGAATTTTGACCAATGTATCAAATAAGACTAAGCATTTTACAAACATAACTTCATGTTAGGGTGTCACAGGGGCTCAATGGTTAACACTGTCCTCTTAGAGTCCTGGCAGGGAAAACTGGCATTTCTGTGTGGAGTTTGCATGTTCTCCCCATGTCCGTGTAGCTCTCTTCTGTGCCCTGGTTTGTCCCACAGTCCAAAGACATGCACTATAAGTGAATTTGAAAAACTATATTAACCGTAGTGTATGCGTGTGAGAGTAAATGCAATAGTGTATGGGTGTTTCCCTGTACTGATTTGAGGCTGGAAGGGCAATAGTTGACCAAAAGTTGTCTGGAATAGTTGGTGGTTCATTCTGCTGTGGCGACCCCAGATAAAGGGACTAAGCCGAAGGAAAATGAATTAATAAACTTCATGTTATTTGCCTATATTACTTTTCTAGTCTAAGGTAAACAGCGCTCCATGTGAATGTCGTTTAGTGTAGGCATTGGCACCTGGGGAGAGACTGCTTAATTTACTGCGTGATACTTTACACAGAGTTATTCTGTAGTGACATTCGCCGTTTCAAGTCGGTTCTCCAAAACATTTATTCTAAATCACAGGTAAAAGTTCAACCTTAAATCGTTTACATGATCTTACTATGAGAGAACGAGTAGAATGTTTTCCTCAGCCATGCCACTTATTTAAAAATCGAGGTATACATGGGATAAAAAATCTATTATGGTTGACCATTTATTCTAGAGTAGCGATATATACCGTCATACAACCAAATCCTAGGGTAAATTTACATTTTGAGTTCAACATAATTTGTTTCTACTAAAAACAATAAATTTGAAGTGTAAAATCAAAATGCTCCATGTTTATTTTGCTAGTGCGCAGGGACTACATTTACATGGACATCAGTAATCGAATTATTTGCTTTAAATTTTCATTTTTCATTCAAACCCACACGATCGCAGGGAGAACATGTAAACTCCACACAGAAACGCCAACTGAGCCGTGGTTCGAACCAGCGATCCAGCAACCTTCTTGCTGTGAGGCGACAGCACTACCTTCTGCGTCACTGCTTTGCCCTAATTTCAAAGTTAATCTAGATTATTCTATATTTTAAAAAATGTATATATGCCCACGTACACTAATTTCCTAGTATCACAATGTAGAAAGAAGGATGTGGAGATGGATACCTGCAGTTTCACAGACTCTGGCATCTTCATTTGAAGTAGACCCTCCTCTGGCGCCTCCTCTTCTTCCTCTTTGGCCTCCTCTCCTACTTCTTCTGCCTCCTTTTCCTCCTCTGCTTTTTCTCCATCCACCTTCTCTCCATCCTCCTCCTCTACGGCCTTCTCGACCTCTTCTCCTTCCTCTCCCTCCTCCTTCTTCAGCTCTTTCAGCTCCTCCTCTTCCTCCTCCCCAACTCCTTCATCCACAGCCTCCTCCTCTCCTTCAGCCGTTTCTTCTTTCTCTTTCACTTCCTCTCCTTCCTCTTTGGGAGCTGCTTCCTCGGCTGGTTCCTCTGCCTCTTCTTTCTTTCCAAACACACTGGGATCAATCATCTTGAGGATGTGCTTGACGTCTTCATTGTTGAAGATGCCCATGATGAGGAGAGTGCTGATGAGTTTGAGGATTGGAACGAAGTGGAACTCAACGCTGCCCCCTACAGGATCACGCATGGCCTGGCTGCCATCGAACACGGCTTCAGTAAGCATGCTTAGAGCCTGGGTCTTTAGATTCTGTCATGAAACAATGCACACATTAACAAAGAGAGCATCTGCCTACCAGTAGTCACAAGTGTCTATTAGAGTAGGGATCCTAAACTTTTCAGCCCGCGACCCCCAAAATAACAATGCCAGTGACTCACGACTCCCAATATCTTCTAAGGTGGTTATAAATACAGAAACCTTGCATGCAATGACACACACACACATACACACACCAATAGATCCAAGTACATTCTTCACTGATTTTTTTTAATGTATGTCAGTGTTGTAAATGTGCCAGAAAGTTTAACCTGGTGTTATAAAATCAATCTGCTGCATCTGACGCTATTGCTGTGTCTTTAATATAATGTAATTACCCCAGGAGTTGCAATCCAATAGAACTAGTAACTATAAGCTACTATAGTAACTATAAACTAATATTTTTTTCTTTTCAGTTCAGTTAAGTTAAATTCTTATGGTTTAATACAAATAAATAGATTTTTGGAAATCACCAGGCGACCCCCCCTTCATTGTCCCACAACACCTCGGGGGGTCCCAACCCCCACTTTGAGAACGACTGTATTAGAGCAGGGGTTCTCAAACTTTTTCACTTCGAGGCCCACCTTTTTCTCCCAAATTTTTTTGAAGGCCCAAACTGATTGTCTAGCGAAAATGCTTGTTTTAAAGTTTCATTTATTAGCAAAACATATATATTTTTGCCTTCTATTCCATTACTTTTCTACATCATTACACATCACAAACAGGTTTAAAGCTCTTGAAAGCTTTACTTCAGTTATTCTTTACAACTGCAGAGCATTTGGGCATTTACTTTAGAACCTGATAGAACTAAACGAGATGGCAAAAAAAAAACAAAAAAAAAAAAAAAAAAAACGGCTGCTGCTTTGATTTAGACTGACTTCTATTCATCTATTGATCTATATCTATTAAAATAAACAACCTAACCCTAAACGTAAAATACAGTAAAATCCCTCTAAATCTGCTGAAACACATCGATCTAAAGGTGGTTTGGTTTGTTGCTGGTCATTATTGGAGTTCGCTGACAAGAACAGTGAACTACTGAATCAGGACTGAGTCTCGCTAGATCTTTCTGTACGGATGCACGTCAGTTATAAAACGCTCGAAAGATATTAATTTGGACAACTATGATCATATTTCAAAGTGTTCACACAAAGAGAGCACAGTTTTTGATTCGACGGATGTGTGCAACTCTAATACAGAAAGAGTCGCAGACGTAAGGCACGCGTGAGCTGGTTATTACTTTAATCATCGTTACCTATACATTTGCGTGACTGTTTGCTAATCCTAGTTGATGCGCAGCGGTTGGAAATTTAAGCCACAGTCATGTCTGTTATTAACAGTGAGGCTGTTTTTGCACTGAGTCCGAATTAGCCTGTTTAGTCACAGGAAACGGAAAATGCCATAACTACTATCATTTTATAATGACATATTTAATAACGAATTTCAATAATTATAGTGTAATATTTAAGGTAATTTTAATCTCGTAGCCCACCTGCAGGGTCACTGATATTAATAATATAATATAATAAAATATGTATATAATGTAATATGTCTACTAGATGTATGTTGTAGCTAACTGTACCTGCAGAGGTATGATGGGGCTCAGGGTGTACAGATCTGGATCAGTGCCTACAAAGTTGATGGGGGAGAAGTGTAGCTTAGGTCTGAGGCAGGTGGTGAGACCCACTCCCGGCAGGTCATGGGCTGCCTCTGCATCTGGGAACAGTGTGATACTAAGCGTCTCTGATGTCATGGGAACAATAAACTCGCGATTGGTTCCTAAGCGGTTGCGTTTGGCTGACTCCAGATGAATACTGATAAGAAGGTCGTAGTAGCCGCTGCGGAGAGGGCCAGGCAGGTACGTGTTCTCAATCGCATAGAAGAGCTGGGATTCATCCACATGGCTGCAGAGGGCATGGGCTACACGGTTGTTGCCCAGTGCACACACGGCGCAATAAAGCATCAGAGTGTGATAGTGGAACTGCAGCAGGTCATGTTGCTCAGATAGTTCCAGGATGTCAATGCACCTGCAAGTGAGAAAACACATGAAAATTAAAATTACAGTCCTGTGAGTCCAATCAAATCACACATAGAAGGTAAATTGCATCATACTGAACTACCTCAAGACATGGGCACTTTATAATAGCAGCAAACTGTTTGGAAGCTTCAAATATGTCCAAGAAGATGTCCAAAATCCTTACACGAATTGACCCAGAGACTGTTTAGATGCATGTCACTGATGAGAAGATGGTGGATATTTACTGTATGATGTCCAAAATGGCCTTAAACACCCAGCAGGCACAAGACATCAACATGACTTTAGATTCCCGTTGTAACCCAATGTCATGGAAACCTTGCATTTTGTTTGGAATGAAAATTGAGTTGACATCAGAACCCAACTTCAGGCTGATGTCAGTGTCCAATGTCCAACCTAATATTAACCAAATATCAACGTCTAATGATGTTACAGCTTGACGTCATATGGACATTACCACTATGACGTCTATCAGACACTTGATTTTGGTTGCCATACCTGACAATTAAATGTCAGTATTTAACGTCAACAGATGTTGGTTTAAGATGTTAGTTCAACGTTGGATTTTGGTCAGTTTCTAACACAACCTAAAATCATCCAAATATCAAATATCGTTTTTGGACATCAAAAAAACTATGTTCTTTAACACTGGCTAGACATTGAATTTTGGTCCCCCGACATCACAACCTAAATCTAATCTAATATTAATGTCATATGATGTTGTGTGTCTGCTGGGCAATGACTAAATGCAGTACAGAATGTTACGTTTGCACACATCCACAAATTACATGTAGATGCATCAGCTTTTTACAGCATAATACTCACTACTCTTGAGTACTTTGAAAGGCTACTTTCTACTCATACTTTGAGTAATATTTACAACAGATACTTTTACTTTTACTTCCACTACATTTTTAGGCAAGTAATTGTACTTTTGAGTATGACTTTTCAGTACTTTTTCCACCACTACAACCAACACTTATTGTGTTGTGAGCAATACTAGCAGTTAGAGTATACATTGCTATACCCTCTGAATACCTATCTGAAAAAGTACACTATCCGGGAACCTAATTAAATGTTTTGAATACTATTTAGCACAGATATTTTGCAAACTGGGATGCAGCAATTGTGTGTTTCTAACTGGTTGCGAGGGAATTCTGAGTGATTGCAAGGCAGTTGCTGGAAAGTAGTTACTAGACAGTCTCAAATTCAATTTCTGGAGAGCCACTGTCCTGCAGAATTTAGTTCTAGCTTTATTCAAACATATCTCAGAAAGCAAATAAAGTCAATTAAGGTGATTTTGAGCTGGTTTGAGACACATTTTGCAGTACAGTGGCCTACAGTTGTCAGTAAGTGGAATATGAAATATGTCTACTAGTATGTGTGCACTATACAGACCCTTTAAGCGAACAGTTCACCCAAAATTAAACATTTACTCACAATTTACTCACCCTCAAGTGCTTCCAAACCTTTCCTTATTCCTTTTTCTTTTTGTGTTGAACACAAAATAAGTTATTTTGAAGAAGGTTAGAAACTGGTAACTTCCATAGTAGAAAAAACAAATATTGCGTCAGTGGTTACAAGTTTTTATAATTTTTTATAATTATCTTTTGTGTTCAACAGAAAAAAGAGACTCAAACATGATTGTGACAAGTGAATGGTATGTAAATGATGACAAAATTTTAAGTTTTTTGGTGAACTGTACTTTAAGGGAACATTTCCCCCCATTTTAATAAGATCTTTTTGTTTTTGACTTGCCCAACTGTACCTGTTTTCTTCAGGTATATGCAGCGCCATCATAGTGAGAGGCTCTGTACATTCCACCATCCAGCCATGCCTCTCGCTCACCCGTCCCACCACTGGATTGAGGAAGTGGTTGGGCATCCGGCTCCAGATGACAGGGGTCAACATCTGAACATCCAGTCGAGGTGGACACTGAGGAACAGGGTTCTTGCGCTCACTACGAAACATGGCTGCCGAAAGAGGCATGATATTCTATAGGATTGAGAAAAAAATAAAGATTTAACTAAGCAACACCACATGTTAGCTAAAAGAAATTATAAATGAAATCTGATTAGGCAGATGCGCTGACCTTGAGTTTTCCAAGTTCCAGCTGGAGCATGTTTTGGCTGCTTGGAAGAACAAACACAGCTGGAAAGAGCTTAGTGTTGGGCTCCACCTGAGACAGCAAATACACACATACACCATGAGTTCAAAAATATTATGCACTATTAACATCTCTGAAATCAAGTAACAAAGATAGCTATGTAAAGTAATGTAAAAAACTAAATGTAAAATTACAAAAAGAACCTTGATGTCAAAACGACATCAAAAAAACATGTCAAAAATGTGTCAATTTGATGTCAATTGATACCCCGATGTCAAAACATGTCCATTTGACATCTAAAATTTGTGTCAACACAACAAAAATTTACTGTATTACAGAACAGTTTAATGTGTTTGTTTTATGCCAACGATAGGTGTCAATTTGATGTCTTGTTCAAGGTAGGTTACATGTGTTGCATCAATGTGTGGATGTCAACATCAAGGTAGGTTACATGTGTTGCATCAATGTGTGGATGTCAACATCAAGGTAGGTTACATGTGTTGCATCAATGTGTGGATGTCAAGGTTTTGACATCAAATACCAATTTGCATTTTTTTACTTGTTTTTTGCCATCAATATCACTGTCAGTTTGATGTTGATTTGGGCAGTCATAATTGTCAATTCCAATTAAATTTTTGTAAAATTGTGTAAGTTGAAATGTAAAATACTTTTAAATAAGCTTTGCATTGATATATGGTTTATTAGGATTGGACAATATTTGGTCGAGATACAACTATTGGAAAATTTAGAACCTGAGTGTTCGAAGCAATAAAAATACTAAGAAAATTTAAATTGGCATTAAAAATTTTAATTGGCATTAAAATTGTCTGAATTAAGTGCTTAGCTATGCATATGACTAATCAAATTTTTAAAAAATATATTTTTTAAAGTAGGTTTTTAACAAATTATCTTAATGAAACTTAATATCAAACTCATTTAATTTATTTAACATTTTAATGATTTTTGACATATAAGAAAAACACATTCATACAATGTATTTGTACTGCCAAAAATATACCTGTACAAAATAAGGCTCACCTGGTAGAAAGTGTTGATCTCCTTTCCATTGGCTGTGAAATTCAGAAGGCCTGTTGCCAGATCAACCAAGCAACCAATCACCAGATCCTCCTGGCTGAACTTCTGCTGGCTGCTGCTGAACTCTCCTCCCCACACCATGTAGCAGTTACTTCTCTTTATACTGATGGAGAAAGAATATTTGGGTTCATGTATTCAAAATATTCTCAAGTGATAACCACACACTTAGTTTTACACATTGTTTAAACAAAAGCAAATAATACGATTTGTTTTGTTCAGCAAGGATTATTTTTCAGATTTGTATTTCAAATTCTTTTGAATTTCCTTTCATTCATAAATATCAAACTGGTTTCAATGCTGACATTAACAATATTTATGGAGCAGCAAATTAAAATTAGAATGATTTCTGAATGATCATGTGACATTAAAGGCAATAAAAGAAATAGATCAAAAGATTAATGTCATAAATCCGTCTCGTAATTTCATACCGGATTTATTTTCAAATAATATGCAAATATGCATATTTGTAATGTGTATTGGACACTGACAACAGAGGTGCGGATCCAATGGCAGGTTTATTATGAGAATGGTCTGGCAGGCAACAGTCAACACAGGGGCAAACAGATGTACACAGGAAATCCAGAGTTGTAGTCAAAAAACAGGTGAGTGGTCAATACAGACAGGAAGCAGACAACATAAATAAACAAACAAGGCAAGGCTCAAAAAAACGGCGAAGCAAGGCAAGGGAACCGCGTCATAATGTCCACAGTGACATCATAACACGACTCAGCTGAGAAGTGTGTGTGTGTGCACTGTATTTAAAGTTAATCTAACCAGTCTTTGAGCAGCCCCCAGCTATGTGAGCAATCAATCGTGATCTGGAACAGGTGTGTGTGTGTGGTGCATGACTGGAACTTGTAGTCCATATTCCAGCAGATATCTAGTCCTTTAGCAATCTGCACGTTTACCAGCGATCTGCCAGGATTAGATCGCTTGTGATTGTGACAATGTTATTCCATAAAATAATTTTGTAAAAATACACATTCTCTATAAAAAGATTTATTTTTGTCCACTATATATATATATATATATATATATATATATATATATATATATATATATATATATATATATATATATATATATATATATATTTTTTTTTTTTTTTTTTTAATTGTATATTTTTAGTTTTTTAATAAAAGTTTTATTTTATGCTGAACTGTTTATCTAGTGGCAATATTTTATCTATATGCCAGTATTGATGAACTGTTAATCTAAATGGGTTTTGTGTGTGTGTCTAGGTGGTTTATGAGGACACAAATTTGTAAAATGACATGGGTATGACCTAGGTATCACAATGTTGAGATGGTTTACTAGAACATGCATTGTGATTCTTCAAAATTCAAACCGCATAAAAAATCATAATTAACAGGGTCTTTTGATCTTTGAATTTTGTCAAAGATTTCCTGTGAGGGTTGTGTTTAGAGGTAAGGGTAGAGTAAGGCGATGTAAGCAGTTTTTACAGTAAAATAAAATATATGCCTATGAAGAGTTTTCATAAAACACAAAAACCAATGTGTGTGTGTGTGTGTCTGTGTGAATAGTTTGAAGTTTATGTGGTGTCTCTAAGTTCTGTTACTTGACTCTCTGTGACTCTCCCAATGGGTACAATAAAAGAAATTAAAAGAAAACCTATTTTATTAAGTGTGCGCTACATCCAAAACACTGAAGATATCAAAAGTGATTAATAAGACTCTCTACTTCACTGTAAAAAGAAGTTTCCTGTAGGAAAATAACTCTTAAAATAACTTTTTTTTTTTTTTGTCCCAACATATCCTTATGGTTGCTGACTGAACTGGGCCACTCATGCACTGCTCTTACATCATCAAAATCGATAGTCACCTACATCACCTCACTATATTGATAATTTATTTTTAACTATATAGTTCTCCGCATTGCAGCTTCTTGTATCTGTCCTCACTGGCCCATATTTCAATAGCAGGCACAGCAGACTAGTGTGAACCGAATTTTTTTATGTGATCTCACCTGTCATGTATGTTGCCTTTGTCGTCTCCAACTGTCACTGTAACCGTACGAACTTTAGACAGATCGAAGTTGAGGTCATACATGTGGAAGTCTGGTGTGACCCAACCAACCCACACCTCGCTAGGCTCTTGTCCAGCGAAGATACGAACCGAGTAATAGTACTGCACAATGGACACAGAGGGAGAAAGATACTTAACAGAGAAAACTAGAGCATGAGGAGTGTCATTTATGATAGATCTTGTTGTAAAGACTGACTGTGGTGGTATTAAGGATGATGTCCACGTCATCGCGATCATCTGGCACCACGTCTTCAATCAAACGAGGCATAAGAGGTGGAGGTGGAGGAGGAGTGATCATGGCTGCCTTTTTAGCTTTAAACAAGAAGCTGAGGGAAGAAATTTAAGGGGTTAGGCATGTACAAGAAACTTGAGTAGAAAAATAAGTGATTATTTGTATTGAATGTGCACTTTGTGGTGTACTCTGAATCTTAATAGAATGTTTTAAAAAATCTATACTTGTAGATAGTATAATTTTACTGAAGTAAAAGGAAACTTCTAAGGAGATTTCACCCCAAAAACATAAAATGTCCCTACTATTTTCTCACCCCCAAGTGGTTAAAAAACATACAGTAAATGAGTTTCTTTCTTCTGTTAAACATGAATTAATATATTTAAAGAAAGATGAAAACCTTCAACCATTACTTTCCATAGATGAAAAAACAAATTCTATGGTAGTCAATGGGCTCTATTTTGACGATCCATGCGCAAAATGCAAAGTGCAGGGCGCAAACGCATTAGGGGCGTGTTAGAATCCACTTTTGCTAATATAAGGACGGAAAAATCTGCTTTGCGCCGTGGTGCATGGTCAAAAGGGTTGAGCTTATTTTCTTAATGAGTTATAGGTGTGTTTTGAGGCTAAACCAATCAGTCTTATCTCCCATTCCTTTTAAAAGTCAGTTATATTGCACCATAGCGCATTTGCTATTTACATGGCAGACTTTGTAAGTGGAAAAACTGAACCCTTCACTAGAGAGAAAACAGTTTAACAAAGCATCTCCAGCACAAGAATGTGAGATGAGCCTCCTCATTATTTTCTTTCGCTTTCACTCTTGTGGAGAGGGAAACTTCTTGTACGCACAGACATCCATTAGCATGTAAATAAATAATTTTGTTTGTTAAGTGCAAAGATTTGTTTCAAAACTATTTCTAAATTCAGTTATAATTTCCAGCAAACTAATAAATGAACAATAAAAACTAAGTGTGGTCAAAAAACTGAATTATATACTAATACACATGCTGCCCCATATGGTCTAAAACCTGAAAGGTGGGCAAATCTAAGCTTGTTTTTAATAAAACAAATATAAATATGCATATAATAAAAATTACTGCTAATAATGATAACATTATACAAAAGCAAATTGTTATGAATTGTTATGAATAAACACTTTTAAGTGTACTAAAAAGGCACTTTTCCTTACTATTTCATATACTTAAGCATTTTCTAAAAGCCTTATAATAATGTAGAGTTATTAAAGATATCTTAAAGGAGATATGTAAAAGGGGTGTGAATTATGTTTTCTTGTCTAGGTTTTGAGGATCTTTTGGTCTACTATGTCAGAAATGTCGTAGGCTGAGTCCGAAACTGCACACTACTCAGTAGGTATTGCATTTCAATTTAAACGTACTACTCGGCCAGTAGAACAGTTCGTTCTATACAGCATGAATGTGAAAAGTATAAATGGAATTCGGACGTACTACATCCGCCATTTTGTCATGGTCACGTGACCTACCTGCGTAAGTTGCATCGCTTCACTCCCATTCATGAATTTGCTCGCTGGGCATCATGGGACAGAGCAGCATGCATGGGATGCTCACTTTAGAATCTCGCCGGAAGTAGAAAGTCATCCGGGTACTTCTCATATACTGATTTTTGAATTCTATGAATTCTGACATGCTACTCGGCTCGCATACTGATTTTAGCGTACTATATAGTATGGAAGTATGTGGTTTCGGATGCAGCCCTACTTAAGTGATTTCTTGATTGTGAACAGGTGTGGCAGTAATCAGGACTGGGTGTGGCTAGAGAAACTGAATTCAGGTGTGATAAATCAGAGTTAAGTTTCACTTTACCAAGGGGACAAACACTTTTTCACACAGGGCTATGTTGTTTTGTTTAACCTTAATAAGATCAGTAAGGGGACCGACTCTTTTAACACTACTGTTCTCATACTTGTTGCTCTGTACACACAAAATTATGAACAAAATCTTAGTACGTTACTTATAGTTGCTTTCCTGAAAGTTCATGAGCTGTATATGGCCTTTAAGTTCTACTTAAGTGGGTCAAGCACTTTAAAGTTTAGATTATTGCAGTGAATTGTCTGAATGTAACATTCAGTCTGCACTTAAGTATATTTTGCTTCCATAATAAAGTACACGTTTAATATATATATATTTAAAAAACTCCCCACTTCTTACCCTTTCTTCTTTCCTTTCTCAGATGCAGTGTCTTTGTCGTTTTCTTTAACGCCTGGGATATCTTTAGGAACAGACGGCTCCTTTTCTTTCTCCTCCTGCTCTTTGCGACTGGCGGACTTCTTAAGCACCTCATAGTCTGAGTCTGGGTCCACCTCCAGCACTTCTTCTTCTGGGATGGTGAGGGCTCGTGTGAGGGGGGTAGTGCCAGCAGGCACCTTAAAGGTAAGGTGAAACTCCACTGGCATGCTTAGCCTGAAGAACAGCATGTCAGTGTTGGCGTTTTGGGATCCGAACGTCTTGTGGGTAATTTTTATACAGGGAGCACTGTCTACAGTTCCATCCACACGAGAGACCTAAAGGTTCAATGATAGCAATTAAGAAGGTCCATCAAATTCATATGTATTCACATTTATCCCTTAACTGTCTGTGCCACTTGTGTATTGATGCAAAAAATGTCATCAAACTTAAAGGTGCTGTATGTAGGTTTTAGAGTCCTAATATATCAGACACTTGTGAAACATGCTACATGATAATACTTGTTTATCTGAAAATTTAAAGTGAGTTATTCACCTTTAAAAAAATTTGCATTTCAGGTCTAAATATGTGTTTTTGTTTTAGTCCTTGTAGCTCTATCCACTGTCACTTAACTCAATTTCAGCACATCCTGCACAGACGAAAATACTTGGATGTCAATCCTACATACTGCACCTTTAAATCGATATGAATCTTTAATGCTTTTATGAACAGATTAACAATGTTCATATTGTTGCTGAAGTGAAAAAAGTTACACAAAAATTATATTTCAAAAACATTATGTACATTTAATTTTATAAAAATAATAAAACAATACATTTATTTTAAATTACTTTATAAAAAATATGTATTTTACTCAGAAAATTTAGTGTAAAGTAAACTGTTTAAATCATAAATGAAAGACAAATATATTTTAAAAAAATGTATCTAAAATAAAATAGCTCTTAGTAAATTTAGTTTGGGTACAAAAAGCTCCAAACATTACCATGACTCCTTTTTCTGTAAGGTTTGAGCTATATGAATGAAAGTATACATCATTTTATAAAGTTTGGGCAGTTTTATTGTTATTTGATATGAATTCTGTCTCTAAAAAATACTACAGTGAAAACCCAATGACGTGTGTTTTTCTAGGCACTGCATTACAAAATGAGGGATAATAGAAATATACAAAGAGTTAAAGTCAGAATTATTAGCCGCCTTTGAATTTTTTTCTTCTTTAAAAAAAAAATTCCAAATGATGTTTAACAGAGCAAAGGACATTTCACAGTATGTCTGAAAATATTTTTTTCTTCTGGAGAAAGTCTTATTTGTTTTATTTCGGCTAGAATAAAAACAGCTTTTAATTTTTTAAACACCATTTTAGGGACAAAATTATTAGCTCCTTAAAGCTATATTTTATTTTGATAGTCTACAGAACAAACCATCGTTATACAATGACTTGCCTAATTACCCTAACCTGCCTAGTTAACCAAATTTACCTAGTTAAGCCTTTAAACGTCACTTTAAGCTGTATAGAAGTGTCTTGATAAGTGAAAATATCTAGTAAAATATTATTTACTGCTATCATGGGAAAGATAAAATAAATTAGTATTAGAAATGAGTTTTTAAAACTAATATGTTTAGAAATGCGTTGGAAAAATCTTATATTCGTTAAACAGAAATAAACAAGCGGCTAATAATTCAGGGGGGCTAACAAAGTTTCTACAAGTTTTTTACATATGGGTTGCTTTAACATTGTGGCCTGAACTCACTTTACAACTTTATGAACAGTTAAGCGAAAAGACATGACGATCTCTCATATACCTCAATGTGGTTGTGATCAGTGGGAACGGGAACAAACTGGGGCAGGCTCTTGCTGAACCACATTGTGATGTCTCTCTTCATGTTGATGGCGAATGGCTCAAAGCCCTCTTGGAGGCCACAGATGGCGAAGTAGCGCAAACTGCTAACATTCTGACCAAGGTTAATACGCCCAACCTGAGAAAGACCCAGAGTGCAAACTGGAATAAAGCCTAGAGGGAGGAGAACACAGAAAAAAGAGTCTGATTTATAGCAGTGGCTAAAATATATCAATTACTATGTACTAATGTTTTATTACACACTTTTACATTATTTATTATAATGTTTAATTTGAATTAGTTTGACTTTTCATACAAGAATGAAAGCATCATTTGCATATTCAGTATATAATGCTATTGATCAATCATTTGTTTATATTTTATCTAAGAAAATCACAGACAGCATTGGAAGGTATTGGTAACACCAAGATGGCAGCATCTGTGAAAGAAATCAAAAAAAAAAATTCCAGATTTAAATACAATGTATAGGGTAAATTGGGATTTTTTTTGCTTTTAAATCTATAGGATTAGAGAAATGGATTTTGAAACACAAGACTGCAAAGTGTGATTTAACCCTCTACCACATGTTACTAGCATATGGCAACATGACATTTTTGTTCATTTCCCTGCCACTGCTTCTTTAAGAGCAATGTTTAATTTTTTTAGTTGGAAGAGAAAACCTTGGTGTAGCCAATGATATGCTATGGTTAAGTCAAATGACAGCAGGTTTTTCTGTAGTGCGATTTCTGACAGACTGGCATTTATTGTGAGTAGTTGCTGAATGCAAATGTAAACGTCAATAAAAACAAAGGATGAACTCATGTCAAATCCACAAAAAAAATTTGAAACATCACCTCTGATAATTTATGACGACATATTCACATCTTAATTTTTTTTATCAAATTAGTTTTTTGGTAAATCGATCAAATGTATGTGTTGCCGAATGGCAACACTGTTCAATAGTGGAACATGCAATATTGCAATGGTTTAGCTAGCTAGCATGGTCAGCTGTGAATTTTTAAGTTGTAACAATAACAACATGAATGCTAGTAATATAGTGTTGATTAGTTGTATGTTAATGACATTTGCATTATGAATAAAATCGAGTTTTAATGGCAGTACTACTTTTGAATAGGGAACAGTGTATTAGCTAACACCATCATGTTCTATGACAAGTGAAACAATAAAAGGTCAGAAGTGGCTCTTCCTGCAGATGAAAGTGAGGATGAGATGGGCTTTAGTGACCATGAGAATGATGCAGACTGGACAATTGATAAGAGCAGTGATGGAGACAGTTCAAGTAAGTTAGCCCAAGACAGACGAAGTATTGTATATAGTATAATATATAAATATTGTTTGTTCTCCCTGAGTTCGCATGGGTTTCCTCCGGGTGCTCCAGTTTCCCCCACAGTCCAAAGACATGCGGTGCAGTTGAATTGGGCAGGCTAAATTGTCCATAGTGTATGAGTGTGAATGAATGTGTATGGATGTTTCCCAAAGATGGGTTGCAACTGGAAGGGCATCCGCAGCGCAAAACATGTGCTGGATAAGTTGGCGGTTTATTCTGCAGTAGCGACCTCGAATTAAAAAAGGGACTAAGACTAAAAGAAAATGAATTAATGTGTGATGATCTCCCTGTGTGAACAGCACATATTTAAATTTACTGGTAAAGTATTTCTGGAAATTCAGTATCACTATGTGAAAGGGGCTATGGTCAATAATTTTTACTTGTGATGCTGAGCACTCGTTTGTGCTCTTACTATTATTCTGGACGTGTACAAGAAGAAAATATATCTGAAAACTTACGAGCCCAAAAGAAAAAGAATGGATGAATTATGAATATATAAATACTGATAGCTAGTAGCTACAATCTGATGCATCTGTATATACTACACTTATTTGTTATAATATTTACTGGAGAAAACATTTAAATTCACTGTATGTTGTATAGATGATAATACAATATTATGTTTTTTTTTCAATAATATTTAGCAAACAAATTATGGAATAAATGGAAGTTGTTGAAAAGTATGTATAAGGTGTGGTCTATAAGTTCTGTGTTAAAGCTTATGATACTGCAACACCAATTAAATAATTTTAACCAACAAAATTATTAATTAAAAGGAAAATTCTAAATTTGACATTTCTAAGTTAGATCCACTGTTGGACGTTATTGCAATATGGCAAAATATCATAAAGTACCTTAAAAATAGATATATTTTTTACAGCACAGTTAAACAATTCTAAGAAAAGAAAAACAGTCAAACATTTTATTTTTAAATAGATTTATCATAATGCGTGCGGTAGTTAAAATAATAATATTATTTAGGAAAACCAAAAAAAAAAAAAAGAGGTAGGCATGTCCAAACTCGGTCCTGGAGGGCCGGTGTCCTGCAAAGTTAAGTTCCAACCACAATCAGACACACCTGGGCTAGCTAATCAAGCTCTTACTAGGCTTTCTAGAAGCATCTTTCCAGGTGTATTGAGGCAAGTTGGAGCTAAAAAACTGCAGGACACCGGCCTATCAGGACCGAGTTTGGACACCCCTGAAAAGAGGAAAAAGCCTGTTGTGGGGAAAGGGGAAAAACCCTTTTGATTATACCATTTGCTTTGTTCGCCGCCTGTACCAATCCCTTTGTTTCATTGTTTACTCTTTAGATTTTTGTATTATTGTCTGCTCCTGTATTGAACCTTCATCTGACACTTGATTAAAGCTGGATTTGGATCCTATCCCTGTTGTTACAGTTAAGATCCTTACAGTCAAACACCATTTTTAACCGTATTTAAAATTTCTATGACAACTTTATATTACAATTTGTTATCATATTTGAGACAACTGAGCCAGACTAGCCTATAAAAATCTATGGTTTGCAATCATACAAATTTGGAACAGCATGTGAGTAAAAGTATATCTCATTTTAGGGCTAATTATCCAAAAATCTCTTGAATCTCTTTTAAAACAAAACAACAATTCTATCAGAAGTAAATAGTAATTACATTGCCTTTTAAAATCTATATGTGTCTGTGGAAACAAACTTCTTCAGGCTTGAGACTTTCAACTGCTTATTAAAAAACACCATTACGCCACAAAGCATCTAGGCATAATTAAAATCACACGGGTAAACACTAAAACAAGGTTATAGCCCAATTTCTCACCGTCTCCTATCTCAATGTCTTTGAAGGCCATTTCCGAACCAGAATCGCTGATCAGCATCTCTCCGTTGAGCGTGAACATGATGTTCATTTCAATGAGGTCTATCATGCAACCAACAACATCACCAGACTGCCACTGACGACCAAACGGATCATTACCAATGTGCCATCGCTGAGCCTGCAGGAAGAACAGAGTAATTCAGCGTTTACTGCAGCTATTCAAAACAATGTGGCTCCAATTAGCTGGAAAGATGTCCTATCTACCTTTTCCGTACACCCCATAGTGCTACAGTATGCATGAATTATGGGAGTAACTTCTATTAATTTGTTAACTGTCATTGAAGTGTTTTAGAAAGCAGAGATACTGTACAATAAGGTGCCATTATTCTTTTTACAGCTGATATATTGAATATTAAATTGGATTTAGCATAGTGAAGTCAAAATAGCTCTGACCACAGATAATATGAAAATTTTTTTTATGATTAAAATGTAGCACAAAGCTAAAAGTACTGTATCTCCCAGTCAGTTTTCACTATGCTTATGGATTATCAGGGTATCACCTTAAGCCAAATACCGAATTCCCTGTCATTTCCATTATTTTTCCGAGTAAAAAGCTGAATTTCCATGACCTTTCATCTCTATTTTTCACATCATTGTAACGTAAATGTGTCAAGACTTATGATGTCATTCACTTCTATTAATTTTTAGCAAAAACTAAACAACGTTATGGTGCATGTTATGTTAATTTTCCTATTGTATTGTTGTAATATATTTGAATGCCACTTGACGAGCAGGAAGAAAATATAATGGCATGGATCAAATAGACTAACTATAAAAATAAAAGGCAAAGCATGAAGCAAAAAAAAAAAATTCAATGAAAACATGACAGAAAAAAATAATTTTGACAGAAAAAATCCATTTGAAAGGAAAGTGAATTTTAAACAAAAATCCATGACATTCCGTGACTTAGGCAAAAAATAATTAAAATAAATAAATAAATAAATAAATAAATAAATTCTAGAGTTTCTATGTCATATAGGAACCCTGGATTATTTACAACCCGGGCTCATTGTGGAAACGTAGCCCCGCGGACGTCTCTGCGGACCGCGATTTACGTCCCGGTAGGTACGTATTTGAGCGTTTTTTTGTTTTTGCGGATCCGCGAGAGGCCGCTGTGCGCGCTTTTTCGCGTCTCGGGCGTTCGTGCCCGCGCCATTCTCGCGCGAAAAGACGCCGGATCGGAAAAAAAAAAAAAAAAAGCAAAAGCCCTCGTCTTCGAATTCGACCGCGTTTTCGGATCCTGCCGCGTTCTCGCCCTTATTTTTCGGATTCCGTTTTTTGTCTTACTTGATTTCCGGAACCTGCTGTTCCCCGGACTCGATCCCGGTCGTCGTCCACCGTGGCCGGCTCTTCCTCCTCCTCGTCCGGGGCCTCCGCTCCGCCGACGCAACGCTGTGAGATAAGCGGACAAACTGATTGCGTCGGGAAAGCCCTCCACTCGGAGGCGAGCCGTCGGCCGGCGAGCGCAAAGAGGAGGGGCAGAGCGGCGCCACACAGCGTTCGCTCGAAAAAAACCAAACGCGGCCTTTACGTACCTCCGGCCACGTAAATCCTGGTCTTCAGAAACGTCCGCGGGGCTACGTTTCCAGAATGAGCTTGGGTTGATTATTTATGGCACAACTTGATTTTTAAAGAATAGAGGTTCCCCAAACTGTGTGTGTAACCCATTTTGATCTTGAAAGGTGGATTGCCTGAAATATAAAAGTATGACAATACTGACCCTGTTTCCATTGAAGACATAGGCCAACTCATCAGAACCAAGCTCAACATCAGAGCGGACGTTCGGTCGAGCCCAGCCGACCCTCATTTCTCCTGTAGTTACAGCCTCGAACTCAAAATACCATTTTCCTGAGGTAACACCATACTGCTTCTCTGCCCTGAAGATTCTCACTTTATCTCCATGCACATCCTCAACACCATGACCGCCTGTAGAAATATGGAAAATTAAAACTTTAAAAACAACACAAGCCCTATCAGATATTTCAATCTAAAGTGGGGCAATGGTTTTATTAAGGTCTGTTTTATAATCTGGATCCCATTAAGTGATACTGCAAGGCTGCATTTACACTGCAGATCTTGATAGTCAATTCCAATTTTGTGACTGTATCCGATTTTTTTGATGACCTGCTTACACCATCTTTAAAAAGGGACTAGTATCCGATCGTCTGCATTTACACAGCACACGGCAAAGGTGCAATGACCAGGATAAAAAAGAGCGGCCGCTGATTAACAGCTGATAATTAAAGAGTGCTCTTTTCTCTATTCCTGTATGTGATCTGTTTGCAGCTTTTAACAAGCTATTTTACTATAGTTTATGACAGAAATGTCCTCATTTGTCCATCTTCCGTTGATATTTGGGCTTTTTTAAACCTTTAGGCATCTTAATGTAATGCCCATGGCGTGATTTATGCATGTGATGTAGCTATGCACTAGTTTTATATTAGTTCATTTTGGTTACGTGGCAGACATTGCGCTCTCTTGCTCTCATTAGCAAATTAATTACTATAATTACTATTACATTAAATTTTTTACATATTACATTAATTACTATTAATAGCTTAGGTCCTCGTAGATAAGTTTTAAGGTTTGGGACTTTGCTGAAGTCCGCTCTGAAATGAAAGTGTCAGACTTGACATCATTCGCTACGGTTTTTAATGACACGTGACTCGCATTGACAGGCGAAAATCCGATCTACCTGGTTACACTGCAGACACGAAAACACAGATCCGATTCATATCGGATAAATTTCCACATATGAACAAGGTCTAAATCTGATTTGAGTAAATCGGAATTCATGTGATTTGTTCCTGCTTACACGTACATGGACCATATCCGATCGGTGCCACATGGTAGAAAAAAATCAGAATTGAGTCACTTAAACAGTGCAGTGTAAATGCGGCCTAAGTGTAACAAAGTGTTCCCACTTGTAGATCTGTTTAGTTGGTTAATTTGGTCTGGATGAAAAAGAAGACACATTTAGTCACTCAATCATTTTTAAGACCGAACCTAAAGACTCTTATATAGTAATGCCACGCTTTCTTCTTTTTACTGGCCTCAGTCCATTTGTGTCGCAAACTTAAGTCTGAGAGGCACAGATCACACTTCAAATAAATCAAATTAACAGTACAATTGCAACAGAGGTTGTTTTTTTTAATTGGAACAAACCTACTAAGAGTAAATTCAAACTCTTAGAAAGATACTGATATGGTACGCACTAATGAAGCATAAACAAAGACTCACTGCTCTCCTGATCTGGTGGCTCGATGTTATATCCGTAACCAATCAAAGTGCGTACAGCATTGTTCACACTGTCTCGGTTGGTCTTCTTGGTTCTCTCGTCTAGCAAATTGTAAGGCACCAGACGAGGGTTACGCTTATTCACAATATCCTGGGGGTCACAAAGAAAAAAAAAGTGTATTCATTATCACATTTCTGAAGAAGCATTCACTAAAAGTTTTCTTTTTTACTTAAAATGATGCAATAACTCTTATGTCACCTAGTTATCAATATTCTTTAAAATGCTCTTCTGCAAAAAAGCAGAATGTTGGGCCTGTAACTCACAATATTTATAACATTTATTATCCATTTTAAAAGTATTTGTCACAGTCAATATGTTATGTCATCGATGGCCACTAGAGGTAACTTTTGTGCGCTGGTGTGTTTTTGTGTACTGGTTGTGTGTTCTTAGACTGCAATTCCCATTATTCTTTGCACCGATTATATTATCATTGTCTTCAGCTGTTATTTGTTGAGCTTTTTATACAGTATGTCCCCTGCATTGTGTCTTCAGTTGCATTTGGATATTGCTTTGATAAGTGTGGTATATTGATTTGATGTTTTAAAGATATTTTTTGTGGATTACCAAACTTTTGTTTAACCTGTATCAGTTTTTAGAGTCTATGTTTTGCCTTTTGGCTCCCACCCTGTTTTGTGGATTAGCTTTTTGTTTTTGCTTGGCCTGTCAAGCATTTATGTGGATTATAATTTTTTTTGTTCTGTAAATAAAAGCAGCACATGTATCTTAGCATTTTCGCAGACATCAACCAAATGCTACTAAAGGTACAAGCAGCTTTCTCTCTTTCTCCTTTTTAATTATTTTCCCCCGTTTGTTGTGAATCTTTGAATGTTTCCTTCAGACTCCATAGCATGTAGGTCTTGCCTTTGGATTTTGTCAACCTTGTATCAACAGGGGATGGTGCTAGAGGCTTTGCCCAGAGCTTCCTCATAAAATGTCAGCCAGAAAAGAGCCTCTTCCCAAAATGGCTACCTACCCAGAGACTTTTTTCAAAATGCCCGCCTGCCTAGATCCTCTTCTTAAGGTGGCCAATAGTTCAGGGTCTCTGTCCAATGTGGTTGCCATCCCAGAGTTTTTTTCCAAGAGTATCTCAAGATACTCTAAGGCTGCATTTACACTGCAGATCTTGATGGTCAATTCCGATTTTGTGACTGTATCCGATTTTTTTGATGACCTGCTTACATCATATTTTAAAAGTGACTCGTATCCGATCGTCTGCATTTACACAGCACACTGCAAAGACGCAATGACCAGGAAAAAAAAGAGCGGGCGCTAAATAACAGCTGATAATTAAACAGTGCTCTTTTCTCTATTCCTGTATGTAATCTGTTCACAGCTTTTGAAAAGCTGTTTTACAATAGTTTATGACAGAAATGTCCACATTTGTCCATCTTCTTTTGATATATAGGCTTTTTTTAAAATCTTTAGGCATCTTAATGTAATGTCCATGGTGTGATTTATGCATGTGATGTAGCTATGCACTAGTTTTATATTAGTTTATATTGGTTAGGTGGTGGACATTGCGTTCTCTCTCTTGTTAACATGCTAAAATACCTATGCTATAAGTCCTCGTGGATGACATTTAAGGTTTGGGACTCTGCTGAAGTCTGTTCTGAAAAGGAAGTGTCAGACTTGACATCATTCGCTACAGTTTTTAATGATGCTCAACTCTCATTGACAGGTGAAAATCCAATCTACCTGCTTACACTGCAGACAGGAGAACACAGATCCGCTTCATATCGGATAAATTTCCTCATATGGAAAAGACCTGAATCTAATTTGAGTAAAACGGAATCCATGTGATTTGTTCCTGCTTACGCGTACATGGGTCATATCTGATCTGTGCCACATGGGAGGAAAAAATTGGAATTGAGTCACTTGAACAGTGCAGTGTAAATGCGGCCTAAGGGTGTACTCACATTAGGTACAGTTGCCTTGAACCGCGCAAAAGCGTGATTGTTTCCCCTCCCCTCTGCCCCTCGACCTGCACTCACATACGCTTACATCATCGACTGTTCAGTTTAACAGGAAGTGAAGCGCTCTCGCTCAGCACAGTGGAGATTATTTTTATATTTAGTTATATTGTTTTGCATTATTTTTTTTTTATTTTTATTTTTTGGGATGCAGTGACACGCAGTCAAATACTTTGCAGAACAGATTCACCACTTTTGAAGCTTATGAATTATCATAAAAGTCCACGTGCTGCAGGTCTTAAGAGGTTTTCTGAAGGTGCATCTGTCGTGCCGTGAGGGGTTTGCATCTTAAAAACTATGACAGTTTTGCATTCATTGAAAATTAAGAATGATTAATAAATCCATATGAAACCATGTCTTAAAAGGGATGTCGCGTCTTCAGTTTCAGGCTCGGGCGCACTTAGCACTCACACTGCAAGCGGTCAGGCAACTTAACCGCGCTTACTTAACCGCCCTAAAACCCAGAGTTACTGCCTAAGATGGCCACCGACCCAGAGACTCTAGCTGCATCCCAAATCACATACTTATGCACTATTCTACGCAATTTTCTAGTATAAATAGTGTAAGTAGTGTATTTACACTGAAAACTCTAAAAATAGTAAGTGATGGACACTTCACGCACTCAACGACCGCAGGTTTGCCTACGTAGCGGAAGAGGTGGAGCTATCAGACGCACATGTTGGATAACTTTATTTATTTTGGATGGTGAAAGCAAAATTATCCTACGAGAGTGATTATAGCGCCTCCCGATGGTGAATGCGGCAATACTCACGGCAGGTATTATTTGATAATTCTGTCCAAACGGTTTGAATTTCAGCTTAGTAAAAAAAAATAAGTGTGCCATTTGGGACGATACTACATACACATACTATCCTGTTGAGTGTGTAAGTGCATAAGTACATAGTGCATAGTGTACAGTGTGCCATTTGGGATGCAGCTATTGTCTAAGATGTTCAAGGTAGCCAACTGCCTTGAGCAGAGGTGCTCAACCCTGTTCCGGGAGATCTACCTTCCAGCAGAGTCTAGCTCTGACACCGTTAAAACACAACTAAATCAACCAAGGAGTGCTTGGTAGTTCAGAACAGTTGTGTTTTATCAAGGTTGCTGCTTAAATCTGCAGGAAGGTAGATCTCCAGGAACAGGGTTGGGCACCCTTGGCCTAGAATATCTTCTCAAGAGGACCACCAGGCCAGAACCTCAGTCACTAAGTTAGCTCCGTATGAGCCCAACATGCTCAAGATGGCTGCAGGCAATGGATCTGTGCTCAAGATGGCCACCAGTCCAGAGTCTCTGCACATGATGACTACCAGCTTAAGTTCTCTTCCCAGGATGGTAGCCAGTCCAGTGTTTACTCTTGATCCTATTCCAGTTTGCGAAGCCTCAGATTCTACTCCGGAGTCTGCACCAACCAGAAATTCAGAGATCATTTGTGAACTTGTTTCAGCTTGGAAGCCCTCAGAAGCTTGTTCTGTTTAGAGTGGGTGTCCCGAAGGCTGTCCTGGAGGCTGTCCCAGAGCCTGGCCCATTGCATATTCCAATCTGTGACACTTATGTTAAGCTAGTTCCATCTGTGCTGCTGTGGTGGTCCTCAGCCCCACTCAAGTGGTTGTCAACTCCATCTGCATCACCATGGTAGTCCTCAGCCCACTTAAATAGTCATCCACATCATCTGTCTGGTTGTCTGTCCTGCCAGCTCCACCTGACTTTATGCACCTGTTTATTCTTCTGTTCTGGATGTCTGCCATACAGGCTTCAACTTGGTTTACTGCTTGGTCCTGCTGGTCTCGCCACAGTCCTCTGGGATTTTCGTCCCCTTCCACTATATAGGGACTGGCCCACTGTCTCTACCCCTGATCCACCTCCATTCTACCTCCCTCCTGACTGTCTGTGCCCATATGAAATCCACTCTAACTCTTTTTTATGTCCTTGATAGAAGGAACTCTGAGACAGGTCTAGTGATTCTATTGCATTTCCCATCATTCATTGCACCTCTATTTACTTAGCTGAATATAGAATCACTTATATAATATATACTTATTATCACTTATTATTTAGCTGTTCTTTGTTTGTTTTCAATTGTCGCCCACAATAAGTATTCCAGGTCTGGTATATTGGTATGCTTCCTTGTTCCTGTCACCTCTGGTTGTTTTTGTCGAGTTTGTATTTGTGGATTACTTCACTTATGTGGTAACTTAGCCTGCACCCAGCCTTGTGTTTTGGATACAATGTTTGCCTTTCACACTATCATGAGCATTATCTTTTTGCCTTGCCTGTCACCCAGTTGTGAAGATTATCATTTTTGTTTTGTAAATAAAACCTGCACATGGATCCCTGGTTTAAAAGTTTTCATTACAGCTACTCCCTGCCAACAGTAAGTTTGTCACACTATTCTTTCCATTTTATTTTCTGTCTTTGTACTTTGTATGCACTTATCTTGATATATTCATTCATTCATTTTCTCATCGGCTTAGTCTCTTTATTAATCCGGGGTCGCCACAGCAGAATGAACCGCCAACTTATCATTAAACACTTAACACTTAAACATCCACACACACACACACACACTACAGACAATTTAGCCAACCCAATTCACCTGTACCACATGTCTTTGGACTGTGGGGGAAACTGGAGCACCCAGAGGAAACCCACGCGAACGCAGGGAGAACATGCAAACTCCCCACAGAAATGCCAACTGAGCCGAGGCTCGAACCAGCGACCTTCTTGCTGTGAGGCGACAGCACTACCTACTGCGCCACTGCATCTTGATATAAGTAACTATAAACATCAAGTGAATAAAAGTGATTAATATGGCATGTGATTTACGTGTGATTTAGGTTGTAAGTTTTACAAAGAACATTATATGACACAAATCTACATTAGATTATAGCCAGGAGTTGCTAAATTATTTTAGTAAAAAACATGACTATTATAAATTGTTTTATATTACTTGATGGTAATTACAGCTATAATGCAGGGGTGTCTAAACTCGGTCCTGGAGGGCTGGTGTCCTGCAAAGTTTAGCTCCAAGTTCCTTCAACACACTTGCCTGGAAGTTTTAGTATACATAGAAAGAGCTTGATTAGCTGGTTCAGGTGTGGTTAATTGAAATTGGAACTAAAATATCCAGGACACCGGCCCTCCAGGACCGAGTTTGGGCACCCTTGCTCTAATGCATCTGTCACATACTGTAAGTGTGATAAGATTTCCTATTAGAAATCCACATAAGAAAGGTTGTTAACAAAATTTTTTTCAAGAAAGGCCATTGATAACAGGTGGGTATTGTGTTTTCGATTTTCCACGCTAGCTTGCTGCAATGATGAAAATCAACGTATGTACAATTTTACTGTTGGGTTTTAAATCAGTAGAGGATTAAGCAACGAAAGCTACGCTGTCACAAATTATTTAATGTATTTGTTTTTTTAGCCAATGTAATATTATTAACTGTACTAGTTACTGGGAAATGTAATATTATTGCTTTAAAACTTTGCAAGTAACATTTTACTGCTCAACACTGCACATGTTTGGATTGACAAAATAATGTGAATAATGACAATATTTTTTCTGGACTTTCTTTTTAATTCATCACTGTCCAAACAATTAATGATAAAATGTACATATTTTAGTTTTATTTGTCATATATTATCAAAATATATATATATATATATATATATATATATATATATATATATATATATATATATATGCACTATATCTGCATTGAAGTTTGAATCTATTAATTGTATTATGTATAATTCTATAATTTCAGTTGCAGTATTATCTAGGACTTAACCACCTTTCCATAATGATCCATTTTTCGGTTGTAATGTATGATGAATTATTCAAAAATGAAATACAAATGATTGCATGTGCCTTTTAGACATAATTCATATTTCATTTTCTAGTTGTTACAGAATGCTGTAAATATAGAATTTTTTTTCAGTATGTTCTAAAGTGCTGTGTGCATGCAATAATACTTCATTACCTGATTTTTTCATTTGCAGTAGGTAAAAAAACAAATACCTCAAGGTGATGGAATCAAAAAAAGCAAAGCATCAGATTTACCTGCACAATGCTGTAGGTCCATCCTTGTCTGACTCTGTCTCTTGCCCAAACATTGTGCCCATTTTCTGCCAGCTTTTCCACCAACTGGTTCTGATTAGGCGTCAGTTTGACATGATTGAGGTCCAAAGGAGCGGGTTTGTATCCGCTGCTCATCACATAACTGAGCAAGAACCAGAAAAACAAGAAAAAGAAAAACATTACACATTAAACACACACAAAAAGTAAGGTTTAAGTTTTACATACGTTTTGGGCAATTTGATCTTTCTCAGATTCTCCTCTGCTTTCTCATCTCCCATGCCTACATGGCAGCCCAGAGCTAACAGGGTTCTGGAAAGGTCAAAGAGAAAAAAAAATGAAGTGGATGAATAAATTGGATAGACAGATGGATGCATAAGCAATGAACTTCAGATTTTGACATTCTGTAGACACTCACTTCAATGTCTCTCCAGACATCTGGAGGTTATAATTTCTCTCGGGTTCTGGAAGACTTTGAAAGTCCACTAGACACGGGTGCAACTTCTTATTATCATCCCTGAACTGAAAGAGAGTTCACATTTATTCATTTTGAAGGTATCCAACAGTAGGTTTACTTCCATCAAGAGTAAAAAAAAAAACACTTTAATTAATATTGCGTTGGTAAATGTGGACACAGTTCTCAGTGATCCAGTAAGTATATCAAATATTACCATTTCTACCTGGTGTTAAAATGCATGCATATGACATTGCAATGTGTTCTTGGATTTAGTTTTCATTACCATTAAATAGAATTATAGTACACAAAAATTGTGGGTACAGAGAGTATATGAAATAAAATATGTGTTCTTGTAATCAAGTATACATTAAATGTAGACTAAGGGGCCGATACCACTAAACTTGATTTTGAGTTCTGAAATCTTGAGGCACACTGCATTGCACTTTTTAGAAAAGATAACTTTTTAAAAATATTTTGTTAGGTAACCAACTGTATCAACAGGCTTGATGCTGGAGAGCATTATGTCTGTGATTGTTCGCACAGGGTTGACTTTTTTTCAACTGCAGGCACCCAAAGTGCTCCGTCAAAAAATGCTAGGTGTAGCAAAAAGAGCGCAAAACACTAACGCGGCTTAAACAGTTTGCAAATTGCTCACTGCTAACAGAAAACAATTTAAAATAGATGATTATAACCACAAACACACACACACTGTGTGTCACAGAGCGGGCCTCAGCTCGCTCTGATGGAGAAAACTGGGTTTAGGGGACAACAAAATTATGGCGTACTTGATAGCACTCCAGTACACAGTGTTTTATTTACATTGCTGGCAGGTGACAAAAACAGTCCACAGTGAAGAATATACACCAACACAAAATATTTGAAATGAAACGAACAAGATGTGCTTTGAATGCAAACTGTCAGCTTTAATTTAAGGGTATTTACATCCAAATCAGATGAATGGTGTAGGAATGATACAGTTTGTATATGTGCCTCCCACTTGTTAAGGGACCAAAAGTGGACAATTGGGTTCTAAGCTGTGCCATAACCAGGTGTGTGCTATTCCCCCATTAAAAGTTTTTAAATATCCTACATTTTAAATATTGCATGTTTTCAGATAACTTTTTTTAATAATGCATTAGTAAATGTCATACTATTTATAATAAATGGTGTATAATATTGTTCATTATTAGATCTTGTTAGTAAATACTTTATTATTATTTATTATTAAATTAACTAATGCAAATGTATTCTTTTATATAACATTTTTAATATATCTTTATAATAAAGTTGTCAATAAGTTTGTATTATGGCAATATGAAATTTCAACAATTATATACAGCTCTACAAATGATTTATACATAGGCAGAATTATTAGCCCCATTTTTTCGTTTTTAAATATTTCCCAAATGATGTTTAACAGAGCAAGGAAATTTTCACAATATGTTTGATAATGTTTTTTCTTCCGAAGAAAGTCTTATTTGTTTTAAATTGGTTAGAATAAAAGCAGTTTATAATTTTTCAAATGCCATTTTAAGGACAAAATTATTAGCCCATTTAAGCTAATTTTTTCCGATAGTCTACAGGACAAACCATTGTTATATAATAACTTGCCTAATTACCCTAATCTGCCCAGTTAACCCTAATTAACCCTAGTTAAGCCCTTTAAAATATCTAGTCAAATATTATTTACTGTCATCATGGCAAAAATAAAATAAATTAGTTATTAGAAATGAGTTATTCAAACTATTATGTTGAGAAATGTGTTAAAAACATCTCTACATAAAACAGAAATTGGGGAAAAATAAACAAGGGGGCTAATAATTCAGGGGGGCTGATAATTCTGACTTCACCTGTATGTGTGAATTTATTAAAAAAAATACAAAATAAAATAAAACTGACACAGACAGAGACAGAAATGCTTACCACTCCATAGGTCCAGCCCTGCTCAATACGGGTCACAGCCCAGAGCTCATGTATGTTTTCTGCAAGCTTCTCTCTGATCCGCTCCAAATGAGGAGGTAGAACAATCTACAAATAACATAAACAGCACACACTCTGACCACTGAGTCAAAATGTTTATGGCAAGCAACAGTTGAGTAGACAGTGTGTAGTTTAGTTTACCTGAGCAGTGTCAACAGGACAGGGAGTGAATGAGGTGTGTGTGAGGGACTGTGTGGGCCCTAACAGGTTTCTGACTCCTTCAAAGTCATGTTTATACTCTTTAATGGGCTCAATGCGCATCCTGTCTTTGGGAAGAAGAGCCTCATAACATGGTGCATAACCAGGAGGAGGTAAAAACTTAAAATCCCCATGACGGCCACCTAAAAGAAAGCGGGCTCTGGAAAACAAATGAAAAGCAGATCAACAAGTGGTTAAACACTATAAATGTGCATTTTTTTAAATTAGGGATGATTCAGTTTTTGAAAGAAACATTTAAAAAAAAAACTTTAAAATAATTTAATTTTTTTTATATATTTATATTTATTTAATTATTCCTGTGATGCATAAGCTCAAACCAATATTTATAAATAATATATAACAAAAATCTTCAATGTCTTTGAATATGCTGATGTGTTTAAAAAAGACTTTTTTTTTAGTTTTGTTTTTTTGTAAAAACTGTGATACATATTTAAAACCTAAAAGCAGTATTTATTTAAATCAACTATTTTGTAATATAAATCAGTCACATTCATCAATCATGCATCTTTGCTGAATAAAAGTGAAATTAAAAGGTATTTACTGGCCCAACACTTTTAGTTGGCACTGTGTTATTTGCAAAAATGGTATTTGTTTTAAATCCTAAGAACAATTTGAACTTTTTTCATCTCAATCAAATATATAATGTACAGTTGAAGTCAGAATTAATAGCCCCCTTTGAATTTTTGTTTTCTTTTGTAAATATTTCCCAAATGATGTTTAACAGAGCAAGGAAATTTTCACAGTATGTCTGATAATGCTTTTTCTTCTGGAGAAAGTCTTATTAGTTTTATTTCGGCTGGAATAAAAGCAGTTTTTATTTTTTTAAACATCATTTTAAGGACAAAATTATTAGCCCCTTTAGGCGAATTTTTTTTCCAATAGTCTACGGAACAAACCATCGTTATACAATAACTTGCTTAGTTACCCTAACCTAATTAACCTAGTTAAGCCTTTAAAAATCACTTTAACCTGTATAGAAGTGTCTTGAAGAATATCTAGTAAAATAATATTTACAGTCATCATGGCAAAGATAAAATAAATCAGTTATTAGATATGAGGTAATAAAACTATTATGTTTAGAAATGTGTTGAAAAAAAAATCTTCTCTCCATTAAACAGAAATTGGGGAAACAAATAAACAGGGGGGCTAATAATTCTGACTTCAACTGTATATTTAATTCTTATATTATGTACAAACTAAAATCATCTGTTGCTATAATTTCTATTAAAATCTCTGCAAAGTTGTTGCAGACTTTTATTTTAGTATGTTGACATGTTTTCTTACTGAAACTGAATATTGAGTAGAGGACAGGGTTTTATTTTTGCACTTCCCCTCTTTCACTTGCGGCAAACTAATGATTAGAGGGGCATAGCTATGCATATCTCATCCAATCCAGCAAACTGATGTCCTCAGAGAAGGCCTTGTCTGCCATTGCTCGAGGTACCACTGTTACACTTTTGCTGAGTTGGTTGACAAGCCAATGTCTTGGGGTTTGGCCGCTGCTTTTATAGGCTAAACTCCTGCCTTTTTGGGACCTGGGAGGTGACCAGGGTCAAGAAGGTGTCAAAAGCTAAAAGTCTAAATATATGCTGATGTTTAAAATATTCCATGTTTTCAGACCATAATAATTTTAATAATGCATTAGTAAATTTTAAAACATTTATAATATATGGTGTACAATATTATTCATTATTAGATAATGCTAGTAAATGCATTAATATGAACTAACTACTAATGTATTTTAGATAACATATAAAATATTCCTCAGAGAAGGCCTGACTGCCATTCCAAAGCAGAAGCAAATGATTAGATTTTGATAAAAGATCATTAAAATAAACAGTTTTATTTTCAGTGGATTAACTTGCATAGATTACTTGTTCAAATGAAAGCTACCAATGTACTTTTTAGGGTTAATTTCTTGATTTGTTATGGAAAATCTACAACTCAAGTGCAACCCATGACCCCTATGAGGTTTAAGCTGTATACCTTTTTTAGTTTTTGTAAAAAAAAAAAAAGTCACTCTTTTTTTCTTAATATCTTATTATTAGTGCTGGACAAAGATTAATCACTTGCAAAATAACATACACGCATACATGCATTTATTTAAGAAAATGTTTATTCATGTTTTTAAAATATATGTGCATATGACACAAATGATCTATAAATTTTAATATATATGACAAATTTAAATGTAAATATCTATAAAAAAATAGTTTTTATAGTGTTGTTTCTATGTGTGTGTATCAAAAATACATAATAAATATACATGTATATGCCCAGCAGCCACAGGATATCAACATGACATCAGATTAAAGTTGGGACGTTGCAGTTTGTTTAGAAATGAATATCTGGTTAAATTTAGAACTCAACATCAGATCAATGTCAATGTTCATCGTCCAATCTAAAATCAGCCAAATATCAACAGTTTGAGGTTGTGTGGACATTACCACTATGATGTCTATCAGACATTAAATTGTGGTTGTCATACCTGACGAATAAATGTCAGCATTTGACGTCAATATGACATTGGTTTAAAATGTTGGCTCGACATTGGATTTTAGTCACTTTCCAACACAACCTAAAATCAACGTCATTTGACTTCATTATTGGACGTCAAAATATTGATGTCCTTAGACGCTGGCTAGACATTGAATTTTGCTCACCTGACGTCACAGCCTAACTCCAAATCTAACCTAATATTAACGTCTTAAATATTATCTATCTATCTATCTATCTATCTATCTATCTATCTATCTATCTATCTATCTATCTATCTATCTATCTATCTATCTATCTATCTATCTATCTATCTATCTATCTATCTATCTAACACAATTATTTTGTCAATTATTTTGTCAAAACAAACTTTTATTTTTGTATTATTTGCCCAGCACTACCAATAGATACTAGCTTTTATGTGGACTTTAAATTTTTATAAGAAAAATAATACTTATTTAATTAATAACTATTATAAAAAATACAACAATAATGATCAAAATAGTAATGTTTAATTACTTCACTCCAGCAGAAAAGCTAATGGCAGGGAAGAACAAGCCATCTAAGTTGAAGTTCTCAAACATTCCCTGGACCGGATGGCCATTGATGCGGAAGGAGATACTGGGCACGCTCAGATCCAAACAACAACTCACGACATCATCAGCTGCCAAGGCATGCTGATTGGGCGAAGCCACCTGACGTGACACATGACCTGCACAGAGAAAAATGGCAGTTTAAAGACCATAAAAACTCCCATGCTGTGTAAAGAATAACAATGATGCTTTGCATGAATTATTGGAGTAACTTTAATTAAACTGTAAAAATATATGTGAATATAATATAAATATTTGTTTAAACTTGATACAGTGGTTTGCTATTATTTTACTCATAGTTCATGCATCAAATAATAAAAAGAACATCACCAGCATTAATAAATTACACTAGGCAAACCATGAATAACTGTATATGGGTTTTTCCACAGAAATATTATGAACATATATTGAGTGTTACTGTACTGTACAGTAAACAAAATAAAAACTTACAAGCAGTGTTTAGAGGGCACTCATACTAATGCTCACCACTGCCTAGGCTACATGTCCACCAAAGCATGTATTTCCCAAACAATGCCATAACTTGTGGCTGAAATACAATATAATATAATATAATATAATATAATATAATATAATATAATATAATATAATATAATATAATATAATATAATATAATATAATATAAATAATATAATAATATAAATGTAAATGATGTACTGAGTGTATATTTCCCAAAGTCATGGTTGCTCTGTCACAGATCTATTGTTCAAACCATGTTAGTTATAAAATTATGATGCTCTATATGAGACGGAGTGACAATTTAATTAGAGAAAATCTGCATTCAATTATTCTTTATTTGTTTTATACAAATTAGATTCTTTTACATGAACAAACACATGCATTCCTTTTCAATATTAATGTAAACGGCACATTTAGAGCCTATATTTCTTTTACAAACATTATGGAGAATATTCCATATTCTATTCTAAACAAAACCACCTTTAATAGCTAGCATATACAGTAGGCTAATATCTTGTCTTAAATAAACCAGATATATAGTCAAATAATTATGCACAAACAACTTTTGGTCTATTTATTTTGTTGTCATAATTACATTTATATTCAGAAATTCAATATTTTTTGTTTTCACAGATTTAACAAATTTCCGCTCGTCAATCCTAGGTTGTCCATAGCTTTTAATAATAATAATATTAATAATTCCTTACATTTATACAGCGCTTTTCTGTGCACTCAAATCGCTTTACACATGGAGGAGGGATCTCCTCATCCACCACCAGTGTGCAGCATCCACCTGGATGACACGACGGCAGCCGTTTTGTGCCAGACCGCACACCACACACCAGTTGATTGGTGGAGAGGAGGTGATGATTATGATGATTATGATATGGGGAGGGTTAGGAGGCCATGATGGACAGACCAGTGGGCAAATTTGGCCAAGATGCCAGGGTTAAACCCCTACTCTTTTTCAAAAGACATCCTGGGATTTTTAATGACCACAGAGAGTCAGGACCTCAGTTTAACATCTCATAGATGCCACTCACTGATTAGTATAGAGTCCCCGTCACTATACTGGGGCATTAGTACCCACACAGACCGCAGGTTGGGCGCCCCTGCTGACCTCACTAACACCACTTCCAGCAGCAAGCTAGCTTTCCCATGTGGTCTCCCATTCAGGGACTGACCGGGCGCAGCCCTGCTTCAGATGGCGATCATGTGAGAGTTGCAGAGAACTAGCTGCTGGCTACAAATCATAATTAAGCCACGGCTGCATTCAAAATGGCATAAATAATTTACAAAGGGAGAGCAATCGTCAATCTGAGCAGCGCTAAAACTGAACTGTAAACAATTACTTTGAAAGCAAATTACATGTGAGACACATAGCATTAACATTTTTTTGTATCATTTAAAGTGGATGTTGGTAGGTTTGAAAGGAATAGAGCATAGGGGAGATGAATAGAACACAACCAGGAACTATGCTTCTAATTACTGCCCTAAAAGTGTAGTTGCAACCACACTTGTTTGTGACACAGTTTGCGAATGTTCCTTGAAACCATGGGAAATAGAACTATGATTGTTGCAATGAAACTTTTGACCTTTTGGCCTTCAGAAATAAACCCCTGAGCATTTGTTTTGTGTTGTTGTCAATGGTAGTGCCGTGTTTTTGAGTACCTGCAGATCCTGAGCACTGTGTTACAAAAAATGTTTGAAAAATGCAGCGCCCATCAATGACACTTTTGAGCTAGCTATCAAATCACCGTGGAGGAGGGGCAGGGCCATACCACCCCCACAACAACTTGTAATGCAGCTGAGTAAAAAAAAAAAACACTGCAGTGCAATATGCTCACAGCTGAACGTTAATTGAACAGCGCTTGCATTTCTCTAGTCAAAAAAATGGTCCGGACATGCAGTAAAACTAAAAATATGCATTTAATCTGGCAAATATTAGAAAAACAAGATAAAATTACTGATATTTGACAAACATCCTTCTGCCAGCAGGTGGCGCTACAACTGCAACTGAATATTGGCATGTAGATGTCATCAGGTGTAGACCCTTATCAAATAAGATTGGTATCATTTGAAATGTTGTAGTCACGTGGAAAAAAGTAGACAAGATCAAGCATGTACCTGACCACAAGTGAAGTCCATCAAAGCCATAAGAGTAGAGGTCATCACCCACACCGTTGCCCCCCCAGCCCTCTCCTCCTCCTGGGTATGGGCTGAAGCCTTCAGTCATGGCCCAGCCCACTCGCAGATGAGTGGCCTGAGCCGTCACAAATGACTCCACATAGTCCACCATTACCTCAAAATACCACTTCTTATACTGGGTGGAACCTTCACAAGTCCCCAAGAAGATATTGGGCCTCACACTATGAAGAGAAAGTTACATTTATGCAGTTAACAGTTTGAAATTATTTCAGTTAAGTGAATTTGTACATCTTTGGAAAAAATTTCTTGCAGGAAAAAATAAAAAATATTTATTTTTGTAAAAACTATTGTATATTTAAAAGCATGTAAAAATATTTTAATAAAAATATACATTCAAATATAGCATTTATTGAAAAAGAGTGTAATTCTTCTAGATATTTTGATTATATAAAAATGGATACTTTAGATTTGGATCAAACTATAAAAACCTTCAATTAAAAGCTTGACTTTACTTTAAAAAGTGAGTAAATGTTTCTTTTAAAGCAATTATTTGAATTTTAAAAAGTGAGTAAAGCTCTTAAGTCAACTCAAAAATTTGAGTTACAACAGGTTTACTAAGATATTTTATAAGTAAAGACAATTTATTGATTTTAAGGAAACACATTTACTAATTTTTTAATAAAAGAAACTAATCGCTTTTTGCAGTACATCAATATACTATTGTGAGGTCAGATTTTCGTCTGAAATATGAGAAGAAAATCTGTTCTATGAGATTAGAAATTTAATATATGTTATATATATATATATATATACAGTTGAAGTCAGAATTATTAGCCCCCTTTTGATTTTGATTTTCTTTTTTTAAATATTTCCCAAATGATTTTTAACATAGCAATGAAATTTTCACAGTATGTCTGATAATATTTTTTCTTCTGGAGAAAGTCTTATTTGTTTTATTACAGCTAGAATAAAAGCAGTTATAAATTAAAAAAAAAAACGTTTTTGCTACAAAATTATTAGCCCCTTTAAGCTATTTTTTTTTCGATAATCTACAGAACAAACCATCGTTATACAATAACTTGACTAATTACCCTAACCTGCCTAGTTCACCTTATTAACCTAGTTAAGCCTTTAAATGTCACTTTAAGCGTATAGAAGTGTCTTGAAAAATATCTAGTAAAATATTATTTACTGTCATCAGGGAAAAGATAAAATAAATCAGTTATTAGAAATAAGTTTTTAAAATTATTATGTTTAGAAATGTGCTGAAACAATCTTCCCAAAACAGAACAGAAATTGGGGAAAAAAATAAACAGGGGCGCTAATAATTCAGGGGGGCTAATAATTTTGAGTTGCAGCTGGAAGGGCATCTGACACATAAATAGGGTACTAAGCCAAAGGAAAGTGAGTCAGAATATTTTATTTTATTTTCACTTTTCTATTTATTTTACAATTTTATTAAGCCTCACAGATACAAAATATATTTAGTATTTAGAATTATCCTGTAAAACTATTTTTTTACCATATAGTGGACATGGCAAAAACGTTTCAGCATTAATAATAAGTCAAAAATCACTATATTTCAACAAATAATACCTTGAAGCATAGTTAACGATGTTAGTCTGCAGTAGCAGGTCACGACCCGGAAGTAAATTTTCGGTGATGAGGTTTTGATTGGACCTCACAGCAACACCGTTACACACACACAGAGACCGCAACACGTCCAAAACCTGTCCAGAAAAACAGAGAGGTTGAGATCTTCTATGTGTGATAAACTGCTAAATGCTAGTTTAACTTAAATCAAGTTTGCAATAAGACCTTATGGTTTCGTCCGTGTTTGTCTAAGAGAGAAATGATGGACTTGATGTGATTCTCCTGAATGATGTTCAAGACTTCAGGACTTTCAATCAAAACACAGTACAGCACCTCGAGAATGCCTGGAGATCAAGAGATCAACAAACACTTATGAAGAGTAGAAACTATGTGTGACAATAATGTTGGGTAAGTTACTTAAAAAAAAAGTCATTACTTTCTAATGATCAATTACACCATTACAATTGCATTAAAATTACTTTTTTAAACATAAACTAATTACATAAAAATGACTTAATACTATTCATACAAATCTTAAACTGTAAATAGAATAGAAATGACAGGGTTTTAATTGCTATATATTTCATTGTTTCTCAGGCATAAGCAATTGTTTGACAGGTCTAACATTCTTTTGCGCTGCCTCTCTGAATGTATTGCTTATATTTTCATGAACTAATTATTTTGTCAACCAATTTTTTTAAGCATACTGTATGCAATCATCCTGATAAATGTTACCGTCTATAGATGAAAAATCAAACTGCTTTGCAAAACATTTTTGTATATCAAAATACAATCAATCTGTTCCTTTGAATTGATTTATACAGATCTGTTAAATTAATAAACAGTATTTGAGCCAAGTAGGTTATATGTAACCGTAATTAACTTATCTGAAAATTACTTCACTTTTTTGGCAGAAAAGATATTTAATTACAGAAATTAGTTATTTTGGAAATAATTACACCCAACACTAGTGGTGATACGTAAATAATTGTATTTTTTTGAGGCATTTGTTGAAGATATACCTGATGAAGCTTCCAGACGATCCAGTTTACTGACCAGCCAGTCCAGATTATCACAAAACAGAGCACAGTTAGAACGGTTTCCTCTGATCAGAGATGCTGAGAAAAGAGACATATTCACACACAGTATTATAAAAAATTTTAAAAATAAACATTTTAAACTGCACTATTTTACAATATTACTGTATTTTTAAAATAAAATAAATGCAGCTTTGGTGAGCATACACATTTTTTTACGTCCCAAAAACGTAAAAACCATGGTATCAATATAAAGCATTTTATAAAGCTTAATTTATTTGGCTAATAGCTCAGTAAGCACAGTAATATTGTGGATTTTTTTGCAATATTAAAGTACTTTACAGCATAATTATTTTAATATAATTTATTTACATGATAGCAGATCCAACTTGATGCTAGATTATTATTAACAGTTATTAATGTACAAATATTAATAGTGGTTCTTAATATCAAAGTTGCAAGCAGTTTTTTTTATTTATTTTTTTTTTGCTTTACATTTTTGTCAAAACAATCAATTGATCATCATTTATATTAAATATAGAAATCTTTTGCATCTTAAATGTCTTGTCATGTTTGATCAATTTAGGGAAATTAATCCTTAGAAAATGATATTCATTTATAATTTAAAGCAAATATATATATATATATATATATATATATATATATATATATATATATATATATATATATATATAAAATATAATTTTTTTACATTTTCCCAAGTGTTAAAATCACAGTATTTGAGTGTATCCAAAAATACTGAGTAACCATAATTGTTTTTAAATTTAAAAACTTGTATAAAAACAACATATTGAAAGGAATAAAGCAGGCATGTGTAAGACTGAAGACTGTGGAAAATTCAGTTTTGCCGTTGCATGAATGAATGATTTTTAAATGCTTTAAAATATAAAATGCATATTTTAAACTGTAACATTTGTATATTTAGTCACCAAGCAGCTCATAGAGCAAATTGACGATCTCTTTCCAGGATTCAGCTGCTTCCTCTCCAGCAAACTCAGAGAAGTGTGCAGCAGTGTTGTAGACGTTCAGCCGGTCGATACATTCCAGCACGATGGTGATCATCCCCTAAAACACAAACATTAAACAATCTCAGAAATGCAGTCTCAGACACATGCACTCAATAAATTTAGTAATGTCATTGTGAGGGGCGGGGTTAGGTTAATGCATGGCATAAAGTCTTAGCTTGCTTATGCAAGTTTGTCCTCCAGAATTAATAACAATAGAAAAAAAAAAGAGTGGGAGAGTTTAGCTGATGCAGTTAATGCAGTGGGGTTTGAACATCGCACTATGAGTGAATTCAAAAATAAATAGTGCGATGTAAAGATGACAAATTTTGTAGTGTGTATTTAGCCTATTAAACATTAATAAGTGTGTGTATTATGTTAAATGCATTTCAGCATCACATATTATTTGCACATTTATTGAATGGAAATGTTTCTGATTCACGTATGCAAATTGGACTTCAGATGACGCCTTTATAGCAATGTGCGTGTAGTCAATCGCTCTGATTAGATAGGGAAAACCGGCGATCGCTGCAAGTTGCACTTTAATGTTTGGCTTGTCAACTGTATGTTATGGAAACCTTATATAACTGCTAGACATGCAGATAATCCCGTCCCATACAGCTGCCATTGCACGGCTCAAAGATACTTTGTAGTGTGTAATTTAACACAACTGCCTCTAGGAGTCGCCAATGAAAATAAAACAAACTTACACAAAAAATGCACGCACACCAGACATGAAGTTGGCGTGGACCATTGCACATTCTCACGTTCATTTCATCGTTACTAAATCCAAACATGAGCATGAAACCTGGCATACGCAAAGTTTTTGTGCGTACGCAGCATTGATACATAAGGCCCCTTAGATTTATAAGTTTAATTTTTTCATTTATTGTATTTTATTTTACAATATTTTGAAAAAAAAACTTGAAACTGGTAACCACTGGCATCCACAGTACCATTATATAATGGCTATCATTTCCCAACATTTTTAAAATATCTTCTTCTGTGTTCAATAGAAGAACGAAACTCAGACAGGTTTGGAAAAAAATTGATGGAGAGTAAATCATAACAGAGTTTTACTTTTTAGGTGAAATATCCCTTAAATGCCTGTCGACACCATGACACGCACACACACACATACACACACACCTCCTCTTGGAAGAGGTTCTGTCGGTTGCGTAGCGAGCGCAGTTTGGTCTGTTTCTCCTCGTGTTCCAGCTCTTCCTCTGGAGGTCTGAAGTAGTGGATCAGATCCTGAAGGGACAGAATCACTCCATCCAGAGGCAGAGACACTGGACCGGGTGATTTGTTCTTCCCACTGAGAGAGTCCAGACCTCTGACATGTCCAAGACAAAGGAGAGGACACATATGCATTTACACAAGAAACAAACACATACAAGAGAATATAAGGTATATGTCTTCCTGCAAACCTGCAAAGGGCTGTCAAAATTAGCGCATTAAAGCACATGATTAACTTTAAATATTTAACGCGTAAAAAAAAGAAATAACGCAAATAACTCAGTCACAGTTTTTTTATTTCCTGTTGTGGCCGACGTGTGTTCAGGGAGGGCGCGTGCATAGAGGTGACCAAGGTGGCTGAGTTGGGCACAAACCCCCCGGTCCTCACTTTCATCCGCGAACCGGTCACTTTTGGGTTGAGGGCGGCATGATTGCCGTTTGCCTAGAGTGCCAGTTCAGCTTGCTCCAGCTCTGAGTGTGTTTAACGTGCAAAGAAATTTGGGATTTCTCAGACAGGGATGTAATAAGTAACAAAAAGTTAAATATCAGAATAAATAAATTAATAAACAATTCAGCTAAAAATCTTCTTTATTGAAGGAAAAAAATGTCACCTACTGTACATGGCCTGAGCATGAGTAAATAAGCTGTTCATTTTCATTTTTGGGTAAACTATCCATTTAAATTTTATAATAAAATCAAAAGAAAAAGGAAGACTTTTCTTTTTATCAAAAGTAACAAAAAGATAATAATGGGATGGGACAATGTCAATATTAATTAATATTATTAATATTAATGCTTATATTATTTATTTTCCAATTTTATCAATGTTAAAAAAAACATTTCTATATTTTTCGGGAAACTAAGATTTGTTTATAATATTCAGGATTTTTTGTTATAACATATTTTTAGTATTTTTTATAAGTGTATTTCAGTCATATTTGATTAATTCAATGCTTGGGTAAAAATAATAATAATAAAATAAAAAAAACATTGATTCTCCCAAATTATTCATAATTCAAACATAGTCAAATTACAATACCTAACAAAAGTAATTACTTTAATAATTAAAATTTTTATTATGTCATTTGTAATCAGAAAAAAAAAGAAAACACACAAAAAGCATTTGGCCAAAACTTTTCCACTGCTTATAATAAACCATTCTTTTCCTTATAAAACAAAATATGTAGCTGCTAACTATTGCTAAATTCTCACAATGTCAATGCTGCACTAAATATTCAGCATCATAAACTGTACAGTATGCAGAATGTTATAATGTGATGAACTGCCGTACTTGATGAACTGTGTAAAAAGGCCTGTGGTGCTGTAGATCATACGAGCCGCCTGGGACTCTTCTGTCTGAGAGCGAGAGCAGGTCAGTGCGTCATCCATATGGCCCTCTTGATGTAACATGACCTGAAAAAAAAGACAGAAAGACTTTGATTTATATGTTCAATCTTAACACTGTAAAAAATGGCTTGACATTATTTGCAACAGACTCATAAAAAAATGAACTTGAAGTTACATTTTTTCTTGCACATTTTGCAGCAGTTTTGACATTAAAATGCCAAGCAAGTGGTAATAAAAGAGTGTTCAGTGGCAATGCATTACCTCAATAGTTCAGACACTTATTGTGCAGTTCAGAAATTAAACGGGTAATGTGTTAGCATATTTAAAATAATCTAAGAATGATTTTAAAGCAATCATGTTGTTTTTGGCTTTTACACTGCTTCTATTGAACTATAAAACTAATTATAACATGTTTATAGTCAAAGTCCAGACATGAAAATTTAAATATGTAGTGTTTTGGGTTGATAACAATGTAACCATGACAGTACACATATTAAACATTTGAAAGAAATAGTTCAAACAAAATGTTAATTTACTCCAAAAGCTCTATTTTGACAATCCAGGTGCAAAGTCCAAAGCACAGGGCGCAAAAGCATTAAGGGCGTGTCAGAATCCACTTTTGCTATTTTGAGGACAGAAGAATCCGCCTTGTTCCATGGCGCATGGTCTAACAGGGTTCAGCTTATTCTCTTAATGATTTATAGGTGTGTTTTGAGAATAAACCAATTAGAGTCTCATCTCCCATTCCCTTTAAGAGTCAGTTGCGTCGCGCTTGGCTCATTTGCTATTTAGAATTGTCAGGGTTCTGCCACTCTGATCTTGTAAATTCTTGTTTTGGTGGCAGATCTCGGACACTACTCGTGTCTGGTCCTGTTTCTGTCTCTGTGTGCGCGCGCGCCGTCGTGGGTGTACGCAGAGTGTGCGCGCTCCTGCTTGACGCGGCCGCGCGCGCGCTCTGCGTCCCTCAGACGCGTGCGCTCTTGTACTCGTGTTTGTGTTTTCGTCTGTCAGCAGCATGGTGTTTCATTCCCAGCGTCTCAGTCTTGTTGGTTTCGGTTTTGGTCGGCGCTGGGATGAAGCATGCATGCTGCATATGTGAGCGCATGGTGAGTGTTTTCATTCATCGTGTGCTCGTGTCTTGCGTCTTTTGTCAAAGCACGTGGCTCGGTGTTTACATTGTGGTCACGTGTTTTTGTCGTGTGCTTCAGTGTTGTGTTATGTGAGCGCATGGCTTGTATTGTCTCTCTGTGTCATGCGCTCTCCCGTCTATTGTCTTGTCCCACCCACCTTGTTACCTTGTTTGTAATTATTATTTTCACCTGTCCGCCTGTCTGTTTATTGGTTTGTCTTTCCTATTTATTCTCCTAGTGTGCTCTGTTCTGTGCTGGTCCGTTATTGATTGTTTCCTTCCCTGTTGTACGAGGTTTGCTGATTCCGCTCTACAACAGTGGTTTAAAGTTGTGTCTGCCAAGTTCCAGATCTTGTCTAGTTACGTGTATAATATAATGTCGTGTTTTTCCCCACATGGGGAGATTTGAGTTTTGTTTTTGTTTTATTTTTCAATAAATTCTTCATTCTCCGCATTTGGGTCCTCGCCTCCTCTTCATCACCCCCATTCCCTGACAGAACGGACCAGCCAGAATGAGGACCCAGCGGAGTGAAGATGGCTCCTTCGCTAGCCGCATTATTAAGTTGCTGAATTTGCAGTCACTGAAACAGTGTGTCTTGAATTTGGAGGAGTTTGCGGAGAAATTCCGCAAGGCAGCTGAGGGGCTGAATTTTAATGACTGGCTGCTTATGACCCACCTAAATTTTGCTCTGGACAAGCCCCTTCTTCCTCTGCAGATCCAGAGAATGGTGGGCTGGTCATACCAGCGATTTATTAATCACATGGTTTAGCAGCAGGAGAAAGGGATCCTTCAGAAGGAGAGGATCCCTCGCACCACCACCAGCGCCGCCTCCCAGCCCCTGAGCGCCCTCCAGTGTCGGCTTCAGCCCCTGAGCGCCCTCCAGTGTCGGCTCCAGCCCCTGAGCGCCCTCCAGTGTCGGCTCCAGCCCCTGAGCGCCCTCCAGTGTCGGCTCCAGCCCCTGAGCGCCCTCCAGTGTCGGCTCCAGCCCCTGAGCGCCCTCCAGTGTCGGCTCCAGCCCCTGAACGCAGCTCAGTGCCGATCCCAGTCCAGCTCCTTGCCCTGGCGGCGCCACCCAGACGTCTTGCCCTGCCGGCCCCAGCCCGGCTCCTTGCCCTGTCGGCGCCACCCAGACGTCTTGCCCTGCCGGCCCCAGCCCGGCTCCTTGCCCTGCCGGCGCCACCCAGACGTCTTGCCCTGCCGGCCCCAGCCCGGCTCCTTGCCCTGCCGGCGCCACCCAGACGTCTTGCCCTGCC